CACATCAGTCTCCCCTTTTCTTTATGTATAGAAAATGACAAGGATACACTGTTGTCAAGTTTAGTTTTAGAGAATCATTGAATTTTTGGTATTTGTCCTGAGATTTTGAACCCTGATTTGAGATGAATACTCTAATCAAAAACAGTATTGTTGGATCTTTTATGAATCATTGAATTTTGGGTATTTGTCCTGCAGTGAATATCCAACGGCTGATGATGATTTGAAAAGACATGGTTCAAATTTGTATCGAGGGTGGTAGCCAGTCTCCGTCAGACTGCAAATTTGAATGGCATGTAGTGCATTTAATTGTAAATTCTGTAACAAAAAATCAGATTTTATTATAATAATGGCAATATAAAGTTATGTAATTATTTATTGGCAAATAGCAAATTTATTTATCTTTTTTTTTGCTGCCAAGGCAGCAAATATATTCTAGTTAATAGTTAATTACGGAGTGATAATTATTCTGTTCATCTTTCATTACATTATTTAGTAATTTGTGAATATTTTATTTAGAAAAGAATCAATCATAACTTGGTACATATTATAATAAGTTTACCAAGATTTCACGAATATCTTTCAATGATTAACATTGGCCATAGTGATTGTGTAGCCTTTTTATGCTGCCACAAACTAAAAATATGACGTGACATATGACTAGACATTACAAAATTATTACCTATTTAAAATTAATCGGGGCTAAATAAGAAATTAAAAGTATCTGTTCATTTCATATTAAAAAACAAGCTTTCAAATGATATATGCTGCATTGCTGCTGGAAACCGATTACCACTTTTGAACCGTCTCATTTTACTTAAGGTAGTTCTGGAAATGTCCTGCCAGACGGTGTGTGGGGAGAAGATTGGCGCAGCATGGGGTTTTCCTAGGGGTCAGTCATCTAGCGCACTTACATTAATTCTGAAATGACGTATTATTTACTCTGTAAAGAACTTTTTAACAATCGAATTTAGGGGTGGGCCAAGAGTTTTCTAGAGTGGGCAGTAGGGGGATAAGTTACTTTTTCTGAAAAACTTATATTTTTATAAAATTCAACGTATTTCTAGCAATACAGGCTGGCAATATTGCTTATCTCTGTCAGTCAGTCAGTTCCATGAAGTTATAGTAGCTTCATGGTCAGTTCTTACCATATGTCAAAACTAGAAAAAAAAACGCGGCCACAAACTACTGGGCAGATAAAGCAGCAGTTGGGAATCTTCGAAGAACCAATACGGGCACGGTGCTTTAGAGGTTGGCACTTTTTTTTAATTTTTCCTCAAAATATCATTGACCAATACGGTTTCGCTCAAGCAGTATTTACGCGGGCTTTTTAAAATACCAATACCGCGAAATTTTAAATTCATATTTACTAATTACATAATTCTCGATTATTTACTATGGCCACTTGCACCAAATTTGCAAAATGACGATTTAATGCATAGGAGTGACAAAATGTCAATTTAACAATTTAGTGGTGTCGATTCTGGCAAGATTCTCTAAATCTAAACTTAAATTTGACAACAGTGATTCCTTGTCATTCTCTGTACAGAATGAAAAAGAGAGACTGATGTTAAATTTAGTTTTAATTTTAGAGAATCACGCCAGAGTCGACACCATTATGGGCTTAATCTGAATGGATATTTAGCCAAATTACTGCAATTGGACATTAATCGATTAATTTAGATTCAGAGAGATAAAAATAAAAGATTGTTAAAATATTTTACAAAAAAAACTTTATTGTTCATAAATTCAAAGGTTTTATTTACATAATATTATGTTAAAATAACATAAGCTAAATAATATTTAAAAAAACAAATAAACACAAATAAAACCTTAACCGTGCATCCACACCGTCATTAACATTTGTAGAGCAACACAACACTATGGTAACATTTGGTATTATATCAAACTTTTGTGGCTACTTGATATTTTTTGTTCGTTGTTACTCATTACGTGCATACCGCTAATAATTTAACAAAATATATCAAAGAATAACTATCGACAACAAAGTAAAAAGGTCACGTTGCTTTACACATGACAATATAAAATATGCATATTGACAATCTCAACTACTAGCTGAAAATTACCTGGAATTAATGCAGGATCACACAGAGTCGATACAGAAGGCATATTATCGCATACTTAAAAAAATATTGTTAGTAACAATACAATTATAAAATCAATACCTTTCGTAGTAGTTGAGCAATATTTCTTTATCAATATTCATAATGGACGAAGTAGGTGCAGTACCACAATCTGTAATAAAACAATATTGTTATCTTTATCAATCATAGAAGTAATAGCTCTTACATTAAAATACCCATTCTCTATGAATTATTAAAGAAACCAGTTTTTTAACGATGCTTTTTCTTATTAATAATGTATATAGCGTGTCAGTTTCAACATTTCCAAAATTTATACATTGTTAAAACAACTGGTAGCTTTAATAAAGGCTTTTTATTTATAGATTTATAAATTATATAATTAATAGCTTACCACTATGCCCGATTTGTAACTGTTTCAAATCAATCAAAGGCTTAGAATACGAAGAATGAACAACATGTGGCTCGCCCTGGTTATAATCATGATCCAATCCAGTGTTTTCTAAAACAATGTATTATATATACGTATTAGAAAAAAAAACACACAATAAAAAATAGTAACAAAACAAAAACAGTTTCTCGAGAATGGAGTGAATAGAGCATGCTTATATTGTTTTTTACATTGTGCCGAGTTGGTGATATATCATGAAGTGGGTAGGTTTACCTTAGATTAAATCAGAGGAGGTGATAGCCCACAGGAGGAGACTGGATGAGCTAGTCATGGAGCAGTGGGCCGAGGAGCTGGGGGCGCAGCAGTTCGGGGTGAGGACCCTGGAGGCGCTGCGGCCAGTCCTAGGGCAATGGAAGGAGAAGAGGCATGGGTCGCTGACCTTCCGTCTGGTGCAGGTGTTGTCAGGGCATGGTTGTTTTGGCAGCTACCTGCACCGCATACGGAGGGAAGCGACCCCGTCATGTCATCATTGTGGCGCTGTCGGGGACACGGCACAGCACACGCTTGAGGAGTGCTCGTCGTGGTCTCGGCAGCGCCATGATATGGTCATGGCAGTAGGAAGGGATCTCTCGTTGCCCAGCGTCGTTAAAGCGATGCTGGACAGCGACAGATCCTGGAACGCGGTCGTCTCCTTCTGTGAGGAAGTCATCCTACAGAAGGGGACAGCGGAGAGGGCCCGCGAGGGGGACGCCCGGGCCGGCCCTCTCCGTCGCCGACGACCGGGAGGAAGGCGGCGGCGGTACGACTGCCTCTTTCCACCCTAGTGGGACTGCGGGCGGCGGACAGGGTGGTCCGTCGCTCGCATTGCACAGTCTCACCCGTCGAGGGGGGATGCCGAGGTGCTCCCGGGCATCCCCCTGACCACCAGGAGGAGGAGGAATTACTGCCGGGGTAACATGGAGCGTCATCCGGATCCCACAAAACCCGTTTCGGCAGACGAGGGAGCACTGTTGGGTTTTTAGTGGGTAGGGCCCCCCATTTGGGGGGAGGAGGAGTCCCACATAATCCCGCCACTCACCCGGGGCGGGGTATGCGTAACGCATTTTCCCAACAATAAAAAAAAAAAGGTACCTTAGATTAAAACAAAAAGGGTAGATACGGTACGCTCATACTAGCATCAAATAAAATATGATCCGACTTAACTACATAAGCAACTCACACACACGCACATGTCTGTATTTAAACATTTAGTCGAGAGAGCGAGACAGAACTGTACGCTTCACCGCAGCGCGAGCGAAACGGCGAGTCCGTTTCCGAGTCTGTACGGATAAGCTGTATTGCTGTCCTTTTCTTGATAACAAAATAGCGATTACGTACAAAACATTCACGACCAACAGTGATTTTTGAGAAAAAAATGTTATTTACAGTTTTACGAATGAAAAGTGTTGCCGAAGCATTTTTTTATTTGACTTTGAACTATTTGGTTTCTGTATAAAAGCATCGAAGGCATTGTATTTTTCATTATGAAAAACACTTGATTATTACAGTTTTATAATGTGAGAGGATATGCACGGTGGAACAAAACCTCAACGACGCCGACGACTTCGTCTTATCAAAAAACATCATGATGGCGGACCATTACCATTGGCGGACGCGGACCAAGGAGCTTATAAACTGTCTGATCTTCTGACGTAATCTTAATAATCTGTGCTCCTAGACGTGTACGGGGAGAACGGGGGTTACGGAAAGAGATGCAGAGGGTGAGGGAAATGTCAGATTCTAAAGTACCGTTCCTTGTCTATGGCCAAAAAGTTGGTCCAATGATTTTATATGAAGATTCTGTCTGTGTCACGGTTCCCAACTTAGGGGTTTTGCCCCCAGATTTAGGGGCTAGAAGTGTTAAAACGGACTTTTTTAGGGGCTAGAATTTTTTGGGGGTTCTTTTAGGGGCTTTTATCAAAACTTGCAATTTAATCGAAAAACAAAGCGTGTGTTTTCTTACAGTTTTGTGCGTAGAATGGAACGCACCACGACATGAAACGACTGAACTGACTGTGTGGCGGGTTCTTTCCTAAGGCTGTATGGACTAAAGTTAAAAAAACAGCTAAATAAGATTTAACAGTCTGTCAGCTCATTTTCGTTTGGTTGTCCTTTCGGAAACTGTATTTATTCAATTAAATAATTTACTGTAACTAATTAAGTAACGTTTTAATTTATGAGCAACGAAAGAATTTGGGTAATAATTAGGTACTTAAAAAATTGTATATTTAGGGGATTTTAGGGGAATTTAAAAAATACTTAGGGGTAAATTTTGGTAAGGGTTGGTAACACTGGTCTGAGTTTTAAAAAAAAAATGTGTCGTTCGTTTTGTTCTCCTAAATGGTCTGTGCGTTCGTTGCTTCCCGTGACCGTGGCGGGTTCGATGCTACCCGACTGAATATTGAAAATTTGAATAAAAATCAATTTTAAATTTATGAAATTAAATAAAATTCATTCACATATTCTGAACAATGGCTATGCTTAACAAGACAGTGACTATACTAGCTTCTAAGCTAGGTCTAGCCGAAGAAGAAAAAGTTCTGAAGTACAAACAATTTCAATTGCTTGTTTTGTTACTAATTAATTTCTTTCTAAAACAGCCGTAATGAAAAGGAAATAGGTGTTTTAGTAAAATCTTAAATATATTTTCAGTAAAGCAGCGGAATTCGAACGTCTCTTACATACAAAGAGTGTCGCTGGTAGTAACATAAACGACACCAGTAAAACTGTTGCATGTCTGGATTTGGCAGCTGGTCTTCTTGGAGCAGATTTGGATTTAGTGAGTACTAATTATACACTGATACCACTTGCTTGAAATTGTATTCACTGTTTGACATACCTAAAGGATTTTGCTTTTCAGAAAACGGCTATTAAATACTCTGGCCTCAAACCAGCAGCCTATAAAAATATGCGCAACGTGATTCAGAATCTCCTAGACTTGAATGAGGATCGGCTATCCACTTTGGTACTCTGCAACACACTACAGTGTAGTCCTGTCCAGAATTTAGCTGATAAAATATTGGAGGAATACCAGAAACATTCAAAAATCGTATGTGGATTTGAGAGTTTTCCTTCTTTTATTTTAGTACTAAAAGGGCTTTTATTAAAATATTTTTTTTGTAAAGAAATATCTATTGAAATAGAAAGAAAAGTTGACTGTGAAATCATTGTGTTATTTTTATGATACATTATTAATAGGTACTTAACTAATTAAAATAATTGGTAATTACTTCAGCTAATGGATTATTTGATTATAAATATGTAAATGCAGAGTTATTTTCTAAATGAACTATAGAGTAACCCAGTGAAGTCATTTTTAAATTTGTAATATGAGCTATCAAGTTAAACCAGAAAATTTATAAAGATAAAAGATTTGACACATTTTTTAACGTTAATATTGAAATAAATTAGCTTCAAGAATAAAAAACGAAAATTCAAAATATGTTAGACTAACATACCTGATATAATAATTTATCTAAAATGTTATTTTCCTCACATTTCTAAAATCAAACTTCAAAAAATTTATTCTAAATATTTTTTGCACATTTTTTATTTTAAGTAAAATTTCAATTTTGTGTTAACTATATATTGTTTTAAACTTTCTTGATTACTAACATTATAGTAATATAAGTTATATTGTTATATGTTACCATGTACCGAGCGAGTTTCCGATATACACTGTTACTCCGTGATCATGGCTTGTAGCAGTTCCAAAATATTGGAAACTCACTAAAAACAAGGTACATGGTAACAATGCCCTAAATAACTTATATTTATGTTTACTATTTGATGTTATGCTTTGTTTTATTGTCGCATACAAATGTTCTTGTTTTAGGTGTTGGATTTTAGTTTGCCTCAATATGTATGTATGGCTGTATTTCAAGCTTGCAGGTACTACTTATTATTTATCATATTGTTCATTCAATGTTTATTTTATAACTTGTTATAATAAAAATGGACTTTATTTTCAGAGTTCATAATTTGAAAATTGCTAAAAGCAAAATAGTAGAGAGATCTCGTTTGAAACCAGCTCAATGGAGTAAACTTGATGAAGAGTGGACTAAATTTGTAGATGAAAATATTGCTTCAACTAAGAAGAAAAAGGGGAGACCTCTAAAGAATACTGAGGCAGAGAAAGGTACTTTGATATTAAAAAATTATATATTATTGTAATCATAAGCTTTGTAACTGATTGGGGAGAAGTCTTGTTTGAATTTGAAACTTAAGCAATTGTAACTTTCTGTGGCTATAATTAAGTATTTATTATTCAAAATAAACCAAATAAAGAACAAATAAACTAAGAGAAAATGAAGTCTGCTCACTTAATGAGTCTGAATGAGTGAATCTACAAACAAAGTACAGAAATATTTTATAATTGCCAGACTAATAACACTGTTAAACAAGTTAGCACTAGCATCACCAGTTGATGTTTGCTAACAGTTTTATTTTAGTCGAATCACATCAATATACTCAAAATAAGAAAGCTTTTCTAATTTAGAAAACATGTAGGTATTTTCAAATTATATTTTTTCTTATAATTTTTCCAGATGATGTAGAAGATAAAATGGAAGTAGATAGCAACATAATTAAACCTGAAGTAAGAAAGGAACCTAAAATAGAACCCTATGTGGATTGGAAAAAGCGAATTTTAGATGGGGCCTACAAAGAGCTGAAGAAACTAGAATCAAAGAAAAATGAACAAAACTGTAGGTTGACTGCATCACCAAGAAGGTCTCCTAGAAAAACTCCACAGAAGTTTTCCCCTTATAAAAGCCCAAGCAAAGGGGCAGGAGTTAGATTACTCTTCCCTTTAAATTAAGCTGTGTCCAAAGTTTTACTATTAATGTGCCTCATATTTTAATGTTTGACATTTATGGATTTGTTCAGAAAACATAAAATTAACTAACGTATTTAATGATATAATAATTGACAATTAAATTGATGCATACAATGTTCCTTGAGGTAATAATTGATAATTAGAATAAAATTATGTTATTTATTAATAAAACATGACTTTTAGTTTATCATTTAAAAAATATAACCTTAGTAAAAGCTTCTTTAGAAATCCACTTGGTCATGCCTTTCATCAATATCAATAACAAAAATGGTATTTGTAGTAGCGTTTATATTTTATTGTACTTTTATACTTTCCAGTAATTGTGAAGATGTTGCAAATGTTACTTCTGAAGGCCAAGAAAAATCGAAATTTTTGAAAGAATCAGTAGATCCCAGCAGGCCTACGATCGCTTATCCAACATCCCTCGGGTTTTTATTCATATTTTTCACTCTGCTCGTTGGTGTGATAGTGAGAACGACAATGCTCTGCACCAGTATGTGCTTACCATATCGTGTAGTAATGTTTTGCCTCGGCGGCCTGGCTGGGTTTTGCGCGAACAAATACCCCGCTTTCAAACCGTTCGTCTGGATATGTTACGTAGACGTGGACCTCCTGTTAACTACATTCTTGCCGATATTGATGTTTAGCACTTCGTATGCGGTCGATTCGCACTCGTTCTGGAAAAGTTTTCCCCAAATTATCCTCGTGGCTGTACCTGGAGCACTTTTGACCGCGCTGATGGCAGCTTTCATGGCTTACTATCTGATAGAATCCTCCTGGAACATAGCTACGTCACTGCTCTTCGGTATAATATGCTCCCCGATATACCCAATGGAAGTTGTTCAGAAATTGAAAGAGATGACTAAAGGGAAATACGTGAGTGTTCTTCTGCTCGGGGAAGAACTGATTGGGGATGCAACTGCTATGATAGCGTTCACTGCTGTATATGGATACTTGGCATTGGCTCTTACTCAGACCTCGCATATCGCGTTGCTTCTAGTTCGGTACGCCGGAGGGGGGATACTGCTCGGCATTTTAACAGGCCACATCTCTGGAACGCTCCTATCTTTTATGTATTACGACTTACTGTGTGTGGTTTCGGTGACTTTATCTTCAGCATATTTAACTTATTATATCGGTGAAAAGTTCCTATACGTGTCCGGGTTGCTTGGCACTGTCATAGCGGGGGTCCTGGTCAGCTATAGAAAGTCATCTGTGGCGGGTGATGTCGAGCAAGTAGTAGCATATTTCTGGAGCATTCTGGCGCATATGGCGAACACCCTAGTGTTCACAATGGTGGGTGTGGTGATATTCGAGAAACTGAGCTATGTGATAAACATGCGACAGATCTCGTTGGTGTTTGTGACGTACGCGACGGTGTATTGCTCAAGGTGAGGTAGATTTATATATATATATATTTTTTAGTACCCAAGTGCCTATCAACAGATTGGTAATTTCACTCGACAATCAGCTAGCAACTTCAGACTTGTTTGACTGATATCAAGTCATACTAAACTAATGTCAAATATCTCATTTCAAGCAGGTATGAGAATTATTTACTAAATTATACTCATCTCATAGCATTATTTTCGTTAGATATGAATATAGCATAAAGGACCCGAGGTGCCAGATTTTAAAATACTAAATACCTACGCCCCTGATCTACCTATGTTTGTAATGGAATTATCGTTATAGGCTACTCGTTTGAAGGACAATGATGCCTATATTGCGTCACGTCGGCTAAGGTATGACGTGGTAACGTGCTGGTCGTGCGCATGGGGCGGCCTTAGAGGACCAATATTATATGAAGGACTTTATCTAAAGTACGGCCAAGGAGAAGCGATAAAAAAGTTTATTCACCTAAACGAGACTATGGGACTGAGAGTCCAATAAATACCTCTTTCATCTTATTTATATGAATAACATTAGGTCTCGTTCTCTCATGTCGCGTCATCGCCGAGGCGCCGAGTTCGCCAACATTCTGGCGCCCATTTCACAGTAAAAGGTTAACATAGTTTCATTTCTTTACGTGTCTTTCCGATACTACTCATGGTATATGGATCAAATAATTATTGTTTTTGAACTGTTGTGATTTTCTATTTTGAAATATGAATGATAATTTTCTACATTTTATTAAATTATATGTATGCCTATTAAAATGATAAACGTCCTAGGTTAATTTACATAAATAAATTGTCATTTTCAAAAATTTTGTCAACCCCTGCTTTGGTCAATAACCTTTCATCAATTTTATGTTTATAATCAACTTATCGTTATAGATTACTTGTCTATGCGACCATGATGCCCATATTGCGCCATGTTGGGTACGGTATGACGTGGCAACTCTGCTTGGCATGCGCGTGGGGCGGCCTCAGAGGACCACTCTCATTATGCTTGGCGTTACTCGTACTCCAGACTCCTGCTGTGGCTGATGCTGGTGAGGTAAGAATGTCCTATGTTAGGATCATATCCTATTCCTTATACCAGTCATCAGCATCAAATATTATTGTGCCTTACAGTGGTAGAAATTAATGTTACCACTGTAAGGCACAGGCCTTTACTATGAATGATGGATGGCCATGACCCGCCTCGCGGGCCCATCGCGGGTTGGTCGATGCTGAAGTCTGTATAAACATTATATTTTTTTATATAAATTAAAGAGGGCATACGAGCAGCTGGCTTACCTGATAGTAAGTGATCACCGACGCCCATGGACATCACAAAAATTGGAAATAAAGTGAAAGGTTGTCTGTTTGTTACTTAACCACGCAAAAACGGCTGAATGAATGTGGATCTTTTCCGGTACACATTTGTGTGACTATCTAGTTTAATGCCTGATTTAAGTCAGGATAGATTTTATTTCGGAAAAATATTAGGTCTATAAGACAATTGACCTAACATACCATTGATATCTATTTTAAACTATAACAGAATGGATTAGAAAAAAAAATATAGTATTTTTCGTACCATTTCTCCATCCATCAGATCTTCATAATCCAAACTTCTGGACTTGTGCTTCTTTCACTGTTAATAAATGCAACGACCATGGGCAAAGTCCTCAAAATGCTGGGCATGGCAGAGATATCGCTGGCGAAGAAGGCCAACATGACCAACTGTGTCAAACGCATCATGATGACCAGGGACCGGTGTGTGTCTATGCTGAAAATGGACAAGTTTTTAGCTGACGCCAATTGGGATTTGGTTGAGGAAGGTTAGTAATTTTATTTTTGGGCATGGCAGGGATATCGCTAGCGAAGAAGGTCAACTTTACCAACTGTGTCAAACGCATTATGATGCCCAAGGACCAGTGTGTGTCTTTGCTGAAAATGGACACGTTTTTTAGCTAATGCCAATTGGGATTTGGTTCAGGAAGATTAGTAATTTTGTTTTTGGGCATGGCAGAGATATCGCTAGCGAAGAAGGCCAACATGACCAACTGTGTTAAACGCATCATGATGACAAGGGACCGGTGTATGTCTATGTTGAAAATGGACAAGTTTTTGCTGATGCCAATTGGGATTTGATTCAGGGAGGTTAGTAATTTTGTTTTTGGGCATGGCAAAGATATCGCTGGCGAAAAAGGCCAACATGTCCAATTGTCTCAAACGCATCATGATGACCAGGGACTGGTGTGTGTCCATGTTGAAAATGGACAAGTATTTAGCTGACACTAATTGGGTTTTGGTTCAGGAAGGTTAGTAGTACTTATAAGAAGTAACATCAGAATCATTCAATGTTAAAGGAGCCTGATTACTTTTTGTTTAAAAATTCAAACTGCACTTTAGTCTTCTACATTCTCTTCCGATACTGACAAATCCTTTTTTTTATCTTATTCTATCCATATCTTCGTTTTTGTAAAGATGAAGCGGCAAATATATTATAAGACGACATGACGAAAAGAATATTTTCTAAAATCAGGCTATATATAATATATTATATTTAGCAGGATTTTAGAAAATATTTTTCTTAGTATGAAGCTTTTGTGGAATTTATTTTAATATGGGGCATTTAAGTTTATCAAATAAAATTCTCCATAGAAAGTAGAATTGCTGTAAATTATTGAAATTAACATTTGAACGTGCGTGTTGTAAGAGTTTTGTAATTGACAGAAAAAAAGAGATAGCTGACTTGACACATTTGAATAAAATTTCAGATTAAAAATAAAGTATATAAACCAAAATAGGTTTTATAACAAGAATCCTGTAAAGGAAGTAGGTAGGTTTTATCGTTTCCTCAAAAAGAGATTCCCTACTAGAGGGAGCAAGTAATTCACATCATCATCAGCCAATTAAACGTCCCCACTTTTGGGGCACAGGCCTTCCATATGGATGGAATGGGGAGATTGGGTCATGACCCACCACGCGGACGGAGTGCAGATTGGTGGATGCTAACGACTGCGGTTGCAGCCGGGGCCAATTGCTTAATGTGCCTTCCGAAGCACGGAGGAGCTCGAGACACAATTTTTTTACCATCCATCCAATGACCGACTACTGCGAAAGTTGCTTAACTTGAACGTTCGCAGCCGAACGATATAAATATCCACTTGAGCCAACCAGCTCCTAAATAATACACAACTAGGTACTTATCCGTTTCGTCTGGTTTATGGAGAGTACGTTTTCAAGGTACCCAAATAAAACATCCATACCAGTTACAAATCTCAGGCCGTGATGAGGACAGCGAGGACGACACGTACATGGGCTACCGGTACACGACATGCCCTGATTGTGAGAGGGAGATACCCAACGAGCCTACTAAGAAGGAGTTCGCGGAGATGATGAGGTAAGGAAAGAATTTTTTTTTACGAGAAATTATTCAATCTGGAGCCAGCCACCGCTAGGTCGCTGACACCAGGTTGAACAATTCCTCCCTTTTCCTCCCTTCGCTGCAGAGGTTTCACCCCCTACCACTTGGACGCTTGAAGTTCTAGCACCATGCGTTACGCGCGTTCTTTTTTCTTGCGTACCAGCAAGATCTGGAACGGACTTTCCTCAGCGGTTCTCCCTCTTAGCATAACATGACGGTCTTCAAAAAGCGGGTAAACCTTGTCCTTGGTGCTGCAAATCTCCATGGGGAGCAGTGACTACTTACCATCAGTAATGTGGTATCTAAAGCCGCTTCCTATATACTAAAGATGTAAAGTTCACTATAAAACTTATTCTAACTATATAACTATAATCTAAATGATGTAATGGATGGTGTCTTCAGAAGTATCTCTGAAGTCATTTTTCAACTCGATGACTCTGTATATAATAATAATACAGGGAGAAAAAAAACAGCCCTTGCTGAGTTTCTTGCCGGTTTTTCTCAGTACCTACAAGGTTTCCCGCCGTGGTTTTGCGAACCGATGGCGTAGCTTCTCGACCTTCACATATGCTGGTAACATCCTAGGCTGAATAAATGATTTTAGAGTTTGATTTTGCGTTTGGGTTTTTTGAGTTTGAGTTTAAGGTTGATTGCCAGGTTTGCCTGCATAAACATAAAAAAGGAAAGAAAGACTTATTTTGCCTAATATCAAACTTGTTGCTTTTCGAAATGGAAGAAAGAATGAATGGCTATATAGTATATGGAGTAGAAAGTAGGCTGTACTTTCTACTCCATATCCATCCATTCTTCCAACCATACTAATATTATAAATAAGGAAGTGTGTCTGTGTATCTGTTACCTCTTCACGCTTAAACCGTCGATTGAGATGTTTGCTTTAGATATAGTTTGAGTTCCGGGAAAGGACATAGCATAGTTTTTATCTGGGTGGAAGTTTATATGGGTAACCAATTAAACCACGCAGACGAAATCGCGTGCAGGAAACTGTCGTCTTGGAATACAGTTTGGATGAAAATTGGCACACAGGTAGTTTATTACCTAGATTGAGAGCTTCGAACTAGAATTTATTTCAGAAAATTGAAAGGTTTTTGTGGAAATTATCAATACACGATCTACAAGCCTTATTGGTATTGACCATGCGTGGATTTCTGTATTTTTGAATACTGGATTTCATGCTTTTGAAAACACGAGTAAATTCTTGTAACAAAATAAAGGAAAAGATATAAAAAATATACCAGTACAAACAGTGACCTCTGCTATTAGCCATCATTATTGGTCCTTCGAGCCGGATTTAATTGCTTTTTTTTAATTTACTCCACGAGTGTCCTTGTCACCGTGTAGCAAGCATTTTAGGATATAAAATATACTTGTAAAATAACGAGCGAGCCTTACAGTAGCCGCGTATGATGTGTAACATTTGAAACCTCATCTGATATAAGTAAAAAACTAGCAAACCAGTGAACCAAATGTTCACCAAAAAAAAAATGTATTTAATTAATTGAGAACTTCGGAGATTTTGTGTGGTTTCGTTTGAAATTCGTGATTTCTCGAAAACCGGAAATGCTACGTTACTCAAATCCGGTTTGTAGTCTTATCAGACTATTCTTAACTTATAACTTAAACATTCTCTTTATCTATCTCTTACGGTTTGGCCGCTGAAAGAGCACTACAGACAGACGGACGGACGAACGGACTTGTCTAATAGATAAGAGATGAAATAGAACCTACTACAAAAGAAATAAGCCATTTGAACATTATGTTCCTGTTACACACTTCCGCCCCGTTTTACGAAATCACTCCCACAAATTGCAGGAAAGCGAGAGGAAAGATGTTACACATCAATAATCTTCCAAATTTATCAATTTTCCCAGAGAAGCGAACCAAAGAGTATTGAAAGCGATGAAGATATCTTATTGGCGACAGTACGAACACGGAAAGATTAGCAAAGATGGTGTCAGGACCCTAGTCCAGGCTGTGGAGGTGGCAGCTGATTCTGATGATGCCAGGGTTAACTTGGAACAACTAGGAACTTTGTGGAAGCCTAAGGTACTCGATAAAAAATTGATAATTTAAATAAAACCTCGAAAATTATTGAAAATATACTAAAACTTTAACTTTATTATACCTACTTAGTAATAGTTACACCCAAAAATTTACAAGTCGGAGGTCACAAGCTCTGCAATTCTTTACAAGATAGCAAGCGCTTACTTTGCTACAAAAAAAGTCGAACTAATATCAGCGATATCTCTGTTCTCTGTTACTGAGTGGATAGAACTATTAACAAGTGACGTCAGTGAAACATTGTTTGCTCCGTGGTTTCAATACACCTTTTCATACTAGGTGATATCCCGCGCGGAGCTACATCATCGTAAATTTCATTTGCTGAGCAGCGACTTGCACGAACTTCATAGCCGACGAGCTTGGTCCGATGGTTTTATACTTATTTTAGTAATGGGCCCCTCAACAAAACTTTTCACACTAGGTTCACGCGGTCTGGCTAAGACGGAAGTTAGTCAAAGCTATGACTCCAGAAGCGGCCAATGTCCAAATGCCGCGGCAGCCATGGCGTCAGCGCTGCTACAAAATAGTAACGAGCGTGTGGTTCGACGGCTTCATATACGTCATGATACTCTCCAATACACCCGTCATCATCAGCGAAGTAGTGCTCAAGTCACCGCTTCCCACGAAAGTCACGTTTTCAATCAAAGCGCTTAATTTGTAAGTGGTTTTTTCTCTAGTACGGCGAATATTGTAAGGCACCTCGTGCACTAGAGGCCACGACTAGATTGACTAAAGAAACCATATGATCGTCGCGCACTTGGCCGCACACCGGGCTGGCACGACTGGTCGTTGTAGCTAGGGTTACGATATAGGAATTTCAACACCGGACAAAAATCCTGACATTTCGAAAGAAGTCCGGACTTTTTAGTCACAAAATGGTACCATTACTTACTTAGTTACAATGGTATGGTCTTTAAATTAATATGTACTTTTATTTTTCATATCCAATGCAATTTAAAAGATCCTGACAAAGTACGGCCTATAGTGTAGAAGTCCGGACATGTCCGGACTAATCCGGACGGTTGGTAGCCCTAGTTGTGCCCAACTTAAAGCGCCTACTGACATGCCTGCCGCAGGGACAACGTAGGGTGCACTGCGGTCGGCCCAATATCGGCTTGTCTCTATACACAAGCCTGCTATTCAGTGTTCGGGCGTATGTTGAGCTAAACACACGCGTTGATGATGGTCCCAGTGTTATCAAAAAATATGTTACCGTAAAAAAGGAAATACTGGGTGAATCATTGCCAACATAAAAGAAATGTATTGTAAATAAGTAATGTTTATGATAAAAAATCCACGCGGACCTAGCAGAACCCACACCCTTCGCTATCCGGGCGAATGCACTGATCAATTATGCTACCGCGGCCCTGACAGCCGTATCTAATTCTTTCTAGCCTTTCTTAAGCTGCAAGGCAGCGCCATCTCTTCGCATTATATATAACCCACAATGTCAAATGAATACCTTTACAAGTATTAAACATTTAAAAGAAGAAATAGCAATTAAAGTCATAATTGTAATTTTTAAAGCATGTAACTGCTCAATGTTTGAATCTAAAGAAAATATTATAAGAAAAAATTAATAAAAAACTGTTTCTATTTTTCTAGTAATATTTTCTTTAGATTTAAACATCGAGCAGTCACATATTTAAAAAATGAAAATTCGTGAGTGAACACTCTTCGTATCGTTCCGCAACGCAATACGACGTTGTTTTCTTTGCAATAAGATTTGATACAGAGTTATTATTAATGAAAAAAAGAAAGATCAGCTCTGTCGTCGCTTTACGGCCAGCCGTGATCATGGCCGCAAACTTGGCCGCAGCCCAACCGTATCTTCTGCTACCAAGATTGTGGCCACGGTCACGACTGGCCGTGGTCGTGGCTGTCTAGTGCGCAAGGTAACTAAGAAACACTATTTCTTTAATTACTATCGCTATAAAATGGACAGCATCATGTTTAATAAAAGTAAAACATTTATTGATGACTCTGTGTGTGGCTGTTAGAACGACACAGTGCCAATTGTATCCTCTCGGCGTAGCTATAAGTGTGATAATTGGAATTTCTTGTAGTATTTATCGATCGATTCGATCAACCTCGATAAGTGGAATAACACGCATTTTATACCCGTACAAGTATCGGCTGACGAATCTTGACTGGTCTGAAGTTAGCCGCCTGGCTATGCATTGGATTTTTCAGGAATGAAATTGTCTATTGCGCAGTCAATCTGGCTAATTTCAAACAGGTCAAGATTGGTCGCCTGTACACAGAGGCGTTTTAAAATAAGGCGTCCCGGGCAGTTCATTAATCAAATCAATGGATAGTAACGAATGCCTTTCTATGTCTTTTACCGGCCCTCCTCGGGCATATCACAGAACACATGAAGAGGTTAGAAGGGCCTTGTGGGCGGTGCAGGCTCACAGTTATGTGTGTTAATGCTCAAAACTTGGTTCTGAATGCATCGTCGCTCTCGGGTGTGAGCAGTAATTGGTTCAATTGTTTGATGTCGCGTCGTTGATTGGCTATCATCTATTAGTAGGAAGTATAGTGGGGGCGAGCCGGCGGGATCGCTTCCCGTACAAACGGTCTATGAGAACGCCTCTAACCTCTTTCTGTGGTTAAAATACGTCATAAAACCATCGCCATTAAACTGATTCATTTCAGATTTTTTTACATAATATACCTATTCGAGATGATTATAAAAATGGTTGCTCTCGGCATCGTCGGATATTTCAAGTCGCATTGGAACAAATTGGATTTCTTCATAATCGTCATGGCTACTGTTGGTTAGTTTTCTTTCTCTTGCCCTTTTTATTGCTAACCAAATAAACTTGTGCTTTTCAAACTCAATAGTGTATAGAATCTTTATCATCATCACCAGCCTATTCATGATTTCAGGCGTACAGGCTGACCCGTCTTTCCCAGTGGGCACTTTGGGCAAGTGCCCAGGGTCACGCGATCGATAGGGGCCGCCCTCAGTTCAAATACAAAGTCCCTAGTTCCTGTCAGATCACCAAATGATAACCAATATTTATTACCAAAAAACTTACTTACTAGCTTTTATTTAAGTCGCTCCATTTCAAGTCATAATCCACATCAAAGTTATGGGGGCCCCATTATTCCAATATGCCCATGGCTTTCAATAGGTTAAAGACTCCAAGACGGCCCTGCGTTTGTTTGTACAGGCGTTTTCATGAATTGCGTAGGAAGAAAGGGCTGCAACCCACCACGCGAAACTAATGGGGACAGAGACCAGTCCAGACCAACGACTTAACGTGCCTTCCGAAGCACGATATAGAGTTATATAAGTTTTGGTCACCCATCTATCGACCGACCATTGCGAAAGTTGTTTAATATGCACAAACGGAGACCAAACGCGCTAACCTACGCCATCGAGCTCCTCAAGCGTATAGAATACAAATACATATTTAATGACTCCTATAAACAACTAGCTGTGCCTCGCTGTGTTACCCGCGATGTATTAGGGATATTTTACCGCAGTAAAACGTAGCCTATGTGTTAATCCAGGGTGTCAGCTAACTCCATACCAAATTTTCTTAAAATCGCTCCAGCCGTTTAGACGTGAAGAAGTAACAAACATACACACTCACAAAGTTTCGCCTTTGTAATATAAATGTGACTATAACTCACTGAAAGACCGGGAGCAAAGTCTCGTGTTCATTTTACAAATAAATGCCCTAACCCAAATTCGAACCCAGGACTTTGGTTGTGAAATATGAGCGTATGATTATCATAATGTGTTTACCTTTTCAGATTTAGTCCTAGATGTGATCGACGCACTTACAGCATGGGACAAATGGCGGAATGTGAATTCCAGTATTCTCACAGCAACGAAACTATTGAGGATGCTGAGATTCTTGAGACTGTGCAAACTGGCAAGGTACACTTTAGGGAGCGGCATTTTTTTCTATTTCTAGGCAAAATCGTAAAAACTGTAAAAAACAAAAAAATCGGTAACTTTCTTCTAAGATTTTTTTATTTGGTCAGATACTTAGTTGAACGACTATTAGGCGCTTTGCAGACGCCGGGGCGGGGCGGACTTTTTGTCCGCGAAGCAATAAAAACCGCGTCTGCCCGTCGATATCTGCGGCTGCCCTCGCCGCGTACACAAAGCACACGACGGGCAGGGGCAGTCAGTTCAGGACGTTCGTTCTAGTGAATAGTCCATCACTAAAAAGCGCGTGGCGCGGACTGAGCTAGCCGCCCAGCGCCGCCGTCTGCGTTACTGCATATAAACTGGTTTGTATGATCCACAAACCAGTTTATATGCAGTAACGCAGCCGCGGACATGCCGCGCCGCCACTGCCCGCCGGGCACCTGCGGCGCGGTCTTTTTGCCCTCTGTGTGCGTTTGTAGTATAGGATTCACTTTGTGCTATCGTTCGCGGCGAAATTGACCGGCCCGCTCCGTCCCGCCGTCTGCAAAGCGCCTTACTCCAAAAGTAACGTAAGCACTTAAAGTAAGCACTATTATCATCATTTTTTCCAGGTTTTGTAAGCCAATAGTTTAGCGAGGGGGGGGGGGGGGGGGGTAAAACTACTGAATACAGCCTTATGACACTTATGATATACATACTTATTTCAGGGTATCAGTTCCACGAGTAATGGCGTACGTGGATAGGATGATAGACATACAACTGGCATTTGGATACGATGTTGGTAAGGTAAATGTGAAGTTTACATAATAATAGACATTTGTAGTTAACAACGTATTAGATCAAAGTTAGACACTTTCTTAACTCAAAATCAGACTCCTAATAATCTATAGATACATCTATACATATAAATAAAATTGGTGTGTATGTTTGTAATATTGAAATAACCGTTCAGCCAAAAAATTTTTTTACATGTTTTGTCTGTCTGTTTGTTCCGGCTAATCTCTGAAATGGCTGGACCTTTTATTGGCAGGTAGCTGATGTAATAAGGAGTAACTTAGGCTACTTTTGTTTTAGAAAAAATCTTTTATTTTAGAAAAAAAAACTAAAAGTTAATCAAGTAAAAATTTCCTTTTGATTTATAAATAAATAGAGCAGATTAATGCTTTAAATAAAATATAATAATTCTGTATCAGAGTAAAATTTGTGTTCTGACAGGAAGTAGGATTAATGTGTTTGAATAATCAAACTCAAAAGCAATGTGAAGGCGAAAAAACCTATGTAGCAGTACACCAGTACAATTATTGATGATAAAATAGAAAAATATCGAATACCTACTATGGTCGCATCCGAAAGCTAAATAATTTTTAATATCTGTCGGGCGTGCATAGATTTAGACAAATCGAAATGAGACCTATATAAATCCCGTATAAAAAACAGGTCACAGGAAGGAAGATATTTTCATTTATTTAACTAGAGGCCTTCTCTATTTCGACGAAAAACGAAATTTCGATCAAAATAAATTTCGCACATTTCTTACTCTATTTCTTTTTCATTTCGTAAATTCGTTCGTCCGAAAATAGTTTGACAGTTAAATTCTCCAAGCCTCTCTAATTCACAATACTTTCGAACGAAAAGTTGAATTTGACATATTATATTGTTCGAAATGTTAACCTCAAATTGACGAAATGAAAAGTGTTACCTTTTCTTTTTCGTTTTGGGATTTTTATTTGAATTAAGTCTAAAATGCTTGATAGAGTATTTTTCATCCAGGCTGCTTAGCTCCAGGAACATTTTATAGCATGTAAAATTAACAAAGAAACGCGCGGGTAAGTGAAATCTAATTATCGAACAAAGCAGCGATCGCACTTGGATGTGACCACGGAGGAAAAACAAAGAGGAGGTGTGGTGATTAAATTTCCTCAAGAAACGACGCGTGACAATTTGCGGGATGCGGGGTGTTCAGCTCCGCCCACTTCTCAATATTTCATCTATCGGCTAATAGCAAAACTAGCTTAGGTTGATATTTATGTTACTACGTAGTAGTTCAGCTATCTAACACTAGATGTTCAAAAGTTTTGTATATAATGGGACGTACTCAGAACTTGAAGCTTCAAAAAAATGAAATATGTAGGTAAATAAATAAAATAAGCGTTAACAAATTTGACCGATTTTAAAATTTTTAAGGTATAATTTTTATTATTTTAAAACATGTAACTGCTTGATGAAAAAAAATCCAGGCAGACCAGGCAGCAGACGGGACTCGAACCCGCACCCGCTCCCGTCTGCTGCCTGGTCCGCGTGGATATTTTTCTAGTTATATTTTCTTTAGATTTAAATTTTAAGGTAGTTTAAAAATAATAGACAAAATGTTATTACAAACATAATTTTATTAAAAAATATCAATTACCTGTAAATAATAGTTTTGGTTAGTTGTTGTCGGTTGGTATCGTTTTGTATTGTGGCAAAATGCTTAAAACGAATATCAATATATTTTTCTGCAATCGATTTCATCAGAAACACAACATGATTAACTGTAGGTGATTGGTCAAACATATGGTTGGCCGATTTTTTGAAACAATCTTGTCCAATAAGTGATTTTAATGTATTCGATACAATTTTATGTTTACGAAAGTTAGGAGTATTCAAAGATTGCGATTTAACACAACGAATACTGACTTCGGTCCGTATACATATTTTTATGACATCTCTAGATGGGAAAGTAAGACCACCCTTATTTTTAGTTTTTATCAAATCAAGGTCACTATCGTCGTAGTTATCAGCATATAATTCTTTGAGACAGCTCTCACATTTGATCTTGGAATGTAAATATTTGACCACATACCCAGAAATATATGCTACTATTTGACGGCGCAAATAGTCACCTATAGTTGTATTTAATTGTTCATCAAATTCCAATAACATATCGTCAGGCATAGGCTCGACATCCGTGCTATCCGAAGACTCGAAACTATTTAAAATGCGATAACGTTCTGATGTAATATTAATTTTTTGCACAGAAGATTCATTTAAAATGGAAATATCTTCTTCTTCTATGGTGTCCAATCCGGTCTATTAAGTTTTGAAATCCATTGCTGTTTTAAATTATCGTTGGATGGAAATCTAAAACGAACATAAAAATAATTAAAATTTATTTACTTGGTAAAATAATTTAATACGTATTACGGCCCTGGATATTTGTAACGTTTAAAAAGTTATTCTATATGACGACAGATGGCGGCCAGTTAGTAATATATTGATAAAATTACTGTTTTAGATACTAAAAGTTATTTAGGAATAAGTGTATAACAGTTTTCAGTATTTACGTATGATTATTACAATATACTACTGCAAAATTATACGTAAACTTGTGTATTTTCTTCCTAAAAGTGTCGCCATCTGGTGTCAAGTAGTAGAATTTTAACGCTGATAGCTGAGGCTGAGAATGTTCTAGAACTTATATATTTAATTACGTATAAAATTACTTACAAATGAAATGTGATGCCATCCATATTATCAGAACGTCTGTCTGAGTAACTTTGACATAGTAAAACACAAAACTTCATCCTTTTCTTGTTAAAAACGCAAAAAAACACTTATAATGCGAGTCTCGTTAAGTGTGCACCTGACGAACGCTGAAAGCATACTGACTTAGGCCCCGCCCACAATGATGACGTCAGGACCTAGTTGAAAATCACAGTGCACAGTTGCTTAGGCCAGCTCCTCTTTGTTTTTCCTCCGTGGATGTGACTGACTGGCACAATGAGTAGGAAAGACTGCGAGACAGGACAGAGGACATAGCGGATTTTTCGCTTAAATTGGAGCGCCCGTCTGGGGAAGCTATCTGCACCTTACAGAAGACTTCAGTAAAATAACACTACCTTTTGGTGGTGTTGTCTTTCTGCTGCTGAGTAGGGTTCTAGCGCTCCACGGGATAGGGGATTGGGTTCAGGCTAGGGTTGCCACCCGTACTTTATTATAAAGTATTGTACGTTATTTCGGGTAATTGTACTCTTTACTTTATGCCAACAATAAAGTACGCGAAAATTCTTTATTTAATGTGATTTGATTACTTGGGGATTAATTTTACATAAAACATACAAAAAAAGGATAAATAGAATTTTTGCGTAAAACGGAACCACAGAATGTATAATATATTGTCGCGGCTCTTTCCCTTTGCGGATAAGAACTACAGATTTTTAGTAGCCACAAATTATTAATTAAAAGTTGCTATACGCAACGTAAAATATATTTTTAAGCTTACTAATAAACTGGAATTAAATGTACTTTATTTTGGACACAATGTACTTTTTTTTCTACCTTTAATCTCCAATGTACTTTATTTGGACATAAAAAAGGTGGCAACCCTTGTTCAGGCCGGCAAGGTGAAGATGGCTGGATGGCACACGTTCTGCCGCTAGATCTATCTTCGTGACTGGACTCTACCTACACTTACCACCAGGTTGGGTGGAGTAACTTGTTGCAACACGTCAAATAGAAAAAAGACTGCTCTCCTTAGGGCTTCGTGACGGGAGAACAAGAAGTATGCAATCTGCTGCCACAGCTGGTTGACAACAAGGTTATCCAGGAGACGCTCAGTGCTAAACTGGAAGCTGATCGGTAAGTTTTAATAAGCTACTGTAACGTCCGTTGCGTTACAGCCTCCTTGTTTGGGTAAACTCTTTGTTCATGTAATGCTTACGACTGGCAGTTATATTAAAAAGCTAATGTCATGATTTTTAAAGATTTGAAATTGGGAATCTTCTGTCGTTTGATAGAAGGTTCCAGGAGATAGAATTAAGACTCGAATTAAGGTTCGAATTCCGGTAGGGGTATTTTTTATGTCACGAGAACAAATATTTGTATCAGTTTTCCGGGCCCACATATCTGCTCACCTTTTGACGGTCCCTAGCATATCAAAAATAAAACAACTTTACTTGGGACTATAATACGTATTCTCTTGTTAAGAATAGTGTCGACCATACTTAAGTAAACAAAGATCAAATCTTTGTTTGAGCGTAAATTTTGTCTTTAATGTCCTTCTGAAATAAGCATATACTCAGACGAGTTTTGATCAATGTTTATGTTTCTAGAAACGTTCTAAAATTAAATCTCGTTTTAAAACTAGACTTCTTACTGAGAAATGTTCTATAATACTAGTCCAAGAGCCCACTGCGAAATATCTACCCGAATCGGACTTACGGACAAATCGTGTACGATTCGATGGGGAATGTGGTCGTGATAGGGTTGCCGGACATGATAAACCCTGTATCTTGACCGAAGGGTCGAAAAAAGGGCCACTTCCGGTCAATTTTTCGGGAGCCTGCTACCCGGATAAAACTTACAATCAAAATTAGTGCCAATCGATAGGGGATGTTGAGCACTTTAAGGAAAAATCGGGTTGCCACCCCCCACCCTGTCAGGGGTTGCGGCAGCCACCCTTAAGTGTGACCCATTTTCCTATTGCTCTACCCGGATCGAACTTACGATTTTTTTTTTCCAAATCGAAGCTTGAACTTTCCCCAACACGAAAAAATAGGGTTGCCACTTCTGACCTTGACCAGAACAGCCGTCAGCCAGCCCCGAGTTACCCAATTTCGAGGTTCCAATTTCGATCGCAATTTAACTACCCGCATCGAACTTACGATTTCTTTTTTTTTTAAATCGAAGCTTGAATTTCCCCCAACACAAAAAAACGAGGTTGCCAACTTTGGCCTTGACTGAAAATTTTTCTGCCAGTGAATTATGGCGTCAATATTAATTTATTTTATTTTGGAGCAGATCGAAACGAATCATGAAAAAACATTAGAAAATCAGATTTTTTTTTTTTTTTTTATTTCATTAAGGAATGAACAATCTTTGGGCAGGTTGGTAGAGGCGTGGATTGAAAAACATGGGTTTGTATGACATGAACAAACAGTTTTATTCATTCATAATTTTACAATTCCAATTACGATAAATATAAAATCATTGCAATTAAAACTTAACGGCAAACTCATTCGGAATCGGAGTCGGAACTATGAACCGCAAAATCCTCATTATCATTGCTTCGAGTCGGTTCTATGATTATAATGTCTTCTACTCTCAACGGGGTTGGATCGTCTTAATCGAAAAACGAACCTTTACAAAATAAACTGTTTTTTGAACATATTGACTTTGCGTGGTGGTTGTAAAATAGATCGTTTTAAAATAGACGTTTTCGACAACGTTGTGAGAACGCCGGTAACGTTTCGTTGTGTTATTTAGAAAACGCGTAACGACACATATCTACTTCTATTTCAATAACCCGGCAATTTTTTTTTTGCTAGACCGAAAACAGATAGATCCCTTCTACCTGGGAATTTTGAAAAGACCCCATAATACATGAGGACGTAGCAGCTGCTGTCGTTACACTGTTGCCACGATCTCAACGCTTCGATCTGCTCCAAAATAAAATAAATTAATATTGACGCCATAATTCACTGGCAGAAAAATTTTCAGTCAAGGCCAAAGTTGGCAACCTCGTTTTTTGTGTTCGGGGAAATTCAAGCTTCGATTTAAAAAAAAAAGAAATCGTAAGTTCGATGCGGGTAGTTAAATTGCGATCGAAATTGGAACCTCGAAATTGGGTAACTCGGGGCTGGCTGACGGCTGTTCTGGTCAAGGTCAGAAGTGGCAACCCTATTTTTTCGTGTTGGGGAAAGTTCAAGCTTCGATTTGGAAAAAAAAAATCGTAAGTTCGATCCGGGTAGTGCAATAGGAAAATGGGTCACACTTAAGGGTGGCTGCCGCAACCCCTGACAGGGTGGGGGGTGGCAACCCGATTTTTCCTTAAAGTGCTCAACATCCCCTATCGATTGGCACTAATTTTGATTGTAAGTTTTATCCGGGTAGCAGGCTCCCGAAAAATTGACCGGAAGTGGCCCTTTTTTCGACCCTTCGGTCAAGATACAGGGTTTATCATGTCCGGCAACCCTATCACGACCACATTCCCCATCGAATCGTACACGATTTGTCCGTAAGTCCGATTCGGGTAGATATTTCGCAGTGGGCTCTCCGACTATACGGACCTAAGTGAGCCGATAGATGTGTCCGGAAGTGTATTTTATACCCCGCTACTTTTGAGGGACTTACTTGTTTGGTCGTTACCAAACGCACGTATTGAATATCCAGGTTAGCAGTTACCCGTCAACTAGGCTTGCTGCAGAGGGACAGACCTTGGACCGCCATCACGGTGAAGACTCGCCAGGCCACCACCTCCACTCTTCATATAATGATCCTGGACGCTATGCAGCTGAAGGAAGAAGGTGATAATATTACAGTAATCAGTATGGAAGAGCTTGCTGCGGAGAGACAGACCTTGGACCGCCATCACGGTGAAGAATAGCCAGGCCAACACCTCCACTGTTCATATCATGATCTTTGACGCAATGCAGTTGAAGGAAGAAGGTAATAATATAATAGTAATCAGTATAGAACAGCTTGCTACAGAGGGACAGACCTTCGACTAGAGACGAGCACGTGGCCCACCTGGTGGACCCAGTGCGGTTTGGTGGGTGTTTACGACTGCAAGTGGAGCCACCAACGGCTTAATGTGCCTTCCGAAGCACGGAGAAGCTCGAGATAATACGTTTTGGTCACCTATCCTATGACGATTCATGACGAAAGTTGCATAATTTCTACGATTTTAGATCGAGCACGCTAACGACCTGAACCGCTGGAGTCCTCAGCAAATAATTTAGGATGAAAAATACGAATTTGTTTTCTGTGCAGGATTTTTAGATGAAATGGAGTACCGTTTATTGTTGAACGCAATCCAGGAGAAAATACAGTTGTGCAGACACAAAGGCAGTCTAGTGGCGCCCTCTTCACCGGAGGTAGGGAAAAGAAAATACGCTATTGTGAACTAAATCAGTATTCTTTTAAGTGGGTTCCTACGAATTATAGTTTCTTTATAACCCAGATCAAAATAGGTTTTCAATTTGTCAGAATCTTTTTTATTAATATATTTCCCGATTATTTTCAGACGGACGAACCAAAAATTATCCAAATTGTTTCAGCCTTTTTTTTTGTTGGAAAGGATAACGTTTCCCTAGATGTTCCCATAGTTATAAGGCCAAGAATTGATGACGAGATCCTGGACTCTGAATTCAAATTAATTAACTTTACTTTAAACTTAATTTTAAGATTTGATTAAAGAATGATAATAATATCTTTTTATGGTTTTCTTTATAAAGTCGGTTCGGTTTTGTTTTTGTTAAAATGTAGTTCCATACATATTTATAATTTTCAAATCATGACGGGGTTACTCTATTTTATGATTGTTAGGTTATATTAAAATTTCTTGGCCCTATTACACCTAGTCGACATATGTCATATGTCAAGAAAGTGACATTTCTTTGTGATAACAGTAAAATAATTCAACACCTGGAATAATTCATTAATTTTAATTAACGTGTCGTACAGACTCAACTCAGATCCGTGTCGTGGATGCAGAACAACGAGCGGGTGGCGGATTTCTTTCTAGAAAACTCGGAGATACTCAACTACAATTACAACGACATTCTGCTATCGAGAGGTAAGTAGTCGCGCGTTCGAATTTTAGGTTACGATATGTACAATTTCAAATTTCACCTTTATTGACAAGTCACTGGTGTGAATCCTATTCCTAGTTTCCGACTTATAATATTATAAATGTGAAAGTTTGTATGTTTGTTTCTCAATCACGCAAAAATGAATGAACTAATTTTATGATCTGGCTTGAGACACAGGCAGCGTTACCATTTAGGAATTTCAAAAGTTCTGACATAAATCCCGACATTTCGATAAAATTCAAATATATTCAATTTTAGTCATAAAATGGTATGTTAATTACTCACTTAGTTACAATGGTATGGTATTTAAATCAATATGTACATTAATTATTCACATCCAATGTAATTTAAAAAAGTCCGGACTGTATTCTAAAAGTTCGGACTAATCCAGACGAATGGTGACCCTAGACACAAGTTACTTTTTATCTCGGTATTCAGAATTTAAGGTTTCCGCGGAATTATTAAAACACTAAAGTTGGCCGCTATTGACATGTAAAATTTGCTTGTGCTAATTCGCCCCGTGCGGCTCGGCAAATCGGTTCTAAATTGTGACGACCAATGACGTATGATATAAAGACAGGTTATACGCCAACATAATTACATTTTAAAATGGCAAAAGTAGTCCTCGCTCCAACTTCCGTTGGCAACAGCCGCCAATAGAGCGCACTAAAATAGTCTCTTTCATAAGCAGATTATTACATCTCGCTCTTTAGCCTCCACGTGTGAACGGTGTCGGCAACTGTCAAAATGAGTAATCACTAAATATTAAAAAAAAAAGAATGAAATGTCACGGTTTTCTTGTCAATAATACACTGGGTATTTTGTGTACTATCAAAAACACACATAGGGCTTTTTGTCTGAAAAAACGTAAAATATTTATACCTACGTTGTAGCAAAGTGTAGCCACGGAGAGAGAGCGTTGACTCTCTGACTTTCGTATTGCCAAATTGGAAGCGTGTATGACGTATATATATAACTTTAAAACATCATAGGTGATTTCGAAATTAGTTTCGATGGCTAGCCAAATGACGGTCAAAAGTTCCCTTGGGCATATTTCATAAAGTTCTCAGAATACTGCCTATAGTAGGTATTTTTTATGTCTTGATTTTGACAGGTGCTCACATAGTTTACACGTGGAGGCTAAAGAGCGAGATGTAACCTGCTTTATGCATGAGAGTGAAAGAGACTACTATAGGGCACTCTTTTGGCGGCTGTTGCTAACTGAAGTTTGGGCGGGGAGTACTATTACATTTTAAAATGCAATAATGTTAGCGTTTAATATATCCATATGTTATACGTTTTGGCCATTGGTCATCACCCACTACCTAATCCCTATAGTACCTACAGAGGCAGCTTGTCAGGGTACTGTAAAGTGTAAAATATTTACAAATAATCTTGCGAATCTTATATGAGCAAGATTAATTGACAATCATAACAGTTGGCCAACTTCACGTTCAAACAGTGAAATTCAACATCATCATTTCGTCATGCAATCCAAACATTTCCTATTAAATTAATCAAATATGTGCCTTATGACCTTATCCTTTAAATCTACAATTTCAATCTACGGAAAGGATATATTGCTGCCTAAATTAATATTAGCTTTAGAGAATAGTGCCAGAAATAAATTGTAAATATTAAAATTTTTAAAAATTAAGACCATCAATAATCCTTTCCAAGGTGACGAGCCCAAAGGCATATACATCCTTGTCTCCGGTCTTCTAGAAGCGACATACGAACCGCCAGACGGCGATATGGACGAAGCGATCCCCAACTATGAGTTCCTCACCGACTTGAAGTTCGGCGACCCCAGCCAAGACTACATCGTGTCCGGGAACGCGGTAGGGGTACTCGGGGTGAGGAAATTCAGCGTAATTGAAGAGCCCTTTCACATTTTTTACAAACAATCGTAATTTGCAAGAAATCGTCATTTTTGAGCGCCTCGTTTACCCCCTTAGAAAAGATTTTGACTATTTCCAATAGAAGTAAACAGTAGATTTATTCTTCCTATTGTAAGTTAATGTAGAATATTTGCAAATACTATTTTCCTTTTTTTGTACTGATCATTCTACCGCAGTTCGTTTACGGAAAAAACGATAATATGCACAACTTTAGACGCCTGAATCTCTAAATAATGTTCAATAAATTAGATCAAATTAATTACTACGACATCAGAAATATGTTTTTGTTGTAACATAATGTATTAGAATTTTGATTTTCCATCTCATTAATTATCAAAAAAAACATCTAACCTCCGTGAGTTTTCCCAAAAATCAATGCAGGTTTACCCGTATTTTGATATTGAATTAAATAGAATTAGTATCAAAAACTTCCATAAAACTAATCTACCATTATTGAATTACTAAAATATTTATATATATTTATAATTAGTTCATTAATAATTATTTAATACGACTCGAAACATCACCCATAAAATGCAATATTACTAGTGCAAATCTACCTACGCGCCGATCAGTACGGCAGCGGCGCAATTTTGTAAAAGGGCTCTGAAGCAGTGATTGCGGCGTGAAAGCTAGAGCGTCCAACTAATTTTCGCATTAACAAGGTTTTTAGTTAGCATTTATATTTTGTTCTTAATAGATCTACAAATTAATACATTAATATACATACATTATAATTCTTCATAGGTGCTTACGAATCGACCGTACAATTACACTGTGCGTTGCGACTCCGCGGTTCAAGCTTACTACATAACTATGCCAATCATCAAGGAAGGCTTCAACCTAGCGCCGCATCCTATACACGGGTAAAGGTGTGATCAAACTATAGCTGAGATAATGTAAAATTAAATTTGGGATTTAATTATTCAGTTTTAAAAAACACTCACTTGCAATTAGGTCTCAAACTCAAACTCATTTATTCAGTCTAGGCTGTTTTACAAGCTGTTGTGAAACTCAAACGCTACGCTATCGGTTCGTAAATCTACGACGGGAGACCTTGTACTGAGAAGAACCGGCAAGAAACTCAGCACGGGCTACTTTTTTCTCCCTTTTTTGTTTCATAGTTTCGTCAATTGAAAGATGACATTAAAACTTAAAACATGTGTTGATGTCAACTTTCATCACATTAATTAGTAATCACCAATTAGCATTGGGCCCGCGTGGTGGGTTACGGCCCAATCTCCCTATTCTATCCATAGGGAAGGCCTGTACCCCATGTTACATTAATAGGCTGATGATGATGATGATGTATTCAGATGGTTATGGATTCATGGATCAATATTTTAGCTTGGAAGCGGCGATGTGGCGAGAGATCGGAATAAAGTTCTCCATGATGGTGCTGCCATCTGTGCCCGCGTACCACGGGTGGTCTGTAGAGAAGCTTAGCATGCGTCTGGAACACAGTTTCGTGCCTTGTTTGAAGGCTTTCAAGGTACGTGGTAGAACAATAACGCTTCTCTAGCTTAGATTAAAACAAAAAGGGAAGATACGGCACTCGCGGCTCAAAAGTGATGCGCTTAAATTATGGTGCATGACCACGGTTAGTCACAATTGGACATTCAAACAAGCTGCATGTGCATTCAATATAATAATATTGCGTATATTATGTGTTATAAAGATAAAAGAATGCCTTCGATGCTTTTATAAATGACACAAATAGTTCAAAATCAAATAACAAATGCCTCGGCAACACTTCTCATTCGTAAAACTGTAGTCATTTTTTCTCAAAAATCACGGTTTGTCGTGAATGTTATTTAAGTAATCGCCATTTTGTTATCAAGAAAAGGACAACAATACAGCTCAGCCGTACGGACTCGTATCGCTCGCACTGCGTCGAAGCGTACAGTTCTGTATCGCTCGCTCGATTGAATATTTATATAAAGTCGTGTGCGTGTGTGTGAGTTGCTTACGTATTTGAGTCGGATCATATTTTATTTGATGCTAGTATGAGCGTATCTTCCCTTTATGTTTTAATCTAAAATCTCTACCCTAAGCACGAACCAATATCAAATTCGAATAGTTGATTTCGATCTATGTTATACGTTTAAATGTACCTATATTGATTCTTACTTCTCGTTACGTCCGTCGAAACGCTGCTGTTCAAGTTCAGTCCCGGGTGGGGTAGGTAGTGAGAATAAAACGCCATAAGACACGGCGCGTACACACATAATTCGGTTCATTCACATTCAATACTTTTTTCATACAGGCCCGCCGGTTTTTGCGGCCTCAGACGTCATCTGCCTTCAAAATGCGATCAATGAGGGTGTTTAGAAAAATTCACGTAACCAGTTTGTGCCACTGTTACATGAGGTCTTTTGTTTGATGAAGTTTCATGAAGTTTTTGGCGCGAATTAACAGAATGAGAATTTAAATTGATGCATACACTATGACGGATGACATAGGTGATTTGACGGTTGAGTAGTCCTTTCGGCTCAGTGCTGACACTTTTTTTTTGATGACGGCAAGGAAAATGCATTATTGTCACGACAATGAACAACGGTACGTTGGTTTGCTGTTAACAAACCCTCGCGACGCAGGTAATTGCGTGGTGCATTCAGCAAGCGGCGAGCAGCCTGAGGGCCGCTAATCGATGCGGGTATACATTAACGTGCACTCACGCAAGCGTGGCATACGTCAAACTACCCCACCCTCGACCTGCAGCCCGGACCGCACCCGCTTTAGCCGATCCTGGGTTTCTCCGTTCACCGCGTTATAGTTTAGTTTAGTTTATTTTAACCCCTATCTATTTTTTTCAGCAAAAGTATTTTTCCTTTGTCCTTACCCGATATCCCCTTTATCTCCACGCTAAAGTTTCACAGCTTGATGGACGGATTTAGTTTCACATTTTAATGGAGTACTTATCGATTGATATTTACATGAATATTGTTTTCATAGGTATTCGTAGTGAACGAGTTGATGGAAGACATAGTGCTGATCGACGGCATATGTCAGGATATGGTCACCAGGGAAGTGTTCCAGCCGCCCTGCTACATACCAAGGTATTACCTGCGTATATCCAGACATTATTAATAATCAGCATCAGCCTATTAATGTCCCCACTGCTCGAGAACAGGCCTTCCTTATGCATGGAATAGGGAGATGGGGCCATGACGTGGACCTAGTGTAGATTTGTGGGTGATAACGAGTGCAGATGCAGCCGGTACCAACGGCTTAACGTGACTTCCGAAGCACAAGAGAGCTTGAGTTCATAACACTTTGATAACCCATCCGAAATTGACCATTGAGTAAATCGCTGAACTACCACAATCGCATACCGAATGCTCTCGCTTCTCCTTACCTTTAATTATTATCATTAATGTCCCCACTGCTGGGGCACATGCCTTCCCTATGGATGGAATAGGGAGATTGGGCCATGACCCTCCACGCGGGCCCAGTGCGGATTGGCGGGTGCTAACGACTGCAGGTGCAACCGGGACCAACGGCTTAACGTGCCTTCCGAAGCACGGAGGAACTCGAGATAGAATTTTTTGTTCACCCATAAAATGACCGACCACTGCGAAAGTTGCCTACTACCTGCGCCATCGAGCTCCTCCTTACCTTTAGATTCCAGATTGTAATACATTTACAATTAGTAAATTCTTCCGTTCAGAACAGCGCATCGACTGGTATTCCCAAAGTCATCCCAGCTTATCGTGTCAAGCTCGTGCCCGGAAACCAAGCTCCTCATCATCCCAGCCAAGGACACCGATGAGCTGGATATCATGGAAGACGAGCTTGACGACTTGCAGTGTGAACTGGTTAGTCATCAACATCATCCTACCGATTAAGCTGTTCCTTATCGAAACCATATAGTACTTCCTTCAAGCAGGATATTATTGAGGACGAGATCGATGACTTCCATTGCAGCGAGACCTGTGAGCCTATTCGCTAACTTTTTTTGATGATGAACTCAATCGATGCTTTTCAGGACAAGTATCTTAGTAGCGTTATAATAAAGCAGTAGTGGATCACTAAATAGCTCGGTGATTATCACTTCCATCTGTCAAAAGCAGTTAGCGTATAGGCCTACTGTAATGTATAGTAAAATTGTCTCTGAATGGCAATGTCAATCAGGGCTGCGTTTGGAACCTGCGCTCCGGGTGCAACCAATCTTGATATAGATGTCATTTGCGTAAACGGTGGCGCCCCCCTGAACCCACATTGTTGTTGCTTTGCCGCACTGTATTCGTGATTTGGTATTTTTATTTTATTTTATGTTTTGTAGTATGTACGTGTTTTTTTTTTATTTTTATTTTGTTATGTTTATTTTATTACTTGTTAATGTTATTGTTTCGTGTCGTCACTAAACCGGCGCTGGTCTTCCGTTGGAACCCAATGGAAGACCAGCGCTGATGGCAACATCAGCACGTGCTGAGTTGGGACAGATTTGAGACAAAAAATTATGAGTATGTTTTGTTTTTATATTTTTTTACTGATGTTTTGTCTCAAATAAATTTATTTTTCTTTCTTTCTTTCTTACTGGTCATTCATCAACATCCCCTTTCATCATCAACCTTTCTATATTCGCCCCCACTAATGAACTGTCTCCATCAAGAACACCTTTACATTGTAGAGATTGAACCCGACATCATTAACCTATCAATGACTCCACTGTGCAGATTTGTTGGTGCTAACGATTTCTGATGCAGCGGGGACGTTTAACTGTTTGTCTAACGTACCTAACGAAACACAGAGGCCCACAATTTTTTTTGAGTTACCAGCCCTAGGTAAAGATTATTGGCAAAATTTCTTAATTTTCAAAATCACAGATCGAACGAGCTTCCCCCTAAAGGGAACTCTCGCTCGCTTGATTATATAGGGTGAAATTGAATGTTTTAATGAAACTTCGTGAGATTGTTGGGTTACGTGTATAGAGTATGCCTGATTTTTTCGGATTTTTTATAATTATATTTTTCGTTTTTTATTTGTGCATTTTATGTCCTTTCCTCTTTTTGAGTAATAATTATTTTTAAACACGTATTCATAGTATGTGAAATATAACAAATAAATAAGCACTTCTAAAATAAACGAATAAAATAGTGGATGCGGCCAGGCAAGGCCGACAGACGCCGGGGGCAACGACCGCACACAGCTGACGCGGCGAGTATCTACTGTACAGTACAGTAAAATCGTCAAAGGCAATTAATACGGAATAGATCGCTCTCAATTCTGAGACTACGACCTTGAGATACTGTGTTCATACAAAACAGCATCTCAAGATCGCTCTCAGAGTTGAGAGCGTTCTATTCATACGGGCCTTAGATGCCATATTACAATAACAGATTTATTTAAATAAAGAACAAGTGTTATCTTCTCATTATCAGAGAAAAATACCTAAAAAGTTAATAATAATTTTGTTACAAAAACAAATACTTATTGCAGTTTAATACATGGTTCAGAAAGAAATTTATAACTAGGTATTAGACAGTACTTACGAGACCTGCGATGTAGGTAGGTACAACGAGGAACGAGGAACATATTCATTTGTTTCACTAAAACTTTTTATCAAATCAATCACACTGGTAGTACACAATTAGTTGTTTCAAATCAAAAAGTATTTACACTAGCAATAAAAAGAGACTTAAATTATTATCTGCAAAATTGTTGCTCTAAACCACCATTTTGCTGCAAACAAAGGTAGGCACGTTTGCGGACGTGTCTTTCCACCATTTTTAAAGTGTCCCTATCACTACTTAATGCACAAAATGCAACTTCTATGGTTTGGGGACTCATTCGTAAACCAAAACTGCTTCGTCACACTCGCGATAGTAGTACACTGTCTCTAAATATTCTTGGTTCGTATACCGAGGCATAATGAAATTATCACAGTGTATGTCACTAAGTCAAAAGATGCGCACGCCCACGCGCGATTGATATACTTGCGACTAGTATATAATGTACTCTATGGACTGCGCTTTGCATGCAATCAAAGCAAAGCACCGCACGCGGGGAAGAGGGGAGGTGGGCGGAATGCACATCATCAAAGACGCCGCAACCGGTGCTAGCGCTGCATGTTTCTTGCCAGCGTGCGGCGCGCCGCCCGCCCGTGCTTGCCGCAAAACAACATATTATTATGTGTGTGTGTGTGTGTGTGATTGTGGCTGTGATTAAATGTGTTCGGAATTTCATGACGTGGGCATATCAGACACGAAGAGTTCCTTCCTTCACTAAGCTCGTAAGTTATACCGATTTGCTCTGTATGATTTTTCACAATTTTAAATAAGCCGTTTGTTCTTAAGTTTTAATTAAACGAGGCAACTAACATTATCAATAAAAAAGAAGTTCTTACACTCACAGACAGGCTTTACCGATTTAAAATCGTGACAGTCATGTTAAATTTATAGGATTTTTAATTGCTCTAACAGAAGATTTATTTTATTGATTAATTACCTGTGCTTTATGAAATAATATTCAGAGGTATTGTGGTATCAGTGAATAAATAACTATAATACAGCATCTAAGACTATTTTATTGTAATGTTTTTAAATAGTGTGGAATCAAAGCGGAAAGTAGGTAAGCGCCGAGTCATCTGTGCGTGTAGTAGGTACCAACACAGGCGGCCGCCGGTCATTGCTTCTGGCCGGCGCTGATCTCGACTGGAGGCATTCATTAAGTTTCGGTTTTTTTAGGAGTGCTTATTTTAAGTTGTTTTACAACTTCTATGTCGTGTTTAAAATGAATAATTACTCATAAGGAAGAAATGACAAAAAAATAACCAAATAAAAATGAAAACAATAATTTAAAAAAATCCGAAAAAAATCAGGCATCTTCTGTACACGTAACCCAACAATCTCACGAAGTTTCATTAAAACATTCAATTTCACCCTATACTTGGTTTGACGTGTTATATTTGTAGGTATATAGACCGATTTGGAAACAGTTTTTGAAGTTATACTTCTTTAGGCGCGTTATGAAAAAATGATGAGAGTGAAATTTTTAGATGCGCGCGCATCACTGTAACACAATAGTAACACCATGAAGTTGGCCGCGGGCGCGTTATGAATGTTAGTGTCTAATAATGGTGGATTATTAATCACTTAGTGGTTAATAATCCACCATTATTAGACATCTGTCCGAAAGGTACTTTGAACGATCCACGGAGCTCCATAAGATGATCGCGTTGTCAAAAACAATGTTGGCACGCTCGTCGCCTCTGATCACTGTTTTCATATTTATAATATTTATCCACATGTTTCTAGTTTCTATATAGGCACAAGTGTTTTAGTTACTTACAAGTGCTAATTACATATGGACTAATAACTTAAATTCAGTAGTGATTTTAATTGAATATTTTGAATATTTATTTAATTTTTCAAATTAAAACTGAACTTAATTGACTGTGTTAACTATCCTTTCCCAGTCCTTTTATTATTTTATTGTAATTATTAATTATTTGCATGCAATTAAAAAATATTTTTAATGATGCTAAAGAAGTATAACTTCTCACGCGCGTATATAAGTTACACGCATCCATTTTTTTATTATTTTTAAGTTGACATGATCGAGACGGTTCTCAGCTATAAATTATGAAGATTTGTTAAGCGGTTTGAAGACATCGCGGGTATTTCAAATTTTCAATTTAATTTGTGTAAAATGTAACAAAGAGCATGCTCGTATCTTCCCTTTTTTATTCAAACTAAGAATGGAACTAATAAAATTAAAGATATTGCCCATATTTCGTATAGGTGTCGAACGCTTCATCTCGCTGTTTGTACCACAAAGTGATCCATAAGTTCTCGAACGACGCGAGTCGTCAGCGCGCGCGCGCTAAACGCAAACGGGGCGGGGCGCGCCGCGTCAACTATAGGGAGTCCGTGTGGAACAAGAGGACGTGTTAGTATTTCATTATCGTCAGCCTATAATTTAATAAATTATAACATATATATATATGTACATTAATATATACAGGAACAATGAACCTTAAACTAAAAACCTTAAAAAATGTAATATAATAACTAAAATATATTACTAAAAGGAGTCCCTTTAGGCAAGGTTCCGAAGATACTGGCAGCGTTCCCCCTTTGAATAGCTAGACTAATTCGTTGTCCGAGGTAGCTGCCAGCTCTTCGGTCTCCAGTGATGTCGACTAACCTTTGATATTTCCTTAAAAAACCTCATAGCGCTAGGACCCCACGGACCAAGGGTCTCGACACCGAATGGCACAAAATCATATTCGGAGCCTAGACCCCTGTATTTGCATGCTTTTGCTTTAATGTCAGCCTATTAATGTACCCACTTGCGGGTGTATTTTAACGGTTTGTACCACAAAGTGATACATAAGTTCTCGAACGACGCCAATCGTCAGCGCGCGCGCACTAAACGCAAACGGGCTGGGCGCGTCGCGTCAACTATAGGGAGTCCGTGTGGAAAAAGAGGATGTGTTAGTATTTCCTCATCGTCAGCCAATTAACCCCCCGTTTGTGTAAGTGGATGTTTACTGCCAGGGGTTGAGAAAAACTATTTTAATTTTTCCTATTTTGCGTTTTATCTTATTTAGTAAAAGTTTTTAATTTACACATCTAATGGTGTCGATTCTAGCATGATTCTCTAAACCTAAACTTAAATTTGACAGCAGTATATCCTTGTCATTCTCTATACAGAATGAAAAGGAGACTGATGTTATGACACTTGGGGGCGTATTTTAACAGTTTGTACCACAAAGTGATCCATAAGTTTTCAAACTATGCGAGTCGTCAGCGCGCGCCGCGTCTACTATAGGGAGTCCGTGTGTAACAAAAGGACGTATTAGTATTTCATCATCGTCAGCCTATTAATATCCCCACCTAAGGGAGTATTTTAATTGTTTGAACCAAAAAGTGATCCAAAAGTTTAGTTTAAAGTTCACTCGTTTAGTAAAATAAAGTTCACTCGGCCGTTGTAAACACTGTATAACTAAGTATAATATTATTTTAAAATAAATTTAAAAACCTTTATTTCAGTAAGTAAAAGTATCATTTGTTTTACAGCTTTTGCGTTTGGCATGGATCAGAGCGACACCAACTCTAAATACTTCAGACCTAGCGAAATGGATATGGTGAGCTCAACGTTCAAACTTAATGACTTCCTTTATCTGTGACTGCAACCCTCTAATTTGTACAGTTTTTATATTATAAAAGTTGCAGCACTGTAGAATATATTATATTGTCTGAAGACAATATATTATATTGTCTTCAGAGGCTTAATAGGGTATTTGACAAGTTTTAGAAAACGATCTCACGTTATTGACTTATGTTTATGGAGTCCGTAAAAAGTGGATATTCATCACTCTGTTGTGTATATCAGTAAAAATAACTAAATCAAAAACTCCATTTTCAAGTTGCCGCGAAAACGTTTTTCTGGACAATATGGCGTCTTACTAGTGTGTGACGTCACACGACTGTTATTAAAACGTCAAACGATACAATGTAATGTCACTTTAACTGGAAGTTTACTTGCGTGTGACGTCATTTTAGGCTCCGCCAATCCCAAGCGTTTTGAGTCACGTGACAATAGATAAGAAAACTATGATCTTTTTCGTGGGTTTTTAGTAAAATTATGAATATTTTTTTTTGTAAAAATAGTAAAAACCTCTGCCTATATTCATTCTAAACACAGATGCTAACAATTGGCACTTTATTTTTAATACTGTCAAATACCCTATTATAAACTCATAACGCACAGCAGGATGTGTTGTTAGAGCGAGACATTACAATATACGCATAGTAGAGCGGCATCTTATTTTTTGATATCTCGAAAAGGCGTTTCGCCTCCATGTACCACCGGGAGCAGACCGAACAGGGTATCTAAAGACTCCTTCCTGTCTATTACATCCAACCCGAAGATTCGGTGAAATGAACAGGGACCAACTCTACCCCAACGAATTAAAAATAACAAGGAAGCATTTCCTACCCTCTAACAAAGGCCGCTATAACATTGTTCGCAAAGTTTCGTTGTATTAGACAACTAAACTATAATACTAACGCGAGACGCACACAGACAAAACAAAATACTTTGACAAATCAAATCTGCAAATGAAATCGGCTATCCATTCATTGGGTAAGATAATGTTGAACAGATAGCCCAACCAATCCCATGATCGGTGTTTTGATCGAAGTTTTTTCGCCCCGCCCACTTGATCGCAGTTTGCGTGGAAGCACATTTTAGCGAAGTTCGTATTCCATATTATTTCTAATTCGTTGACGTACCCAGTAGAAACCAGATTATACTCCTGCACCCGGTTACGCGACACGCACTAAAAGAACAGAGGTCGCTACAATGCGTGTCGAGAGTAGGGGTTACCATCCGTCCGGATTATTCCGGATATGTTCGGCCTTTTAGACTATAGTAGTCCGGACTTTGTACGGATCTTTAAATTATCTGGATTTTAAAAATTACATTGAATATGAATCAATAATCAAAGTACATGTTGATTTAAATAACATTGTAACTATGTGAGTAATGATACCATTTTGTGACTAAAACGTCTGGCCTTTTTTCGAAATTTCAGGATTTTTGTCAGGTCTTTTGAAATTCCTAAATAGTAACCCTAGTCGAGAGTGCGAGTATGGCGTGCTTACCCACGTGGGACTAGCCATGCCATATATATGTCACCGGAATATAATACATTCCATTACATGTAAAACCGTAGCGCTGGCTGGCGTTAAGATTTCATAAGAAGCCTCTGGAGAGAAAACTTGAATGTCTATCATTACCTATTTATCCATAACAAAATATATTATTGATTTCAGCAACCTGAAAAACTTGAACGAAACACTCGTAAGTAATTATCAGAAAAGTTAATAACTATCAAATAAAAACTATTTTCACCTGATATTTTTTTTCTTTATTCATACTTCATAAATCTTTATTCCTGTTGTTTGTATTTCCAGAGGAAGTGCGTTTAATTGATCCATCGACGCAAAGCACGCCGGCAAACGTGGAGTCTGAAGAAGAGGTAAATTTATCTACCCAGTATTTATTTCAATTTGTTAATTTCATTGACTATCAAATTTTTCTTACGTGTATTATGTAGGTAATTACTTACCTAGAGCGCGCACAGCGGATATTCCCATAAAACGTGAGAATTCTCAAACTGCATAGATGAATTCACGTTCGCATTGGAGCACTCGGAAGGAAGTACTTAATTCCGTCTGACAGACTAGGTACTTCCATAAACAGGATGCCAGTTCCATAGAACTACAGGGAGAAATAAATTTCAGTAGTCCCTTTAGACTCTATAGCGGCAGCTATCTATCAGACGGGCCATTGTGCCCTTTGCCATAAACAAAAGCTTTACTTAGGGTAGACATAGGTGTCGTATCTGGCATGATTCTCCAAACCTAAACTTAAATTTGACAACAGTGCATCCTTGTCATTCTCTTTACAGAATGAAAAGGAGAGACTATAAATTTAGTTTAAGTGTAGAGAATTGTGCCAGAATCGACATCATAGTCTTTAGTTTATCAGTAGGTTGCCGCCAGAGTTTACTAGCCGAAAGGAAGGGTTTCTTACCATTTTTCCAGTAAGTCGTGCAGAGAACGCCATTTGATTTTTTTTTAATGTTAAAAGGATAGCTAACAAGCGTTTGTTCCGCCTGATGGTAAGCAGCCTTCATAGATAGACCATTGCGAAACCAAAGCTATCACTCGCGCCTTTGCCTACCCTGACCCAATCCCCTATCCCGGGGACAGTTGAAGCAACGATAAATTGTAATAATCTCACCTACAATATTACGGTTTTTGGAGACAGTCTGCTGACAGACGAACAGCAAAGGTTAGTTAGTTATTTACCCATTAAGAAATATATACAGATTTTAAAAAAACTTTTAACGAAGTCGAAGGTCACGTATTTTCCACATCATGACGATTATTTTTTTCTTTCGGACCATACCTGGGAAATTTATAGTTATGGAGATATTATTGAAGGTCAGTCACAATTTTATTTTCAAGATTTAGGGCTCTTTCAATTTATTCGTTTCTTGACGGCCTGCTGCGGTGCCGAAGCGGTGCGTTTGTCGTACAGCGTACGGACGATCCTTTTTTTCATACAAAACGCGCGGTGCGGCTACAGTGCGGCGCCGGTACCGCGAACGCTCGACAACAGGACTATTGCCGCACTGCGCGTTTTGTATGAAAAAAAAAGGATCGTCCGTACGCTGTACTTTACTGTGTGACATGACAATACTTATGACCTGACTGTGTATATATTAAAATTTTATATTCTTCTTTCAGATATATAATACTATGCTTTCAAAACAGAAGAGAATATCAACAAGCAGTAAATAGTACACAGTGACACATTCAATATTCTCAAAAATTATTGTTTGACATTCTTATTTATTGTGTGTGGTGTATTTACTTTGCTATTTAAGGTTATTTCCTATATAAAATTAGATACTTTTATTTATTAAGGTAAATAAAACGATTGATGTACGTTTTTATTTTATTTAAAAATAAGAAAATGAATTATTAAAAATAACGAAGAATATAAATAGTATGCAGTTTAAAAGCATATTGACTTGACCAGTATAGTTGATATTACACAAATTGTCTAGTCATTTTATAAAGAATTCGACAAGTTATAACAGTCAATAAAAAATAGATAAGTACTTATGTTTAGGAATGTTTATAAAATGCAATTTAATAAAATACAGGCGTGGATATGAACTTTATAGCACCAAATAATCATTTAATTTGTAATTTTGAAAAGACACGAAATACAACATATTTTATAAAACTTTTAAAATTATCAAAACATTTTATTGTTGTTGTGAAACATTTAAGAACACAAAATCAGTTTAACTAATGGACATTTTTTATTAAAAAGATATAGAAATAACAGATAAAAAAGGTTTTAACCGAAACTTTTAGTTGACTTAAAAGTTTTTATAAATTTTTGACCCTCATAAATTTTTGTTATAACATTTTTATAAATACAATTTAATTTTAACAAGTTCCATTTTAACTAATATTAAAACTTTTTAAACAAAACTAGAACTGAGTTTAATTATGTGTAATAATTTGTATTAGAAATACAAAAATGAAACTTTACTTACTTCTTAAGGTAAGGTCTTACTTTAAAACAAAAAAAAAATCTGTTGCATGTATATAAAATTTATGCAAGAACATAATACTAAATCATTGAAAGGTAATAATTATTTTACACAGAAAAGTACTACATAACATGAAACACCTACCTACTCAAAATGTATCTTTATTGAGCTTTTACACTACATACATTTGCATATTAACATTTTCAATTAATATTTTATACATTACGGCCGCACTCAGACGTTAATTTAATTTCTTTCTTGTCAATGTAGCTGTGTTTATCGATTCCTATTGCAAAGATGACATCATCAACTCAGTTTAAAAATCTAAAATTTATTGCCTGCACCTCTGAATGTGACCGTAAATTAAGTAAGAGTAAGTGTCTTCATTGACACTCAATAAATGTTGTTGTCTCCTGTTCGTCATAGGATTAGTTTGCTATAGTAAGATAGTGAGTATACTTAACATTTAGAATGAACAATCAGTGGTGTAGATTCTGGCATGATTCTCTAAACTTAAAACTTAATTTAACATTAGTCTCCCCATTATCATTCTGATCAGAAAAAGACAAGGATACTCTGTTGTCAAATAAATTTTTAGTTTTAAAAGGAACATCTCAGAATTGACACCACTATATTATCAAAAAGTATAAGTCCAAAATAGAGCCACCCAGAAACTGATTCCCTAAACACACTTGGGCGACTACTGTCAACTGGTTTTCTGAGTTTAAAACTTAAATACCTAAATATGGTTTAAATTCAAACTCTACCTATGTCATAGATATTTAGAGTACAAGTTGCAATGATTATTGCAAATTACCATTCCCAAATGTCTCTTTCAGTAAGGATTTGGGAGATTTATACTAGATTTATAGTACCAATATATAATAGATTTCTTACAAGATTAAGAACAATGTTTAACCACAATTTATTGTAGAATGGATCTTTCACTACATACTTTGAACTTACGTAGTATATACATTTTCTTATTATACCAATCTAATCACAAAATTAGGCATACAAATTATACACATTAGATATGTAATTTAAGTATCAAATTGCAATTATCCATATTGAATCAAAGACTTTCATATTCCCATTCTTCTTTGAAACAAAAAACAAAATAAAGTTGTAATGGTAGAGATTTTTTTTGACAAGCAATTACAAAAACAATTGAGGTTTTCCTTGTTTTAATGTTGTTTTTCAAAGGCTGCTGTATAAGTTTTTCTATTTAATAAAGTTTTTTTGTCATTGACTCAAGTTTGAACAGCTGTAAAAGTCATAATTAGACAGTGTATAAAGTTTGCAAATGTGAAGAAATTTTTAATCAAAGTTGACGGCATTTTGTTACATGAGTTATATTATTATTATTGCTTCAAGCTCTTTGATGCAAACTATTGTTACTTAAACTACTTTTGCCAATTCTTCAGTGATTTAAAAAAAATCACTGTATATTTTAAATACCTAATGTGCATTCCAAGTTGTTGATATGCCTATATGAACACCTTTATCAGTCTACTTTCTTGGCTGTTGGATGTGCGGGTAGGGCTTGATGTTGAAATTAGCTGGAGGCTTTGGACTATGCGCTACCTGAGCAGCTTCTGGAGTAAAGTCAGCATTACCTCTATTAGGAGCACCGGAGATTGAGACAGGGTTGGACGGAACTGGAGACGGACCAGACAGCCCGGTGAGGTCTTCGTTTGCTGGCTCCTTGGGGTCTTTTGCATGTGGAGTCTTGTGCTGGGTGATTCTCATACCACCAGCTTTCACTGTAAAAGTTATTAATAAATTTGATTATTACTTAAAAGAAATTTAACTAGGCTGTGAGCAAAATTCTAAAATTATATCAATTTTATATTTACATCCTAAAAACGCTTTATTATTTGTGTTTTTCTTGGTATTGTATTCCTTTTGACTGAGTAATATTAATTAAAAATAAGAATCAGTTCATCATCATCATTTTGGTAAAAGACAAGTTCTCATTGCACAAATTTCAAGTCAAGTTTTTTACACATATTATTGTTGTTAAATTTTCATGAATGCATAAATAACAAACAGAAGCTATTTATGTTACATGGGTAGAGATGGGCCGAATGTGGTTTGAACCGAATCCGAATTTCGGCCGAAAATTCGGTTAAAATGAATAGTTCGTCCGAATTTCAGTTTGATTTCGCGCGCTTTCTCGATTTTTAATAATATTTATTTATTAACATTGAGTGAGAAAAAACGTTATCAGAATCTAGCTCTTTAATTCCGCTCTTTAATTTCTAAGTTATAAAACATTGAGAACCTTCTAAATTTCTTTTGTTTGTGCTATGTGCTAATCTGCAGACTGTTTATTTTCAACCGTAGGCGTTTCTTTTATACTTTAGAGATTTTTATATTGGACCATGAAATAACCCTTTGTCACTACATGGGAGTGTGAACTTCCATACATACATTCAACTTGACACATAATAAAGAGTCAGTGGGAACAGTAAGTGCATGTAAATCAATTATAACAAGGGATGCACGCAGTAAGCGAAAATGATTCCATTATGAAAAAAATCAGGTAAAGGTTTTATATATAAGATGATAATTGGACCTAGTTTCTAAATTAAAAAAAATCTTTGGCTAATAGTTGGAAATTTCATTATATAAGCAACCCAAAGTGAGTTTGAATTTTGCTTCAACCCCCTTGCCATACGACGACATATCCATATTGCAGTAAATACATTTTTTAACCTAACTTTTATATTTTTTTTTAATATGACAATGTGCCTAGATAAGAGGAATATGTCCAATACTCCAGTCAGGTGCAGTACCTAGGATTAAGAAAGGCTTGCTCTTCAAGTTAACAGCTGAGCCTTCCTTTATAAAGTTAATTTGTTTTTTATTTGTGGTTAATCTTTTTTGGGCTCTAGCCACTGCAAGACTTGCTGCCTACATGTGTGACTTCAAGTACACTATCATGCCAAAGTGTGTATTGACCCCTATCAAGGACAGGAGCATCTTGCAACCTACCAATATGTGCCTAACAGTACCTATTGCCTCACCACAAGTATAGCTTGATTTTTCAGAGGCTTACCCCAATTCTTCTAGGTTACTGTGGTCTGGGAAGGTCATTTGGAAGGCATTAAGATAGAATTTTAGTAGAGCAGGAGATCAATCATGTAGTAAAGTGCACCAATTCAGAGCTAATGGAATGCAGAACTCACCTATGGTTAACTAGAAATTTATAAAGTTTTATTGTCAGTGCAAGGAATTTAAAGACAAGGAAGAAAGAAATTTATAATTATGAAGAAAACCTTGTCATAAGAATGACCAATTTTTTTTAACAGATCAATCTTTTACTTCGAGACTTGGAAACCAAGGAGGTAGCTTGGCAAAGGTTTTATTTAAATTTCGCCATAGCTGCAAATGGAAAGCTGTTTATTGGAAAAAAAAACAAATAAACACAATGCTGCATGGAGCTACGGCGTGGCGCAAGGCCTTGTAAATAAAAAAAACCTTTTTCGCACACATGCAGGACAGTCACTTTCCGCTTAATGTATACATATTATAAAATAATACTTTCCAAGCAAATGCATTGAAAATATATTTAATTAAGCTCTTAAAGTATGAAGAAGCCTTGGAAGGAACAAGCAAGGGTGCTTTTAGTACATATTTCATTACACATATTGATTGCATGAAATCAAATAGCCAACCAAATGTTTGACCTTGGGATAGCTATTTCTTTGTGTAATATTATTCTACCTGTAGTAAAACAGTAAACACATAATCAACAAACACATTTTAAATGACGTCACTGGTCATAATTTCAAGGTTCTAAGAGCGATAGGCAATCTAAATTTCCAATTAAGTTAACTAATATAAGGTTTTAAGTTTGTTTTGAATACTATTATGTACGAAACAAGATGGGAGGAATTGACATTAAAATCTTAAGGATTTAGGGAGCATTACAAGTTGTGTTTCAATCCTTAGATTATTTTATATCCCATGTAAACAAAGGCTTTGATTAAAATTCTACAAATGTATACCTGCTGGTGGATGTCCAGCCTTGAGTTGAGGCTGTTGAGAAGTATCTTCAGTCGACGACATTCTTTTGTAGAATTATTCACAAAATGCACTGTACTAACGAAATCTGATAAGATTGTGGCGTGAAAAAATAAAAAACGAGGACGTGTACTATTTACCGCGCGCTGACAGTTTGACACGATCGCACAATAATGTCAAACAAATCGGAAACTGAAACGGTTCTTGTCATGCTGACACTTCACTAAGCTATTCGTGTTGGCTGTTTGTCAATTTGACATCAGCCTGGCTTATTCACTCCTGAATAAGCGTGATAAGGACAGACTGTTCTCATGTTTACAAATAGTGAATACGAATAGCCTGTAGAACTGCCGGCATAACTGATAGAATTCTATGGGTATGCTGTTATTTTTCACAGATAAAGGCAGAAAACTGGACATCAGCTTGTGTTTTTTTGAAGTTATACTTCTTTAGCCGCGTTATGAAAAAAGTATGAGAGTGAAATTTTAAGATGCGCACGCATCACTGTAACACAAAAGTAACATAATGAAGTTAGCTGCGGGCGCGTTATGAATGTTAGTGTCTAATAATGGTGGATTATTAACCACTTAGTGGTTAATAATCCACCATTATTAGACATCTGTTCGAAAGGTACTTTGAACGATCCACGGAGCTCCATAAGATGATCGCGTTGTCAAAAACAATGTTAGCACGCTCGTCGCCTCTGATCACTGTTTTCATATTTATAATATTTATCCACATGTTTCTAGTTTCTATATAGACACAACGTGTTTTAGTTACTTACAAGTGCTAATTACATATGGACTAATAACTTAAATTCAGTAGTGATTTAAATTGAATATTTTGATTATTTATTAAATTAAAACTGAACTTTATTGACTGCGTTGACTATCCTTTTCCAATCCTTTTATTATCTTATTGTAATTAATTATCTGCATGCAATTAAAAACTATTTTGTAATAATTCCAAAAAGAAGTATAACTTCGAACGCGCGTACTTAAGTACACGCACCCATATTTTTTTTATAAAAATAAAATGGTTTTAGGGCGTGATTTCATCAAGTGCGGTTGGGGTCTTATTTTAATTATTCTTATATTCGTTCATAGTGGATATTGTGAAATAAAATTGGTGTGATTTTGGGTTACAACCGTCTGCGCAACTGAAGAATTAGTGGAATATTTGAAATATACGCTATTCTGGTCAGGTGGACGTGAGAACTTTATTGTAGTGTTGACTACCTTACAAAAGCTTATCGAAAAAGCTGACTCGATAGATTTCATGCCAAACACTCCAAGAAATATGAGTCACACCGCCATTCTAATGTAAAAAAAGGAAGATGAATGAAACTGAAAACTAGGCTGTATGGGCATTGTTCCTTTTGCCTTCCCTGAAAAGGGAGAATGTTAAAAAAAACTTCCCCCGAGAAGGGGTGGCATCTGGCATGGACGCATATACTTATGTTACTCTTTGCATGGACGTATCCCTAAAAAAGGATAGGTGTCTATCAATATAATTTTAATGCTTTACTTCTGTACGTTTCTACGAAAGCTTACTTTATATGTGATGACGTCCATACTCAGAGATCTCAAACAAAATTTCGTCTTGCTCTATTATTATATTAAAGCAAAGAAAGTGATAGAAAAATCTTTAAGTATTGTATACTTAATTTTCTTGAAGTCTTTGGGCACAGCCGTACTTCGTATGATATAATCAATTAGTGCACAAAGCAATGATTGATTTTTCGTGCAAATTTTGTTGTTTGGTTTGGCTATCCAAAAAATAGTTGAAATAAAACTGGCATAATCATTTCCATGCTTTTATTTTGAACCTCCTATGCGGAACTACGACGTCAGAATCGTCCTTTCCATTCCTCAGCATATCTCTTTGAATCTCCACAATCATTCGCAGCATGAAGTTGGTGACTTGAGTGCAGGTGCCGTCCCTTAGTCGAGGGAAGTCCTTGTGCGTTGGAAGACATCGACCGTTGATCATCACACTCTGGTGGGTGAGCGAGGCGAGTAGACGCTTTATAATGTCCACTTTTTTGGCAGCAGCTAGTGGTCGGAGACGCGTGACGAAGCGGAGCAGGTATTCCATTAGCATGATGTCCTCCTGAAATGGAACAAAACATGTTTTAAATATTTATTTCTACCTAGCTAAGCAAGTTTGATATGTCCATAGGGCAAAGGAATAGGGTAGGGCTGTCGCGTATGACTCCGCCTTTAGAGGCGCTTGTGTAACGCGAGTTCTCCGAAATGTCAAATCATTGTCAAATGTTATTGCTTGTGGGTTTTATTTTTAATTTAAATAATGTTGTGAATATTTGGTAATAACTCAGATTAATTAAGACAAGAATGAGTTACGTGTCAATGAATAGCAGTTATTTAAAAGCGGAGCTAAGAAAAATTATGCCCTCCTTTTTTCCGAACAAAACGGAAGTGCGCAACACTGTGGCATGGCCGATTATGTTTACGATACGGTTCTTTTGAATTAAAATATGATTTTAATGTAAACTTTGATTTCACGCGCGTTGAGCAAGAAGTTGGTTTAAGCTCCTAAGGGATGAAGCCGTTCCTTTTATGTCGCATCAGTTTTCTTCGCAAAAATACACTTAAATTGAAATAAGGTGGAGTGGAGAAATGGACCTCCTTCAGAAATATTATAATGTTTGATATTATGCGACCTCGCTGGTCTCGGTGTTGTCGGTATCTCTGTGGTCCCAAGATTGATTACCAGTCGGGTGTATGTTAAAAAAATCTTTCCTTTTTGCTTTGGGCTATAAGTCTATATGCTATGGTGGTCGCTTACCAACCAACTCATTTATAAATCTAAGAGTTTTCCTACCCAAAAACAAACAACAGATTTTAATGTCTTTACCAAGTCTTTACCTACCATTTGCAAAGACATTATGCATGCTTCCACATTGTGTGTTCGACCCACAATGATAGACAGATCCTCTCTGTCCAAGACGGGCTGCTTTAAACCTTCCAGCCATTCGAATAGCAGTCCGGACAGTATTGCTGGATCCTCCTGAACAAATAGAACATTTTATAAGAGCTACATAGAGAAACCTAATGATTAAGCAAGAGCAGAGGCACTGGGGTAACAAATAGGACCAGAACCTTTTTACGGCATCCCTAGATTCCGGGCTATGTTAAAATTTTGATTTTTATCACAACATTTTTAGGTTTATCATTCAAATGATATTACCTCTTCATTTATCTTGTTAATGGCTTCCTTCCTTTGATTGATCTCCGTTCTCAGTTCTTTGAGATATTTCTGTCGCTCATCTGGAAGACTTTTGTGATCTACAATAAATGCCTGCCGAAGAAGTCATTCAAATTAAATTCAAACAAAAATCGCATTGAAGAAGGATCATCTGCATTCTGCAGTCGTTAGTACCCAAAAATTAGCACTGGTCCCGTTCTACCAATAAAATTGGAATACTGTCGATAGGGAACACCAGCAGTAGAGCTAATAATCATTCATGTAAAATAGCGCAATAAATGAGTTTCATTACATGTGTGTGCCGGCCTAGAATGGTACCATTCCGTCTAGTCCCATGGGTGTCGTAAAAGGCGACTAAGGGTGCACAGATAGCAGAAGACGGGCTGCAGCGTCTTGTTAAAATATCTTTGCTGTACTGTGATCGCCAACTTGCCTGCCATGCGTGGCGATTATGGCAAAACCTTCCAAGATGTTTAGCACAATTAAAGATCGGCCCACCGAGTCCTCGGCAGCCCTGCTGTCCGAGCCACGGTAGCAGCTATGGTAACGGCGGGGCAAGGGGTGCTAAGAATCCCCGGGTAAGATCCGGCTACAAAAAACGGTATTCGTTGAATGTCATACTGGTTTATGCTCCGAAAGAAAGATCTCGAATGATAAATTCTACGCTCCGACCAATGTCTGCACAAATTCAGAACCGCGAGAGCTTTCAGCTAGAACCTCAAAACCGCTTCGAATTCCTTGAAAACAGCTTAGATGTGGACGATCTGAACAACACGGTGGTGGATACTGTCCGTACGGTAGGGTTCAAGTATTTTAAAGCCCACCGTACCAAAATAAAGAAACTTTCTGGCAAAACTCTCCTGCTGCTATGGGAAAGTGGAACGAAATGAGACTACAGAATTCAGGAGATGCAAGTCAGTATTGGCGGCTAAATAAACATATCACAGTCCCTGACGAGCGATCTCCGCCGATTTAATACGGATTGTATCAAAGAGGCTAGCGAGCGCAACAAAGCCTCCAAAGTGTTCGCGAGAGATCTGTCTATTGGGCAAAGCCAGCTGACGAAGCTGACTGATAGCGGTAGCATCATTTCGTCAAAGGCTGAAATCCTGAGCTAGAACACGTACATGTAGCTAGAAGAACCGATGGCCGTTGGGGCGGAAAGTTTCTAGAATGGCGACCACGTACCGGACGACGCTCAGTGGGCAGGCCTCCTACAAGGTGAACCGACGATCTTGTGAAGGTCACGGGAAGTCGGTGGATGGGACTGGCGCAGGACCGATCGATAATTAAAAATAAATTCATATTAAAATATGTTTCATTTTATTATCAGCGCGGTGAAGCTCGATGTAGGTTCGGATCTTAGACCATTAATACAGTTTTACTTGCCTCATGTACTCTAAGCGCGGGTATAACGCCGTTACTAGTAGTTCCGGTGATTCTGCTCACGGACTCGAGGTTGCGTTCGATGTCCTCTTCCACGGGGTCGCGCCATTCCACCATCGGCAACATGCACGATTGTTCTGCAAGAAGGAATAATATCAGTAATAAATAGTGATGATGTATGACAGACAATCTTTATGATGCCAGTCCGTCAATTATAGTGCCTAATCATTTTTTACAGTTTTATTTTCTGCGGTCGAGCAACTTTCTCAATGGCCAAATAAATAAATAATTATTACCTGCATTGGGGTCAATAATAGGTTGATGTGACGTACCCATGGCCCAATCATCAGGTGTGTCAGGTCTACCAAAAATGTATTATCTCGCATTCGTCCGTGCTTTGAAAAGCACGTTAAATCGTTGATCTTAGTAGCACCCACCAATTCACCTTAGCTGGCCCAATCTCGCTAACCCGTTCGTAGGAAAGGCCTGTGCCCAATGGGGATATTAGTAGGCTGATGATCAACATCATGAAGATATTGGGTCCATCCTCAGGCGTCTCCGGGTCTGTAGGTTTGTTCGGCTTGAGTCTATAAGCGAGGAAACTTTTGTAGAACGGCCTCTTACTCATTCGAAAGTCACCAATCGGTACTGGCTGATGGCCCAATTTTCCTATGCCATCCATTGGCTGCTGTGCCCCCAGTAGTGGGGACATTAATAGGCTGATGATGATGATTACATACCTATAGGTCCATCCTCAGGCGTCTCCGGGTCTGGTGGTTTGCTCTGTTTGAGTCTGTATGCTAGGAAGCTTTTGTAGAATGGCCTGTTTCGCACTCTGAAGTCGAGACCTACACTCTGATGGCTGCCACAAAGCTTTAGTAAGCGTTCGCATATACTGTACACGACCTGGAAGAATTTATGTATAAAAATACATTTATTAAACTATTTTTTTCAATTAATTAATGATTACTGATATATTTAAGGTACTAAATAAACATAGTAGGTATTAACTAGACTTTTTAATATTCGTCTTTTTATCTATTGTAATTAGTAATAAGTTATAATTGTGTTTATTGCCGTAGGTTGCCTTTTCCCACTAATTCTGATTTTAAGGTCATGAATGCATTTTGCCATGATTTTGCCCGTAAAGAGTATAATTTCCAAGTGAATAATGAAAGTTAGGGCTACGTATTTTACACTCTAATAAGTTGTCGTGATTTTTCAGCTTAGTGTGAAAAATTTTTTAGCCTTCCCACCCATAGGCTGTTATTATAGGACGAAAAAAATAGATGCGTTATTGCGATATTTCGACATAATTTTATTGCGTGGGGGGGGGGGGGGGGCTATAACTAAGAAGTATAGCTATATTCCAAATTTCGGCAATTACCTTCAATAGGTACTTTTCCATACATTTATAGTAGTTTATGATACTGTTTTATAATAAGGGTTCTTATAACAGTGTGTTTTAAAAATACGAGCCGTAGGCGAGTTTTTTTATAGTATCACACGAGTGTTATAAGACCAAGTTATGTACAGTGTCGTACACTACTTTATCTATTGATTATTGATGTTCTGAATATTACAATTATGAAACTGAATTTGAACCGGACAGGAAGCGTTATTGGAGGTACTCAGAGAGGGTATGTTAATGTTGACCTCATTTCTGTTATTTTCAATACTCTTAAGTATTGAATTGGATACAGCGATCTTGTTAGTCATTGAATCATCTATATAGCCTTCTGCAACTGTCGTTGACTTCCAGCAGTGTCCTGTGTACAGTTCGGGGTCGGTAAGTTGAAGATAGCTGGCAATAACTTTGCCTAAAGCTCCAAATTTGTTAATGCCAACTCTCTGCGTCGTGCATTTTCCGGCAATATAGTTTAGAAAAAATCTGGGATTGCTGCACTCAGTTGGTCGTAGCTCTATGTATTTTTTGCATTGTTCATAATATTTCCCAGTAACGGTAAAAGAGCGGTCCGTCTTGGTTTTAGTTTTACTTATTTTGATCAATAGTGTAGTTTCGAAGACTTCAACATTTTTGAATTGTATGTTGTATAACTCATTATACCAAAAATTAGTGCAATCTGTATCAACTAGTGTCCGACCGAAACTGGTTTTCCGGCCGAAACCGAAACCGAAACCGAACATTCGGCCGTGGCTTCAGTTTCGGCCGAAACCGAAACCGAAACTCACGTGGTCAAGTATAAAATTCCTTAAAATACTGAAATTTGGTCCATTTTACCGATTATTCTGCATTAATTAGGGCATGAAATGGAAACACAGTATTTTAATTTTGTTCTTATCAGTTATTTAATATAATATAAAAAAATATTTAAAAAAAAATACAAATAAAGTTCTCATAGCAAAAGGAGATTGCTCAGCTTTCATACATGTTTGGCCTAAAGACCAATAATCATGAAAAATTGTTTCCTAGATTCGAAATTATATATAAATTACTGTAAAAACTAATATTATTGACGGACACCCCTGAGAACTTCTATAAACCATATACACTGAACATATTAAAATAATAAAAAACAAATAAGTTATATAGTAAACTAGGGAAATCAAGCCAAGTACCGAAATTATGGATTAGATTCAGGTATATAGAGCATGTAGATTAACAGATAGTTGCCTGTTTTTAAAGTTAATGCATAAGAGTAACTTTTAAAATCAGGTGTCATATATGCATTTCCGGTTATAATAAGGTACTCTGTGACAGAAACTGTGTGATGATTGTGAATGAGCCACAGATTAGAGAGAATTTTTCAACTCTCGTTAACCAAAGAAAGCTAAGAGCTTTAGGTTATATAGCCATATATTCAGTAGCTTCATTTTTTTGTGATTGTGTGTGTGATTTTTAGTGTATCACACCTTATAATTTTATTTATTTATAGTCAGGCAACGTAGGCTCATAGATAGATACCTTAAAGTCTAAACAGATTATAATGTGTTTATGGAGGTGTTTGGCGAAAAATGTATGGCAATAGACTTTATGATGTCGCCTACCATCTATAATAATTGTCTGAGTACATTTGCATGTAGTGAAAATGATAATATAGTTGTGGATATTAATACCACAGTGTAATAAAAAAAATGATTTATTTTATCGATCTTTACAAAATAGATTTGTTTTTATGTTATATAAACAACTTCGATCAGTCTTTGGCTGAATGTTACTACACCCATAGCCATTAATAATGATTCATATGTTTTCCAAACCGGTAAAATGAAAAGTCCTTTTTAAAGTGAATATATTATACAAAGGTGTCCGTTGAAATCTAATGACTGTAAATTAAATTACAAATTACGCCAAGTATTACCGTGTATGTCAATATTTTTTGTGCATTTGGGCCAATTTGAGCAATCTCCTTTTTATCAGCTTTATCAATTAAATAAAACTAGTTTTTACGGGTTAATGCACGAAACTTTATTTATTTATTGACGTTTCGTAGCCTTTACAGGCTTCGTCGTCAGAAAGAATTTTTATTCTGCCTGCCTGTAAAGGCTACGAAACGTCAATAAATAAATAAAGTTTCGTGCATTAACCCATAAAAACTAGTTTTATTTAATGAGTGATGTGCGTGAAAACCTAAGAAACAAATAGCTTTATCAATAATCAAATCACTAATTTTTACTGTTTCATTAAATACTAAGTATTGGTATTTTGAAATCTTATTAATACTTTGGTTTGTATTTGTACTTAGAAGAATCATAAATCTCTTAGAAGTTCCATCATAACATAACCTCTAAAGAATGTTTGCATCGGGCGATAACGCACTAAGTTGTGTGTGCTACGGAGCTATCCGAACGGCGCACGAGAATTCCCGATCAGGGCCGCCAGCGTCCGCCAATGCGTTGCCGCGAGAAACGAAGTTAGGCGAGCCTGCATGACAACTTCCGTAATCAGTTTCGGTTTCGGCAAAAGTTTCGGCCAATTTTGGCCGAAACCGAACTGCCGCCGAAACTTGATTTTTGGCCGAAACTCGGCCGAAACCGAAACCGAAACCGATATATATTACGGTAAATTAACTCAATATTAACAAAAAAAATGTACATGGTTAACTGATAAACAACTAAAATACCTTTGTGAAGAGGTATAATGTGTCTGGGGCTTCATTATTTATCTGCTCTGCTGTAAAAGTCTTGGATTTTTTCCCTTTTATATCCTTGTGAGTTTCGTTTCAAAAATGCAATCAGCTTGCTATATTTAGTTATGTCAATTGAGTGTACTTTTAATGATGGAGTATTTAACCCACATACTTGACACTTTATATTTTTCAGATAACTCTTGAAAGTATGCTAACAACACATTTTCAGAAAATGATGTAGCATTTTTATTCATTTTCCATTCCATGAATTCGTGGTAAAATTTATTATAGTTGCTCCTAGATTTCGCCGGCAACAGGTTCATGGTCATGTTTGACGCAGCTTCCAGAATGTCTGGTGGTGTACAATCACCACTATCCCCCGCTTTCAGACATGTTTTTATACAAAAACTTATGTATTTTACAAACAAAACCAAACTTTGTTTAAATATTGAAAAGATTTTTTAAATGTCAAATGTTGGCGCCAAGGTGCAAACATCGATTGCGCATGCGTGTTGCGTCGTCGCGGACTCGTTCATTGAAACCTTTTTAAAGTAGAAGTTCAACCTCCTTGGTTCAGCTGGAGGTTGTATAGGTGTATCGTTATGATTAAAAAGTTATATTATGTTACAGCCCCTCTAGCATGACCACCGAAACGGGATATGATAAAGCGATATATCGACATTAACTGTCAGACTACTGTCAAACTCCATAGTAGTCTGACAGTTAATGCCGATATATCGCTTTATCATATCCCGTTTCGGTGGTCATGCTAGAGGGGCAGGTGTCCATACAAGACCTGTATCGTAATTAAACTTTTTTTTTAATTATTTTTAGCCTGTACGTAATGTTTGTCATAAGCATTTTGTTTTCAGTTTTAGAATCTTTGTATTATAGTATCAGAGTAGATAAAGTTAGTTATTAGATTAGTTACCATAGGTAATACTTTAAATGCCCTCTCGTCTAGCCCGTGAAGTGTAGCTCGTTGTCTGTACAAATATTGTTTTATCGTGAATTCTGCCGTCTTCTTATCTTTCGTCAGTAGTAGTGGTTCCCTGAAACAATACACTTCTAATGGTCAGCTCAGGATAATAAGGTTTTTATAATACTTATTTATGGGACGTGTCGTTTCCTCTCTCGTTATCCTATCTTGGTTCAATATAATTTATTTCACCAGTACCATCTGTCAATGAATCATTATACTCCTGTGATAAATGCATTGAGATCAAACAATTAGAAGTGATATGGAATACGCACTGCGCAAATATGGTTCCACGCATTCTGCGATTAAGTAGGTGGGCGAATAAAATGCGATCAACACGCCGATCATGGGATTGGTTAGGATTTCCCTTTAATATTTATATTACCCAATGACTGGATAGCCGAATTCATTTGAAGTTATTTGATTTGTCAAGGATTTGTCAAATTAATTAATTTTGTCTGTGTGCGTTTGTTGGAACCATGTTTTAGCGGCCAAAGGCAAAGGCAATGTTAGAGAATAATGCTTCCATAACATTGCTTATTCGTTGATAGAGTTTGAGTTTTCACCACCTCTCTCCAGTTTTTCGAGAGGCACTTATTTTTATACTTCAAAAGTGAACTTGGGTGGGAGTAGAGTTACTATTTAAAAAGTTGAAAAGTCTTGACGAAAAGCCGGACATTTCGATAAAAGCCCGGACATTTTAGTCATTTAGTTACAGTGATATAATAGGCATAGTAGCAGACGCTCGCATCGCGAGGAGGGTCTCGTTGTTGATTTTTAAAGATAATTTATACTTTGTTTTAAATCAATGAGAACTTAATAAAGGTTATTTGATATAACTTAATGGGTAGTTTTACTCATATTTCATCAAATTAAAAAATCCAGACTAAATCTGGAAAAAAGGCGAAAAGTCCGAACATGTCTGGACAAATCCGGACGGATGTTAACCCTAGGTAGGAGTCACTTATAAGGTTGTTTGCGGCGGCAAACACTGTTTAGACCCCCTGACCTCTTTCTATGTTCTGTGCCCCCCGATGTGCTCCCTATAATGATACTTAATACTCAATATTTAGTGTACCTATAACGTGTACGAATATGTTAACAGGACTATTCGGAGCTCCGAATCCGAAACTTGGTGAGGCAAGTTTTTGTATGATGAATACGTTGATGTGTTTATGTCATTATTAAGCCATCGATGTGTATATATCATCATCATCAGCCTATTAATGTCCCCACTGCTGGGGCACAAGCCTTCCCTATGGAAGGAATAGGGAGATTGGGCATGACCCACCACGCGGGCCCAGTGCGGATTGGCGTGTGCTAACTACTGCAGAAGCAGGCAGCCGGGACCAACGGCTTAACGTGCCTTCCGAAGCACGGAGGAGCTCGAGATAGAAGATTTTTGGTCACCCATCCAATGTCCGACGACTACGAAAGTTGCTTAACTTCAACGATCGCAGCCGAACGCGCTTACCACCCGCGCCAGCGAGCTCCTCTGTGTATATGTGTGTATTTCTAGATAAATAAATAAACTTATTATATAGCCTATCCATTACCCTAGCATCCCATAACACAAGCCTTGCAGTGCTTACTTTGGGCCTAGGCTAATTAGGTCGGAAGTATTAATTTATTTATTTACAAAAGGTTCTCACTTTGAACTGAAGACGACCGTCTGCGGCAGGAGATAGTGTTCAAACTGTTGCACGCACAATATTTGTCCTGAGGTCTGTATGGATCCGGGTCGTTTCTTGCGTACTAATCTGATTGCATCGTTGGCTCGTACCCGTAGAGAGTATACCAGGTAACATGCTATCAACACACCGGTTCTGCCGAGACCTGGTAAGAAATAAAAAGAGAACCTGAACTGATCTGCTTGAAATTTATTTTATTTTTACAAATAAGGTACAATTATCATCATACATCATGTAGCAAAAGTATATTTTAAAAACTTATGTTCAAATCTTGTTATCTTTTTGCCCAATTACAACGGAAGTTGCTTAAGATTTACGATTGCAGGCCGAACGCGCTAACCACTTGCGCCATCGAGCTCCTCAAAGTCTGAAAGAGATGCCGCCATAAATGATGCCATGAAAAAAACGAGCGAGCCTTACAGAAGTCGCGTATGATGTGTAACATTTGAAACTTCACCTTATATTAGTAAAAAAAGAAATAAAACCTACTACAAAAAGAAAAAGCCATTTGAACATAATGTTCTAAAATCAAATCAAATAGCGCGCGCTTTCGCGACTTCCTGTTACACACTTCCGTCCCATTTCACGAAATCACTCCCACAAATTGCAGGAAAGCGAGAGGAAAGATGTTACACATCAATAAAAGATGTGACATGGGTACACACTATCGTCTCTTTTAACCAGGAAGTCACTTCTTCAGAAGAAGGTGCTCCAGGTGGAATGAAAATCGGCGGTGTGCTATTGTTGCATGAATAAAGCGTCGTGATTACATCTGATTAGGCATCTCGATACGCGTCATTTAATGTCAAGAACATTTGTATGGATATTTGAACAGAGTGCGACAACACGTAATGAGAATTAAAAATCTTCTTTGACAACTCAACTGTCAAACATAGACTTTTATGTTTTTTGGCGTACAACCTTAAATGCTCAGTAGCCCCTAGCATGAACCAATATCAAATTTAAATAGTTTTCAAGTATGAAATGTCTATCAAATTTTGTATGGAAACTTGAACAGCAGCGCCACAATCAGTGCCGTCTTTGACCTATTGGAGGCCCTGTGCATATTAGGATATTGGGACCCCTATGACCTCCGTTTGGTGATCTAACAAGAACTAGGGACTTTGTATTTGTGATCTGAGGTGCCCACCTATCGATCACGGGGCCTTGGGCACTTGCCCAAAGTGCCCACTGGGAAAGACGGATCTGGCCACAACGAATGTAATGAGAATTAAAAATCAGTTCACATTTGACTTAAAAAATAGATCGAATTCAACTATTCGAATTCGTACTGAGCATTTAAGTTACACCAAAAAACATAAAACACTGCACAGTTGATTTGTTACAAAAGGAAAACTCAAGAGATTTAAGAAGAAATAGAACTCCCTGCCCCTTATTAATTAAGGAGAAATAAGCTTCTAGACTAGTTACGCAGTGTTTTGTTCATACCACTCAACGCCATTTGTCATTAAATGAATAGAGACAAAACATGGAGTAACTAATCCATGCTTATTCTTCGTTTATTATTAAGGGGGAGTAATGCATTCGAACTCACGTAAGTTTAGAAATCTTACCCGCATGACAATGTATAGCGACTCTTCCTTCTTGTAAGGCAAATGATAACACTTTCGCCATGTCCAGCATACCGCAAAGACTGGCCTCGCCGTAGTCGGGCCATGCGAAATTATAGTAGTATACTGAAAGTAAAATTGAAGGAATTGTATTTTTGCTGTTATAATTTTTATTTTTTAAGAAAATATTACTAGCAGCAGACATTACTATTGAATTGTATCTGTTACCGGCAATGTCTATAATGCAGGTATTCAAAACAATACCTAGGCAATTTAAAAAATGCCTGGGGCATCTAGGCAGTGCATGGAATATTACAAATATTATTTTCTATTTTATACTTTGCCTAGGTAATCTATACAAGTACTATTGTTGGCAAAATAAACTAAATAACCCTGTATCTATCATAACCAAACCTGACCTAGCCTACCTAGTTGCATATAAAATGACGGACGGATTTTATAATTTTCACCGAATGAATTACAGACCAATGAACGTTTGACCAAGTCACAGTGGGTTAGGTTAAGTAGTGTTGTGACCTAAACTTGTGCGAATCGAGCGAGCAAAGCGAGCGTGTCGCGGCAGCGACCAGCGAAGCGCCAGCCACCGGATAGATAATATATAAATAAAACAATTTTCTTATACACACAGTGCCGACGCATTCGGCATTGTATAGAATACCTAGGCAAAGTATAAAATGAATAATATTTCATACATTGCCTTGACGTTTTTGGCATTCTACACATTGCCTAGGTATTGTATAGAATGCCGAATTATAGAGACTGCCGGTAACACATTTACTTTAGTATGCTGGTCAGGGCTTCCCAAACTTTTTGGCCGCGGAATCTTTTTTTAGAAAAAATCAAATCCGAGGGATCTCTGTATTGTTTTTTCTTCGTTTCAGATTGGATTCGGATCGTATTTAATCAATAAAATAATACTGCTGCTCTTTACCTTAATAATTTAGATTTTATTTTTAAGAAAGATTTTACTGGAAAAATTCTGCTTTCAGCAAATTATATGTAGTAGTTTCGACAATTTTTTTTAGAAATATAGTATTTGATCCCCTTATATAGTAGGATACGATATTATATAGTAGCGTTGGCAACCCTGCCTCAAGATGAGATTTAAGGAATCCCAGCTTGGGAGTTTGGCTTTAGGTTACCAATTGTATTTTTGAGACTCATTTACTATTTTCCTATATTTTACCTAAACTTTACCCAGTTTAATTGAATTTTGTTGAGAATCAATTACTACCTTTTTGATGATTATTTATATGAGCCAAATAAATCACGTGTAAACTCAGGATTAGATAGGGAGGACCCCTTTCCTTGAAAAATGAAAGCTGATTTGGACATTGATTTTCAAATCAGCGGCGTGAGACATCGTGCTAAAAGCATAATTATGCTTGAAGATATGGCACGAAGCTCATCTATAGCTATTTTTCTTTCTGCTTAAAAGACTTCGGTACAAGAAACACCTATGTATCTAATGAATTTAAAACAGCACTCCTTTCAATATACAGCATACTATCTTTTTTTTTCATTAATTGTTTTAAGGGACTATTGAACCAAATTGTCTTTACTAGCCCCATCGTAACCTGACCTTACAATTTTTTAATAAATAAATAATAACAATAATTTTCACATAATTAAATGTTTATTACACAAAAAATTTAATAAAAATATTGCCAAGCTCATTAGCCTCCTCCGATAGGGGGTTGGCTAGGATGCCTTGCAATATGGCAGTCTCAAACGTAGGTGAAATCGTAGGTGAATCCGGAGCGATCGAGAGGCGAGCCACAGCTGGCGTGCTCGCCCGGAGTCTGCGGGTGGGTCACCGAGCGGATACACCAACTGGAAGGCGGTCATTATCAATATACAGCTTACTATAGTTAGACATGAAGACAGCCGGATCGTAGGTGATCCCGGAGCGCGTAAGAGGCGGGCCCCAGGTGGCGTACTCGCCCGGAGTCTGCAGGTGGATCATCGAGCGGATACCCCAACTGGAAGGCGGTCATTATCAATATACAGCTTACTATAGTTAGACATGAAGACAGCCGGATCGTAGGTGATCCCGGAGCGCGTAAGAGGCGGGCCCCAGGTGGCGTACTCGCCCGGAGTCTGCAGGTGGATCATCGAGCGGATACCCCAACTGGAAGGCGGTCATTATCAATATACAGCTTACTATAGTTAGACATGAAGACAGCCGGATCGTAGGTGAACCCGGAGCGCGTGAGAGGCGGGCCGCAGCTGGCGTGCTCGCCCGAAGTCTGCGGGTGGATCACCGTGCGGATACTCCAACTGGAAGGCGGTCATTATCAATATACAGCTTACTATCGTTGGACATGAAGACAGCCGGATCGTAGGTGAACCCGGAGCGCGTGAGAGGCGGGCCGCAGCTGGCATGCTCGCCCGGAGTCTGCAGGTTGATCACAGTGCGAATACCCCAACTGGGAAATGGTCATCATCATCAGCCTTTATTAATGTCCATGTCACAGCTGTGTACAGGCATTCTTAAGGATGGAGGGTCTTGACCAACCATGCGGGCAAAGTAGAAACTTTATTTTCATGTCTGGAAAATGCGTGACCGCAAACCTCACCCACCCGGGAGAAGTAAACAGGGCCCTGAGGGCTTCGCTTTGTCACTTCATCAAGCCTCCGAGATGCCTGGATAAGGGCCTACCCAATAAAAACAAGACGATACTCCTGCACCGTCATTACCCGTACGCACTCTGAAGACCGAGGTCCCCGAAGGATCGAGATCCCCGAATTCGTGTTGAGAGTGCGGGCGTAGTTGGTACCTTGTTAGAACTAAAAGTATAAACCTACTTAGGAACGTTTCCTCAGACTGGACCCGCATGGTACACCTACTTACACAGAAAAGGAAGTAGCGGCTCCCGTCAACCTCGACAGTAGTATTACTTAAATGTACCGCTAATAATTTAGAAAACACCAGTCGGTACTCTAGTCGTTTGAAAGGATTCTGCGAGAATCTAACATAACCTCAATTTTTGCGTGCGTGACACGACTGTTTGTTCTGTTATGAGACATCTCTGTAAGAAGTACCTACTTAGTGTCAAACAGATCAACGCCTTAATCTTTAGGGAAGACATCTGAGCCTAGGTACTTTTAAAATTATATATCGAAAAGGTTTTGGTACTCAACCAGAACCCTTTTCGGGTTGGTAGTTTTGAAATTGGCTTTGAATTATCGCCCACCTCTGATATGACTACATAAAATTTATGAATCTCATGCGAAGTAGGTATAGGGTGCAGTTACATACGAGTTACGACATCATAATTCATCATTGTCACATAAAATATTATTTAAAAACAACATTTTAAGTTTATATTTTATATTTTTTTCATTAAGCGAATCTCTGAATTCTGGGTCCATTTTGTTTAAGAGACGAGGTAACAAGTAATCTACAGTGCGTCTGCCGTAGATGTTGATTGCCGTTGATGTTGAATAATGGGTTTTCTAATAGAAGAAAAAATACAAACGAGCTTTACCTATGAAACTGTTGTATGATGTTTCTCGCCGCGATACCGGCGGTGCTAGGCCGCGCCATCGCCAGAATGTCGTCCGTGATCCTGGAACGAACATCACCAGACTGTTATTTATAAATTGGGCATCAGACATGCGTCAAAATCTTGACAGAGCCATTGCAGATTTTCCGCTATAATTTATTGGATATGTAACTCCACCTTGATCACCGTGTCAAAACTTATAGAGAAACAGTGAAAAAAAACTTCATAACCAGATTTGATATTATACAAGACTTTTTTCATTTTCATAAAAGCTCTTTGCCATGTATATGGTCTCCTGGTCCTGTTTCAGAAATAATGATTTTTTATATGAAAAAATGATGTGGTCTCGTGGGACACCAGGTAGGAACGGAGTTCCTTCGGCTAATGTAGAATCGACACAAATTGCAAACTCGCTTGTGTATGCGACTGTCGCGCCTGCGCACGTCTCATTTAACGGTTTTATTGCACGCACTTTTTTCCACGGATTTTTTCTTACGGTTTTACTATCACATTTTTTCAGTTCGGTCGCGCAGCAAAATCCCTATCCCCTCCAAGCCTGCCGTAAGGAACTTCGTTCCAAAAATTAAAATGAGAACATTAAAGTCAAAACAAACCTTATGCGTATCATTCGTCAATGATTAATAAAACCTTTAACTTGAAGTTTTCAAAAATGCTTTAACTTTAAGTTTTCAAAAATGGTGATTTTACATTTATTCTAATATTAATATAAGTAAGAACAAAGTTCGAGATATTTCAGGTATCCCAGCATTATAGATAACTAGTGGCCCGCCCGCGCTTCGCTTCGGTGTAGAGCTGTAGTGTAGACTATAGTTTTTGTTCTCAGGCTTGTATTATACACAATGACATTCTTCTAATACCTAATTATAATAGGCACGCGCCACCAGGTGCCCCGCCCGGTAGCGTCGGAACCGCTATGTCCCTGCATTTTAAATCTGTAATATCTTCGAAAATATTCATTTAAATTACATGCGTTAAATAGCCAAATTGGTCTATATTAAATGCACAATGTATTTAAGGTACTGAATTGGATAAGGAAGAATGTTATATTGCTGAAAATCGCTTCGTAAATAATCTATTATTTCTCGTAAAAAGTATAGGATATAAAATGGTTATTGTGGGTTATCCCTAAGAGATAGACAGATACCATGGCGGACTTTTTTGTAGACATTTTTAAGGTATACAATACTGTAGTACAATATTTTGATCGATCTCGTAGGGTTCAGCCAGCGTTTGCAATGTAAGCGGAAAAACTGTGTTTATTTATGACCTTACATTAAAAACCTCTAAAATTATCAGTGTTTCCAACCGTTACACAAAAATAATCCTTATAGCATGATTCAGTATTCACGTGCGACGGCGCGATGGCTTATTTCATGTATAAGTTTGGTGTTTATATACCGATTTCTATGATTCTTTTTTTATTGAATAGGTAATAATGTTAACTTTTTTAAATTAGGGATGAGTGAGAGTATTATAAACGTAAGAGTAAACAAATATAATCAGAATGCTCCGAACTGCTAAGCTATCAGGAGTTACACGTGTTATTGTGAGTCAACCATAAAAGATAGACATATGCTGTTGCGGGATATTTTTTAGACAATTTTATGTTAAATATTTCCGTCATACATGATTTCTATGTAACTTTAACCATTAAGGCTGCACACGCGACGGAAGCTTAAAAAAAGGAGTAACTTCTCCCGTTTTCCCAGCATTTCCCTTCACTACTCTGCTCCTATTGATTGTAGCGTGATGAAAAGTATACTATAACCTGCCCAGGAGTATGAAGAATAATTGTACCAAGTTTCGTTAAAATCCGTCGAGTAGTTTTTGTTTCTATAAGGAACATACACACAGACAGACAGACAGACAGACAAAAATTTTACTGATTGCATTTTTGGCATCAGTATCGATCACTAATCACCCCCTGATAGTTATTTTGAAAATATATTTCATGTACAGAATTGACCTCTCTACAGATTTATTATAAGTATAGAAGATAAATATTTTCACCATACATTATATACATGTAGCACTAACTGTTTTTGCAGCACACGCCTGAATAGCTCGCAGATTGCAGAATTTTTTCAGACTTAAATGACATTTATCGTTATATTTTGGACAATTCACACAATATCTTTATAAATTATAGCCTATGTGTTATTCTGATCTATAAGCTACATTACTGTAAAGTTTCATTAAAATCCGTTAAGTAGTTTTTGCGTGAAAGAGGAACAAACATCCATCCATACATCCATCCAAACAAAATTTCGCCTTTATAATATTAGTAAGGATATCCAGAATGGAACTAGCCAATGGAACAAATAAATCTGAATCTAAATATTGCTGAAAAATAAAACATATATTCAACTAGCTGTGCCCCGCGGTGTTACTCGCAGTTCATTAGGGATTATTTTCGCGTAGAAGACGTAGATTATATGTTAATCAACTTGGATTAACATATACCTAGGCTACGTTTTCTACGCGAAAGTCAGCAAAGAGTCGGCTAACTCCATACCAAATTTTAGTAAAACCGCTCCAGCCTTATAGACGTGAAGAAGTGACAAACATACACACTCACAAACTTTCACTTTTATAATATTAGTGTGATATCCAGAATGGATCTAGCCAATGGAACAAATAAACCTGAATCTAAATATTGCCGAAAAATAAAACATATATTCAATTCCTTTCTATATTAACTGTAGTAAACATACAGAACATACTGCAGTGAAATTTGATTTAAATAATTATGGCGTTTGAATAGAAAGAAATGCTAAATAAGTGCACCTAATTATTAAAATAAGTTTGCGTACATTGCCGGAGTCACGCAAGGACATAGAGTACATTGTAAATCGTGGAGTGGACATTCTTATATTACAGTGCTTATAAACTCAAGGAGCTTTTTTTTTTATTTTAAGCACAGAATTAATTTATTCCTTAGATTTTAACTGATTCTTAAGTTACCGTGTAGGTACGCTTCTTGAATAACAAACACCAAGTAATAATATATCTATCGAGGAGCTCGATGGCGCAGGTGGCTAGCGCGTTCGGCTGCGATCGTTAAAGTTAAGCAACTTTCGCAGTGGTCGGTCATTGGATGGGTGACCAAAAATTTACTATCTCGAGCTCCTCCGTGCTTCGGAAGGCACGTTAAGCCGTTGGTCCCGGCTGCATTTGCAGTCGTTAGCACCCACCAATCCGCACTGGGCCCGCGTGGTGGGTCATGGCCCAATCTCCCTATTCCATCCATAGGGAAGGCCTGTGCCCCAGCAGTGGGGACATTAATAGGCTGATGATGATGATGATGACTCAAACTTTTTGTTACTCTGGCAATACAACTAAATACTAAACTGCCATTGACACCTTACTATTTTACAAGTAAAACTTCTTTACGCACGCTTGATTTGGGGGGTAAACTGGCGAATGCGTTACGCGTTACGAAAAGTGTGTGTGTTAGGGCGAGACGAACGGCAGTTTATTAGGGGATATAAGCAAGAGAAAGCAGTGCGCGTGCACTTACACAATTTACACACACACACACAAATATATATATACATACCCACCACCTATTTCATTATCTATATATATAAAAATGAAACCCGTTTTCCGTTGTCACGACATAACATGAAAACAGCTTGACCGATTTGGCTGATTTTTTTTTTAGAATATTCCCTGAAGTACGAGGATGGTTCTTACGAAGAGAAAAATTAAAAAAATGCCTGAAAATGTCAAAAAACAAAACTTTTCTTTACTCCCATACAAACGATTCGTAATAATACTTAAAAGTCAATTTGAACTTTAATACCATACCATAAATTTCAAATGTTAGTGGAGAGATTCTGGGAAGGCAAAACAATTGAGCGACGTGATGTCAATAGAAGTTTGGAAAAGATAAATATACCATCTTCAGTTTTTTTATAATCTATATATATAAAACTCAAAGGTGACTGACTGACGTAGTAATCTATCAACGCCCAGCCCAAACCACTGGACGGACTTTGCATGCAGGTATAAGAATAATCATAGATGAATGTCATTGTGTATAAAACAAGCCTGAGAACAAAAACTGTAGTCTACGCTTCAGCTCTACACCGAAGCGAAGCGAGGGCGGGCCGCTAGTATATATATATATATACAGATGGAGCTAAAGAATTTTCACTTCAGTCGTGTGGTCATAAGCACACTCGTTATTTTTTTCTTTAGTATCAATGATATTATTATAAAAGTTCAGTATCTTTTGCTCGATAGCAAGCTATTTTGTATGGAAAAACTGTTTAAGCACAATCTAAATATTATAAGCAGTGCTTTAAATCCATATAATATAGCTTGCTCTCGAGCACACAATACAATCGCAAATATATATAGTCTAGCTCACAAATATCTTGAAAAGTGCAAAATCCATCCATCCATTTTTAAACAAATGATATGCACAGTTTTGTTAATTAGGATTAGATTATTCTCGTCTGGTTTAAACCATGTTCCCTTAAACTTATCAAAGCTTCCAATTATAACGGTTTTGTTAAGTTTATTGTTTGTGAATGTTATGTAATTATGTATTTGGTGTTATAATAAATTGTTAATTATATATCTATCTTCGTAGTCGAAAATGAAATAGGTATGTATTCATATCTTCCAATGAAATAACCGAACGAACAATAAAAGTCTTTCGAAGGTAGCTCGACAAAATTAAATAAATAAAAAACATTATTCTGACGATGCAGACCTGAAAAGGCTGCGAAACATCAAATAAATAAATAAAGTTTCGTGCATTAACCCGTTAAAACTAGTTTTATTTAATGAGTGATGTGCGTGAAAACCTGATAAACAAATAATAGGTATGTATATTTAAAAATATTTACAGAAATCGGTTGAGAGATAAATACCTGTATGATATCATCAAAATGACATGTAGTCGGTGAGGAGAGCTTAATTAAAGCAAAACAAGATGATTGCTCTATGATACATACTACGTAGGTAACCACCTATCTCATTATATATTACTATTTTTTTTTATTTTGAGCATTTGCTCAACGCGATAAAAAAAATTAAGCATTTACTCGTAACTGGTAGATTAAATAAAACAAGTTTCAACGGTATAGATGCGCTGATTTTATTTATACCGTGGATCTATACCGTTGAAAATTGTATTAATTAATGAGTGGTGTGCGTGAAAACCTAAGAAACAAATAAATGGTAGGTAGATGTTTAAACCTAAAAAAAAATTGAATATATTGCACACGGACCAGACCAGTGGACAGGACTCCAACCCGCACCCTTCGCTATCCGGGCGAATGCACTGACCAATTGCAATATTTCGCATTTTTTCACGGAGCTCTGCGGCATTTTGACTTTTCAACGGTGCGCGCGTGATTGTGAAACAAGAAGTGCTTAAGAAGTGACTTCTTGATTGGGACACATTTTGAGCGCGCGCGGTGTATCTATGGTATTTATATTTAATATCGTTGCACTTAGAGCATAAATACGTATATTTATGCTCTTAGTTCACACATAACTATATTGGATGTTGATTTTTTAAGGTGACGTACTCAATAGGTGATAGATAACGAACCCTATTGCCTAATCTCCGGAATTCGTCCGTCTGTCTACCTACCTACTTAAGTTAATTCATCCAGTTTGTACATGACTATAATGTTTTTACTATTTTACTATAGATACAGAAAGTTATTGTACTTAATTAACTAAAACTATGCAAAATTATTTAACGGCTACATTAAGAAATCTAAAAAACATGAAGAGAAAAGTGATGCTATATTTTTCTTTGCAATATTAAAAAACATGTGGGTAATAGGGGCATGTGACCATGAGGTTATTTATTAGGAAAAATCACTTGACGAATACGTCATTCATTCAATCATGGAAACCGATAAAAAACACGACACGAAATTACACTTTCACAGTAACTTCACTCAAATGAATTAAATACTTCGTGGGCTATTGATGATTTATTTTGCTGCCATGGACGTTCGATCCTATTTCAAGGGCTTAGGTATGGTGGGAGTACTTCCCAAGGTGCCCCTGTTATGTAACTCTGCCGCGCTCGAGTAAATCCCAATCCAAAAATGCTCTTACAAGTGTCGTATTGTCGATAATTTCTCATGCACGTAACACGTAACAGTACACGTAACGGCATTAACGAATGCCTTCTGCGCCCCCCGCAGCTCTTGCAGCCGCCCCTCGCAGCCTACAGCCCCGGGCCATGGCCCTCTAGATCCTAAAGTAAATACGCCCCTAGGTCCTAGGTCCTACTTGGCAGCGTCTAGGTGTGTCACTTCAGGAATACTTAACACATTCCGTGCATCAAGAACTCTATGCGGCCATACAGGACTTTACCGAGGTGCGGTGTTCAAACTACAGTTTTTATCCTACTGCGGCAGGGATTTCCATTAGTTCTTTCTTTCCATTTGAAAGAGTAAAATATATTGTAAATGGTGTTTTGAAATAGAACTCAAATTTAAGAAAAAAATGCATGGCAAATTAATGGTCATATCGGAAACTGATCACTTTTTATGCTCTGGGAGACATGAGAAGTATTTGGACACAGACGAGCTCCTCATGCCGTACTGTACGTCGTCGGCGCGTCGAGTCGCCTTTTCCTGATAACATAGTGTTGCGAAAGGAGAGCATGCGCTCGACTCTATGAAAATATCACGACGCACCCTGATCGCATCAGAAGAAGCCTATAAGGCCCTTAAGGCCATAGGCATCCCCCACGGGTATATTTTAGTCAGGGAGAGTCTGACATAACCCTGCAGCCAATGTCAAACACTCCCGCCTGAGTGGAAATAAAAAGAAAATACCCACAAGTGATATTATTTTATCATTCAGAAAACGTATTGAACGAGTTAAATCAAAGCATATATGAGGAGCTGGCAACCAACACGGTTTAATTACATAAAATTAAATTTTATAGAAGCTGTATAAAACTAAATGACATAAGTAACTACAGTTAGATTTTGGTATGTTTTTTAATTTATAAATTTAGTAATTTTGACACTGTTTTAGGCGGTAATGATTGAAAATTATTTAAAATTCAAATTGAACGGGCCCGAAACCTTTGTAGAAAAAAGGTAGTTTAACCAGATGCGTTATTATACCGTTTTATTCGAAACCTTTGTAGAAAAAAGGTAGTTTGACCAGATGCGTTATTATACCGTTTTATTCGCCAGCTCCTCGTATATCGATTTAGCGATGTCATTGGTGTGAGGAACTTAATAAAATCATCAGAGTAGGCGGAAAAGGTTGTTTTGTTATATCGGTCAAGTCAACAACCTTTAAAAAAACCACTATAAAATGAGTCATGTCATGAATGTTTGTGAAAAACACAATGTAATGGAGTAGCATGAGGGGCGATGCAGACGTTATTATATTTACGTTAACTTACGCAGGTAATGTATTCTTCAGGGAGTACTTTCAACAGTGTGCATGTGAGACTTAGTAAGTATGCGTGACAACTTTACTGTACAGAAATAGATATGTAAACAATTGTTGTAGGAAAATTCTTAAATCGAAAACAGGTAACAAGTCCGCAACATAGGTTATAACAATACTAAATTCATTTATCGTTAGTTAACTGTCAAAATCTATTAATTTGTTTCTTTTGTTTTGATAGCGCAATAATATTTTTGCGTGCTTAACGTTATATCAAATCTGCCTCACTGTGGGAATAAGATGAAATGCAACATATTATTAGTGCAAGATTTTAGTAGATTACTTTAAATCGTAAATACTTCATAGTACGCAAGAAACGACCAGGATCCATACAGACCTCAGGACAAATATTGTGCGTGCAACAGTTTGAGCACTATCTCCTGCCGCAGACGGTCGTCTTCAGTTCAAAGTGAGAACCTTTTGTATAAATAAATACTTCCGACACTCACACTAATTAGCCTAGCCCCAAAGTAAGCACTGCAAGGCTTGTGTTATGGGATGCTAGGGTAATGGATAGACTACATAATAAGTTTATTTATTTATCTAGAAGTACACACATGCATGCATGCATGTACAGAGGAGCTCGATGGCGCAGGTGGTTAGCGCGTTCGGCTGCGATCGTTGTAGTTAAGCAACTTTCGCAGTGGTCGGTCATCGGATGGGTGACCGAAAATTTCTATCTCTAGTTCCTCCGTGCTTCGGAAGGCACGTTAAGCCGTTGGTCTGCGGTCGGTTGCATCTGCAGTCATTAGTACCCGCCAATCCGCACTGGGCCCGCGTAGTGGGTCATGGCCCAATCTCCCTATTCCATTCATAGGGAACGCCTGTGCCCCAGCAGTTACATTAAGAGGCTGATGATGATGTATGATGTACTTTAAACCTGAAGAGCCAAACTGCGATAAGGTTACTTGAACTAATAATCATCGCACGCCGCCGAAAAGCAGCACATTGCAACACAGCTGGTGCTTTTGTGTTTAGGTTTACAAGCTGCTGTAATATCTTTATTATGATGAACACGTCAACTACTAATGAGAATACAGGTCCCACGAGCATATTGCAGCGCAGAAAGGAGAGCTGTTGCACAATCTCTCTTCGAAAACGTTGCTTTTTTTAATAAATCTAAAGAAAAATTTACTACAAAAAATTCCACGCGGGCCAGGCAGCAAACGGGAGACGATTTTTAATAAAGTTTGCAACCAACTAGGGTGTTCATTCTGCTAAGCTTACGTAAAAATGATATTGCTTTTTTCACAGTTCTTGCATAAAAAAACATAACAAATTCATATAAGATACCAATAAAAATTGAGGAAACAGTTTATATGTGACTTTGTGTTTTAGCAAATACACACACGTCATAAATTAAAACTACGGAAACAGCATTTACCTTTACACATGACGATTATTGCTTTAACTTTGCAGATTCTACACCTTGCTACAATCACGATGAACACGCAAACCAAACTCACAAATCAAAACACATGCTCTGTAAAGCAGCCAGTGGTTGTGGTCGTTCATATTAGCAGCGCGACCTGCTACAAAGCAGCGAACATTGTAGCACAGAAAGAGAGATGTTGCGGAAGTTCTCTCCCAAACATGTTCCTTCTTTATATACTTTATAACCAACCAGCTACAATCACGATGAAAATGTATTTTAACTCACCAATCAGAATACAATCCCTGAATAGCAGCACGCGGCTGAGGTCGTTCGTACTGGCAACGCGCGCCGCCACAGAACAGCGCGCATTGCAGCGCAGAGGGGGTGCTGGTGCGGAATTTCTCTCCTAGAGCGCTGTACAGGGCTGCAGGTGGATGGTTGATGCGACGACGTGACTCTCGACTCCTGGGAAATGAAAAACAAAAGCTGATTTTCTTCTCTGTGTGTTTAGTGTGTTGTTGTAGAAAATCTCTTTGGTACAATCGAACACCCATGACCGTTTCTTAAGACTCGATCACACTGGGCGAGTTTACAAGCTATAGCGAACTCGCTGGCTTGTAGCTTGTAAACTCGCCCTGTGTCATCGAGGCTTTAAACTTATTTGTATATTGTCAACCTTTACATCTGTCACTCCTATAATATAGTAAATATGTAGGTCTCTCCACTGCATCTTTTTCTGCTATAAATAATTTATTTTAGAAGGTTAAGGGCCATTAAACGCAGTTTTCTTTAATTCAGAGTTTGATACTAGTTAAAAATCTATTATGAAATGGTTGAATGAGAAGATTCGACAACATGGTCTCAAGGTCCATCTCAGTCGTCCATGGCTTGAGAAAAACTGGAGGTTGTTACCAATTGCGGCACGTGGGCTTCCTCAATGGAAATGCTCCTAACAGACCTGGATCTCTGGGATTACGTAAATAGCCCAGAAGCCGTAAAGAAAAACTAAGAGGCAGCAATATTTAATCGATTTGACAGTAAAGCTTGTGCATAAAATATGCTTGCTTGGAAGTGAAAGCCCAAATTTTTCCCACAGTTCAAAGCTGCAACACGGCCGAAGAAACTTGGAGAAAATTTCAAGATACTTATGCAAGCAGTGGACCTGCTTTTAATCAGGCGGTTAAATCATTTGAAGAAGCTCTTCAATTCCAAACTGGATCATCATAACTCTATGGAAGAGTATGTCAATTTCATCAGATCTACACAGCAACAACTTATCCAAATAAAAAAACGAATTCATTGGAATTGTGATGCTGGCAGGACTAACCGAAACATACAATCCATTAGTTATGGATTTTGAACATTTTGGCTCCAATTGTCTCTCTTCACTTTTACTGAAGGAAGACTTATGAGAAAAGTCTGTGATCAGGAACAAAAATAACGCATTGCTATCTTTCAAGTTCGGGAAACCCAATCAAGAAAAACCCGCGTACTGCAAATATTATAAGAAGAAGGGGCACCTAGTCTCACAATGGCGAAAACGCAAAGGTGTAAAATACCACGAAGTAAAAAAACGATGAAAGAGCAATTTAGATAATAATATAACAGATTTCATTTTTTTTATCCTCATTTCATTCTCCCACAGATTCGAAGGATATACCTATGGTATTTAGACTCTGGTGCTACATTTCACATCTCACATAAGCAACAGAAAAGATCACTTCTCAAACCTTTCGCATCTTATAAAACCTGTGACCGTGGCTAATAATAGTCAAAATTGAGCGAAGGTAAAGGTACTGTTAATTTAAATATTTCTAGAAATATACAACACAAAAGTTCTTTATGTACCTAAATTAAAAACTAACTTGTTGTCGGTTTATAGTTTAGTAAAAAAGGGTTATGTAGTCATATTTTCTGGCAAAGGAGCATTAATTTTTCCAAAAAAATAATTGCAAAGTTTCAGGGAGAGTAATTTGCTTCTGCTTCAATTCATAACAATCTGTTCAAACTTGACACAGTTGAAGCGGCAAACCGGACTTCTGCCAAAGACCCTATGTCACTATGGCATAGACGTCTCGGTCATCTTTGTGTCAATTCAATGTTCTGAATATTTTAAGAAAAAGAAATGTAGGCTTAGAATACTGTGATACAACCTTAGATAAAACATTTATACCATGTTTGCAAGGCAAACAATCGGAAAAACCTCACCTCTGAATTCGCCGGTGTGATTTGAAATTTATTTTGAAATTCGTATACTAATTTTAAATCACACCGCGGCACTATCTTTTTTTAGAGAAAATCACCACTGTCATAATATTATGTGCGAGCACGAGCGATTCTTACTAAAAGTTTATTTTTTTTAAATAGTTACTTGCCTGTCTAGAAAATGAAATCTATGAAAGTTCACAAAGTTAATACTCGATTTCCTCCTGTCCTTATTGAAGAGTAGTTTCGACATTGTAAATTTTTTGAATGTAATTTTGTACGCCGCTTGACAAAGAAAGGACCGCGCTCTATGAAGTTTCCGTTTGTACTGAGGACAGTAATGCTTTATTTATGTTTTTTTATTACACGTGCACGCATTTGGGAATTAAAGTTGACGGAGTGATCCAAATGTTTGTAGAGTCAGCAAAGGAGTTATTTGTATTATTATAATGATATTTTATTTATACTCTTTTAAATTGTTTCTTACGGTCTAAAAACTTTGAAAGTGTTTTGTTTTCATCGCCGCTTATTGTTTAGTTCATCTTTAAAATATAGCATTACATCTTTAGTTTTTATTTAAAAATTCAGACCTTATCAACAAGCATCCGTGACAGTGACAGGTAAAAACCACGGCTGCTACGCGGGCGACCCGGGTTCGTTTCCCAGCTGAGGTATGATTTTTTTATTAATGATATTAAAAGTTTTACTTGCATCATCATGGTTCAGATTGGTTCATGATTTGCTGACAGACAATCAGTAACACGAGAGTCAACTTAAGTAGTTAGGAAACTTGCTTAATATCATTGTAAAAAAATATTACTTGAAATAATATTATAGTGTACAATGCTTTTGTATGTTCTATTTTCTAATAAACAAAGTCAATACAGCCAGCAAGCATCATCACAACACATTTTTACAAATAACTGTCTGTCTGCCATTTCATTAATCACACAGAAGCCATTATAGTTAATGATAGTGTTCGTCTTTGATGAAACGGTGTAAGTACCTACATCATATTATTTTTTCAGTCATTTTGTAAAACGTTATGTTTTTTACTCAGTAGGTATTATATCTAGATAGGACTGACACTATTTGGAGTGTTAAACGACAGCATAATGATGCGACTCCACGGTTCTTGATACTTGATATGTTACTAGTTAGATAGGTTCATACAACCAAAAGTAAAGTATAAAAAATAATGAAACATTTAAAAAAAACGTAAACCCTTTATAAATTATAACACTTCTCAATAAATAATAATAATATCCCTAAAATATATATACAGAGGAGGCGGACCTATTACCTTTTTATACAACCAAAAGTAAAGTATAAAAAAATAATAAAACATTTTAAAAAAGCAAAACCTTTATAAAACATAACACTTCCCAATAAATAATACTTTGATCCCAAAAATATATATACAAACCGCCCCGGGCGGCATCACTAAGAGGCCGGCAATGTTTTTATTTCATATATATTTTGTTATATATTATTTAAATATTCTGTATACATTTTATTATGTAGGGCGGTCCTTACACCTAAACGCCAAGTTTTGAAAAAAGTTGTTCCAATTATAACGCACTTCATGATTTTTCCAGTTCGCCCAGTTCTTTATTTATATTGTTTTCGAAGGCAAATGAGCGGACGGGCCTGCTGATGTTGAGTGGTTACCGTCGTTCATGAACATCAGCAATTCCAGCGACACAGCCATGCCGCTGCCTATCGTGGGATGTTCTATTGAAGCCCCTCTTGAAGCGTTCCGCCCTGGGTGTCTATAGCCCACGCTACGCCGCTAAGTAAACCCAGTTTTGAGTATATTATATACAGTACCTGTAATATTCTGAAGACAATAAAGGGAGTTAAGTTTTATTGTTATGTTAAAAAGGTGGCAAAGACGCCATATGCTTGTTCGTCGTCCGCTTGATAGTAAACGGCCACCAGTGGAGCCCTGGAACCAGGCTCATCGACAGAAACACAACTAATAAAAGGTACCGTTGATTGACTGTGGTATTCTGTAAGGTGGAGGTTACTGACCTACCACTCTTACATTACTTTAATTCACTTGCGAAAAAGAAAAGGACGTCCTGTATTTTAACCACTGCAAATAATTTTGTAGTTGGCTGGTATTTTTTCTTTGGGGTAGGTATGTAAAAAAATGTTAATAACTTATAAACGAATACATAAGCAATAATTTTCTGTAAAACGCCAGTTTATTTTTTATGAGTACATTAAAATTTAGCAACTACACATAAAATATGTCACCTCCCCTCCATAATTGGGTCAAGTATTAAACTTTGCCGTTGTAGCTGAGCAATAAACGTAATAAGTTGTGTGATAGCGGGCACGCACAATTGCCGATGTTGTGTTTTGGAAAGAAATTCATAAGCGCGGGAAAAAAGCTTGACATTTTATTTTAACATGGGTAATTCGGTCTTTTTTCAAATATGGCAAAGAAAACCTGGTAAGTTCTTAGTAAAATATTTTAAAATTTCATACATCCATCTAATATTTTGCTTTATTTATTTAGCGATATTTTCTGTGAATGAGTTTGTCAGTGAGTTCGTCAAATTAGATTTACTTATTTAGACCCGTTTGCAGAAATTTTGTTAAATCTCAACTTAATCAAAACTATCCACATCCCATACATCCCTATAAAATGGTGTCCAATTGACATTGACATTTTTCTATGGAGTACATCTAGTTTTAAACCGAGATTTAGAAAATTTACTGCAAGTAGGACTTACTCAAGTAAAGTGTAATTAAAAGCAGGTTGATATGACAAGATAATAACTAACATAACATAAAAGGTAACTTACAGGTCTTAAATTTAATAAGGCATAGGTTTTCTTTACAGATCGTTGAAGACATTTTAAGCATGGCATTCATATAAAAAAATGGAATTCCATGCCGGATTCTCCTCATTTATTAAACATTAACACCGAAAAGGTTGCATGGATAGCATGGATAGCTTATAATTTAGTTTTTTGGGTGTTTTGTCTATTTAAGGTTCCGTTACTCAAAACGAAAAAAACGGAACCCTTATAGGATTACTTTACTGTCCGTCTGTCTGAAGACGGGAGTTATTGAGTTGACATTTAAACGATATACTCAGATATACGGTCCCTTGAAGCTGTGACAAAAAAAAGATACGGCCTTTTATGTGCCTGTCTGTCAAGACCCTTTATCTTAGGAACGCATGGAGGTATCGAGTTGAAAAAACCTGAATATAATGGTTTTTTTTAGTAAGGCGATTCTATAAAATAAATCTCACTTGCGATTTCGGTAGCTGCCATTTATAGTCATTAGTTTGATATGCATTACGCTATTACACGTCAAAATGTCGCTATTACTGTAGCAGCAGCCAATATTAGATATTATGTCATTTTCCAGAAATCTGTAAAAATGAGATCGTAAGTGAGATTGAATCTAACAGAATACCTAAACTGGTATGTGGTCGGAAAAAAATCATTTATCTATGCTTCTGAATTAATGGAAAAAAAACGACGAGTTGCACTCCGGGAGTGCCGACAGAAGTGAAAACTTGAATATTAACGTTGTGCATTTTGGATATTTTGGAATGGTTAGGGAATAATTTTGCACGAATTGCTTTAATTATTAGTATAAAAGTACTATCATGTATGTGGTAGAATACAATATTTATTTATTGCGCTATCGTACACAACCACGACAATTTATATTACATTAAAAAAGTTTATCTCTCAGAAAAATCAACTTACATAATTCACGTTTAAGCGCACCTAGCGACGTCTATTGTAAAAAAATGCATTTTCTTCGCAATAAAGCTGCCACGTGGTCGTCCTAGGTAAAGACTTTAAAAGATTTATTTTATCGTATTATAATAATATGTTTCGTCCAATATATTGAAAGTCAACAACCTTTCCAATTTTATTGTGTGTCATGATGCGATCAGCCCACGTGTTTAACCTGACGCGAGTTTAACATTTTTTACACTAATAAAAAAAGTGTACAACGCCGCTAAAGAAGTTTTCACTTCAAAAACAAACTCCTGAATTAACGAAAAAAAGATATGGCCTTTTATGTACCTAAAAATTCATACGGAACCCTCGCTGGGCGAGTCGGACTCGCTCACTTGTCCGTCTTTTTTAGTAGATATCTATTATATAAATACCTACCTACATATCCTTCAATCAAATGGACCCATTAAAGATATTATTGCTGTACCGTACTGCCTGTTGATTGTATGCGGATAACTTGTGAGTAAATCGTTTATTTCGTGTGTGCCACTCATGGAGTGTAATTACTATACTACTTATTGGAATATTTCATGGCGACAGCGTGTCGTGAATACGATTGTTGGGCGACGTAATTTCAAAAGTTCAGCTTTAAATTACAGTTTACAGGGCTCCGTATCGTTCGTTCGTTGAGGTTATAACGAAACCTTAAGTTTTTGAAGCCTAAAGAAAATTTTACTAGAAAATAAGCTACTTGGTCTAGGCATCAGACAAGATTCGATCCTGTACCTGCCGCCGACCATTATGCTTGTTAACCGCCGATTTAACATAAAAAAGTAGTTTCGTAGTTAAAATTAGTGTTCGGCTCTAAGTCTTCGTGACAAGGGAATGCATAAGTATTATAAATAGCGGGCCAAAAGACGTCGTGACGTCCCCCATCTCTTTGTTATTAAAAATAAAATATATTTATATTCTACTTAACGAGCTAACAATGATGTGTCACATGCTGGGATTGTCCCCTTTTCATATATGGGAATAATTTAACAGCATTTTAACTTAATAAACGATGTAAAGACTCGTGACATACGGACAGACAGACAGATGACAGAGTGACAGCAATAATGTTCCATTTTTACCCGTAAAGATTGTTACTTTAAGACCTGACAAGACGAAAGACATAGCTTTCCTAACTTGGCTCACTTTTTTGCTGTTATGGTTCGCCCCTTAACACGGAATAGGTACATATATAAGCAAAAATAACCCGTGACCCATATACATATCGGGTCGCACTGCGTGCGTGCGTTCACAACTCATTACAGTCCGTAATACACCTGTATAATAAAAGTTAAACACTAACAAATGTCACGCGAGCACGCCCGTGCACTACACTACACTACCGCCGCAGCCGTCAACTGCCATGTTTATGACGCGATTCAAAAGCATGGTTTCTGTTTGAAATAAACTATGTATTATTATTATTATATAACGATGGGGTGTAGTTATGTCCCGCAAAAACAGAAAGTTTAATATTTTGCCACTAATGTTGAATGATTAAAAGATGAGAACAAAACGTTTGCTAGGTAGCTAAATGAAAGCACAGCTTTAGTTATATTATTCATAAACGCAACCGCTAAGCTGACCTACACACTACCTAGTTAATAAACTCTTTCATTTTTAATTCCATGAGAAAAATTCAATGGATTCATGACCGTCGATAGCAAAATGTCACGAAACCAATCATCGCTGCCATGGATAGGTGCCACGATAGTGGGTAGAGGAGTATGATCATTATCAGGCTTGAATTTTTTGAATTTTAAACATAGTGATTCAATGGGTAATATATAAAATATAGCTAAAAGGGATTTCTTCCAGACAAACTTTGGGTGGCGAGGATTGAAAGAAACAAGGGATAAAAAAAAATATATGACTATATACAATATAAATATATATATACACAGTAAGTACCCTTAGCATGAACCAATATCGAATTCGTAACATTTATGAGTACGAAATGTCATTGTCAAATGTGTACTGATTTTTAGTTCTCGTTACGTCCGTTATGGCGCTGCTGTTCAAGTTTCCATATAAAATTTAACAGTGACATTTGGCTCTCGCAAACTATTCGATATTGGTTCGTGCTAATGGTACTGTGCCAGGAGCATTACTGTTGCCTATACGATCCCATTTGCTTCCCTGTAGAACTCTAGTAACCTTCTCAATAAAGAAATACAACACTGTGCTCTGTTCGGAAACTAGTTAGTGGAGTGCTTTCTTTATCACGCAAGCGCTTCGAAAAGGGCGGAGATGCAACTACATCTCTCGAAAAAGGTGCTCTCATTTACTGAAATAAAGACAGTAATAGATTAGTGTTACGTTTCAGGAAAGCTAGGAACACTTATGTTTAGAGTTAGGGAGGATATGGGATCATAATTGACCTGGCATCTCTAGAGCAGGTCTTAGGCCCGTATTACAGAATGACAACCAAATGTTGATCTTTACTTGAGTACAGTTAGAAAAGGATGTCGCTATGTGCTATATATAGCGACATCTCTTTCTGACTATGCTCAAGACTAGATTAATTACTGAGAATCTTTCTATAATACGGGCCTTATAGTACCAATCTTGTAGACGATTTCCCATTGATTTTTTTTCCAAAAAATTCAATGGGAAAAATTCAATGGCCAATTCGTTACTTATGATCAGGTGCGGTAGAGGTTAAACGCAGTCTAAAAACGGTGTATTCCGCGGCCAAATTTCCTTTGGAACCTGCGCCAGCACAGCCTCATGCAGACGCCGCCGCGCGCGCTGCCTAGACACTCCCATAGCTGCGTTCATCGATAGTCTTTAACGTACTCTGTAGGATAACATTCCCTACTCCATAAAACTCTGACAATCTCTCTCACAATACAACACTAAAGGTACTTGTTGTGTGTTCATCGAAATGAGCTAGTGCGAAATCTTTCTTTTTCACATACCTAGTCGTTTACAAAAGACACGCGAAATGGGCTGTAATTGATCGAAGTAACGAAAACAATACATTCCGACCATTAATAAAACTTCATCACATAAGGAAAGGGCTATCATTGGCCGGAGTAACGGTATCAATACGATCCGACCAATGAAAGGAATGCTTGGCTTTCGTCGATACTAGACAACTAAATTTTAATTGGCTATTATTGTATGGTGAAATCTTTCAATCGTGTTTCAACAAAGGAAGTACCAACCTTGTAGCTGATTTTCCATTGGCGTTGTGCTCCGGGGCCACCCTCCTTCGGAACCTCCGCCTGCACAGCCTCACGCAGACGCCGCGCGCGCACCCCAGCCGCTCCCACAACGGACAGCGATGGTTTTCAACGGATTCTGTACTGCTCTCCATGGACATCTTCCAAATCTCAATTATTAATTTTTGCAGCTAACAGAAGTCATTGCTTTCTATTTGTATGATCGTATATAATCCTTACTCCTTACTAATATTATAAAGGCGAAAGTTTGTTTGGATGGATGTATGGATGGATGTTTGTTCCTCTTTCACGCAAAAACTACTAAACGGATTTTAATGAAACTTTACAGTAATGTAGCTTATAGATCAGAATAACACATAGGCTACTTTTATCCCGAAAAAAATGTTAGGTTCCAGAGGGATTTCCAAGAAACTTAGTTAACGCAGACGAAGTCGCGGGCGACCTCTAGTTATTAATAAGATTCAGTTCTTAATGATAGCACATGCCAATTTCAGCTAGCGAAAATCATCTTTTTACCTATTTGTTAATTTTCAATCGCAAAATATTCACCTTTAGATTTCGTTGCATTCTTATCTTTCATATTTACAATTCGTTGGTTAACGGATAAACACTCAAGTAGGGTTACACTTAATACTGACTAAACGTGATGAAATGTTTGAGTTTTCGTAAAATTGACTAAAATCTGTACCTAACTGTGCGTTTAGGTACAATCATAATTTCTGTTAAGGTATAAAATATACTAAATACGTTAATGAATAGTTATTTATTATACAAGAGTGGAAAGTTCCTTTTTAACCGCGTGCTCGATTTGGATGACCGAGCAAGCGAAGGATTCTAAAGTTGAATCACGAGCGCAGCGAGTGATTCTAAATTAGAATCCTGAGCGTCAGCGAGGGAAACAAACGAGCACAAGGTGAAAAATCTTTCCACTCGAGTGCAATACGTAACTTTTCATCCCACCTCAGCGAGGAAATGACAAAATGAAAAAGAAAACAATTTATAATGACAAAATATTTAAGCAATAAAACGTGAAAAACTAGAATGGCGCGAAGCACGCAAATAAAACAAAGAAACCAAGAAGGTTCCAAATTTAAATTTTTTCACAATTTAAAAAGTTCTAATCATAAATTTGGCATCATAGAGGTTACATTAAATAGGTTTAATGACGTTTTGAATTTACAATTATATTGAGTACTCATTATATGTGATGTTCTAAATTCAAATCTACTTTGCCGCTCAAGCGAATAAAATAGAATTTTCCAGCCAGATTTCGAAGCGCAAAATTACACTTTCCGAGGTGGTGGGATGAAAAAAATATTGTTTTGTTGTTAGCACACTCGGTCGACGTTTTATTCTTTTGGTAACTAACTATATAGGTATAACGGTGCCAAAACTTATCATACGAGTAATTTATATAGTTCAACAGAGGAACTTATAAATGTAAATGGAGTATTAAAAATGTAGGGTCTTTCTTTGAAAATCGAATATCTAAAATCTATGCGTTAAACAATCACTTATTTGTGTAGGCACTATACTCAGACCTCAACTTATTTCATGGTACATACTTTTAAAGTAAATGGTATGTGTATGTATTACTAAATACACGTAAGTACGGTGAAAAGACTTAAAAATTCAGCTTGCCGCTAAATTTTATTTGTATTTGTAAATTATGTTGTAGCAAACAATTTAAACGCGTATTAAAATGAGCCAAATGAATGCCAGACAACAAAAGGCATTCATTACGCTGACAAAAGCTGCCTTTACACACGCACATTTTTTTTTATACTAGGCCCAACAAATTACCACCCCACCTGATGTTAAGTGTAAGTGCCGCTCGGACCATCCTCATCTTGCCGACCTGAACACAATCCCCAACCCCGCAGAGCCCTGGAACTTTAAAAGGCAAGAGGTATTTTATTGTGGTCTTCTCTGTAAGGTGGAAGTTGTTTCACCAAACGGGTGCTCCAATTCGAGCGGAAAATCCTCTTTGGTTTTACTTCTTTTAGATTGACATTGATTGCAAATAGATCAATCACCGAACATGGTGAAAACAAAAATCAGGAAAAAGCATAAATAAAATTTGCCTGGTGCGGCGAAGAAACATGTTTCTCTGCTAGCAGTTCGCGCGTTCCTTTTGGGGTTTAAGACAGAAACCATAGGGCAGATTGCTTTTAGGGCAGAGTTAGATAATGACGAGATTTCATGACTGCCAGCCTGGACTCTGTTGAAGGGGGCGATGACATTATAGATCCCAGGTCTACTGGAAAATAACAATAAATTGTCATGTGCCCATACCGTAAATATAAGAAATTTAAATAAAACAAGTTTCAACGGGTTTAATGCACTGATTTTATTTTGTAGGAATGCGTCGTCGGAATAATGTTCCTGCAAAGGATGTGAAACGTCAATAAATAAATAAAATCAGTGCATCTAACCCGTTGAAACTTGTTTTATTTAATGAGTGAAACTAATATAAGAAATTTACTAGAAAGTTCCCCGGAAATATTGGCCCGTATTACAGAATGACAACTTAGTGTTGATCTTTACTTGAGTACAGGTAGAAAGGGATGTGTGCTATGTTCTATACATATATAGCGACATCCCTTTCTAACTATGCTCAAGACTAGATTAATTACTGAGAATCTTTCTATAACGCGGGCCATTGTCAGTGTCCACTGTTTCTGAATTATACTAATTACTATTTGGGAATCATTATCTCCATTATCATCAACCTATCATTTTCGCCATTCATATGCTCAGTCCATCAATATGCATGAAATAGGGAGAATAGGCCAGGCCAATGATGCAGTAGCTTCTCTGGCCCTTGCAGCACTCGTATCATCATCATCATTATCAGCCTATGAATGTCCCCACTGCTGGGGTACAGGCCTTCCCTATGGATCGAATAGGGAGATTGGGCCATGACCCACCACGCGGGCCCAGTGCGGATTGGCGGGTGCTAACGACTGCAGATGCAGCCGGGACCAACTGCTTAACGTGCCTTCCGAAGCACGGAGGAACTCGAGATAGAAGTTTTTTGGTCACCCATCCAATGACGGACCTCTGCGAAAGTTGCACTCGTATGCTCGTATTAAAAACTATATACGTATGAGAAATGAGAATGACGATTATCATATCATAATGTCTAAGAGGACTCACGTTCACCTTACTGAATATCACAGTAAAATAACACTACCTTTTAGTGACGTTGTGTTTCTGTCGGTGAGCAAGGTTCCAGGGTTCCACGGGGTAGGGGACTGGGTTGGTGCTAACGATATTTTTGTGTCTGTATAGCCTAATGGTAGCCGCTTATATACCATCAGGAGGGCCATAGGCTTGTTTGCTACCCTATTTGACATAAAAAAGACACCTGAACAAAATTTTTTTCTCAAACCCTGACTCCGAACGCGCTTACTACGAAACCTTTTCAGCTACTGAAATAATAACATAAGTACTACCGAAGTCGACAAATTGTACAATTTAATGAAAGGGTTTGCACATGGGGACTTGCATCGGTACTTGAATTAATTATTGTTATTGATTTCTCGCAATAATTCATCACAGGCAAGTCGTCATCAGCTGTTCTCTTAATGTTGTGAAGTAAATTATGTGCTTCAAATTTAATACTTTAAACCAATAGTTTTGTCTTAAAAAGTGTTATTTTTAAAATAATAATATTAGACCGAAATTGCAAGATTAAAAAGTTAAAGTAATAAGCAAGCGCTACGTAGGTACGTACGTACGAATCACAACCTTTTAGAACTCGCGTATTTTTTTTTATTTTCGTTTTATTTCTTGTTTAGCTCACAAAGGAGATTTTAATACAAAAGAGTTCGACACATATTTTCCCGTCCAGCCGCCCGGAAAACGGCTCTCTCGTCACAGAGCGTGGTAAACACTGAGTTCTCTTGGAAAGAATGGTTTCGATGTTGTATCGACTACACAAGTGGAGGTTGGCGGCAATAAAAGTTAATTTATTTTTCTATTGGCACGGATTTGCCAGAGCTGCTTTGTTCTCTGTGATGTGTGTATTAAATAGGACTTGTCGAATACGAAAGGTTTATTTATGAAAATCTCGATCGAATATTTTAAATTTTTTTAGGTTGTCCTAAAACTACCATTATCGAAAAGAAGAAACTTTAAAAATTGCATTCGGCAGTTAAGAAGTTTGTCATTATGACTAGTTTCCTAGATAACATACGAACGAACATTATTATTAATGGAACGTATTATAGAATGTAGTTTTCTTACGTGAATAAAAGGAGTTAGAATATGCTTAAAAATAAAAAAAACATATAATTTTATTTATGATCCTGAAAATATTATAATTTCAAATAAATACCTATAATTTAAGAGACTGCCTTGTTCAAATTTCATGTCATATCCCAAAGTAGCAATTGTTGTTTCTGCACAATATTTCTCTTTCCAAGTCTTTCACGATCGTTAGATTTTCTATTACTCTCTCCAGTTCTTCTTTACGAACGTCCCTCCTTCTGCTCAGCAGCTTTATAAATCTCTGCCTTAGCTGGCAGTCGTACATAAGAGCGTAATCTTTATTAATTTTCCTGTAAACTTGCACCGTATAGCCGTTGTGCTGTCGCATCGGAGATGTGGGTGACAGGACGTAGAATTTGGCTTCATTCTTACCGAACACAGCTCCATCGATCAAACCTTTACTTCCTTTCAATAAAATAGGATCGTCCTTTAAAGAATACGGAGCGCTTACATTGTACTTATCACGGTATATCGACAAATCTCTTGCAGTTGCTGGACTGAATTCCAAAGTAGGACAAGAGCAGTAATCCAAACTAATCGCGGGGTTAAAATTTATTATAACATACCATTTGCCTAAAAGATTGGCGTTTTCCAATGGTTTCTTATTAGCTTGAAGGCAATTTGTATCTACTTCGCTTAGTGTCAAACAGTATCTTATAAGTGCTAGCAACACGACAGCCCTCGCTGACATCTTTAAAACTTTGAGGAGAGTAGAGGTCCAAGCACGAACTTTGACAGATTCGAAATCGCATCGTCATCGTCAAATTTTGTATGGAAGGAGCCTGTTTGTTTTTACGTCCGGTAGGGGCGCTGTTTACTTTCATAGAAACTTTGACGATGCTATGCGCGATTACAGAACTGTCAAAGGTTGCGCTTGGGTCTCAGTTATCACTTTCTTATCTTCACTATTAACCCTAATGTGTTTACTTATCATGCTTTTATGTATATTAACCTCGACTCTAGACATATTATTTATATTTAATTTAATAATGATTGCTGGGCGGCGTTCCGTTCCATAAGTCAAGTTAATTTATTTAGTTAACTTGATACTTTAACTTACTTTCTCACGTATTTACAGCTGTTTAGATTCGAGTGTAATTTATGTTATTTTCTACATACATTTTATACATTTTACGACCTCCGTGGCCGTGTTGCCGACTCGAAATTTGAAAGAAGGGTGAAAGACATTAAACTGGCTTCTGGCCCATCACTTGCTATAGATGAGTCTTATTTATGAGTTTATTCTTAGCGACATAAAAGACACGGCACAAGTTGCCCTTGTTTTCAAGGTCCAAAAGAAAAACTTCTAGAATTGCTACCGCTCTCAGGATAAACTAGAGGGGAAGATATAGCGAATGCCGTGCAAATATGTCACGAAGACTATAAGATCGATTTAAATGAAATCGTTTCAATAGCAACTGATGGAGCTAGAAGTATGACAGGAAAAAATAAAGAGGCAACAAAGGATTCTTCAGAGCGAATAAACCATGAAATTCTTACATTTCACTGCATAATATACATCAAGAAGACGACAGTTTTAAGAAATCTTAAACGAAATGGAGACTCAGTATTCTGACCTCCTTCTTCAGAATAAAGTGCAATGGCTTTGCAAAGGTAAGGTTTTGAAACGTTTTGCTTTGTGCTTGAATGAAATAAATACATTTCAAGCTAACAATAGCACTCTAGCATTCATAGTAGATCCTCTCAACACAAAAAGTAACGAAATCCACATTGAGGCATTTGGAGTTGATACTGGATCTTTGCAAAAAGTGAAGCATAAAATTGTGGAGTATAAAATTTACAGAGTTGAAAAGCAAGTTGGAAGAGGTCCAAAAATGTATGTACATAACGCAACAAAAGTGGACAGCTTTAAAAGAAATGCTGCAAGTTGAGGCACTTATATTTGACGTATGGAATAGTCTTCCAGATTGCTACAGTCAGGTAAAAAAGTTGGCATTTGGAGTGCTGACTATTTTCGGAAGCAAGCGTCCTCTTGCATGAATTTAATTAAAAGTAAAGTAAGAAGATAACTAACAAATGAAAATTAAGAGTCGTGTTTGAAATTTAAAACAACAAGCTATGAGCCAAATTTATCCGAAATTTCTAAAACCATGCAAAGCCAACTGAAAAAAAAATTACCGTAGAAGAGAGCTACAACAAACAAAATGATAAGCACACAGTAGTGAAGAAGCGAGCAACCGTATTCCAACGAGGTCATTTTCCATCCTCGCTCATGGTATGGTTGGGACTTTCTTATTGGGGCTTAACAGAGGTACATTTTTGTCAGAAAAGTGTAAAAACGAATGCAGTTGTGTATGAAAATACAGTCCTGACGAACCTTGTGGAACCTGTTTCTCATACCATGTTCAATTACAGGCACTGGGTATTCCAACAAGATTCGGCGCCAGCTCATAGAGCGAAGAGCACACAAGACTGGCTGGCGGCGCGTGAAATCGACTTCATCCGCCACGAAGACTGGCCCTCCTCCAGTCCAGATTTGAGTCCGTTAGATTACAAGATATGGCAACACTTGGAGGAAAAGGCGTGCTCAACGCCTCATCCCAATTTGGGAGTCACTCAAGACATCCTTGATTAAGGCAGCCGCCGATATTGACATGGACCTCGTTCGTGCTGCGATAGACGACTGGCTGCACAGATTGAAGGCCTGTATTCAAAACCACGGAGGTCATTTTGAATAAACTTTAGTGTCATAAGAATCTATGTTTTGTTAAGTTCATTTTGGTATATAAATGGTTACATAATGAATAAACTTGTTTCAATTATTTTATATTAAACATGTGACAGAATTTCTGACTTGACTAGGTATATAAATAAACAGATATTTTTTGTAATGAATAAATATTAGTTTTTTTTTTATCAAAAAAATAAATTTCGGCAAGGACTATTTATTGCTAGCAAGAAAACTTTTTGTGGCTCTTTAAAATCTTTGAAATGTTGTAAATTAAAATTTTTGACTCTTCCGACACAAAAGGTTGCCGACCCCTGGGCTACGCTAATTGGTGTGAGTGTTGGAAATATGTATTTATTTGTAAACTTTGTAAAATTTATGAATTGGATATTTTCATTGCCGACAAGCGTAAGGACCGCCTGATGGTAAGCGGCTCCCATAGCCAGACGCCTACCCTGACCCCGTGGAGCCCTGTAACCTTACTCACTGACAGATGAATAATACTACGAAAAGTAGTTACTTCACTGTGGTCTTCTCTAAGGTCGAGGTTACTTCTCCAGACGGCGTGAAAAATCCACGATGCCCTACCTCTCTTAAACTCTCTCTCTTGTGTAGAATAGACAAATGTCAGTGTGACATACGGTAAACTCTTTCCCAGTATCAGTCAGTATCAGTAGCAGAGCTATAAATTCTGTGATAGCAGCTAACAACAATATTAAGCTTCTTTGTTTAATGAAACAATTAGTTCTAATACAATTTAGGTAGATACGTATATATTTTTTAGAAATTTTTTATTACATTTTTATAAAGTAAGTAAAAAATAATAATAGATTTATAGCTTAAGGGCGGCTGCACTTATTCCTCTTGGTCTTCTGGTCCATCTTGCACACCTCTCCCGACTGGCATTTTGCATTGTCACAGTACACGCTGCCGCTGTTGCCGCCTGAAACAAATGTTAAACAAAACATTTATTTAAGTGGTATTTATTTCATATTTTTTTACGCACACCAATCATTAAATAAAACACTTTTTAAAACGGCTTTAACTGTGCTTTTTAGTATTTTTACATAATTGTTCATATTATCGACTAGGGTCGGGGTTAAGGCTTAGATCCCAGCGCACGTCTGCAGGATCAACCGAGATAACCCGGGTGATCTCTGCCGTAGAGCCACGGCTAGACCGGGAGGCTGTTAGGCACGGAGACGCGGTGAAGAGCCTCAACGGGGATCTGGCGGTTTCGCACTTAACAGCGTAGAGGGTATTCGCAGGGGTTTTAGAGGAGTATGCCGCAAGCGAAGAAACATTTTTTAAACAAGAAAAAGTGTGTGGTTTCTTTTTGCAGGTTTGGTACGCTGCGATTTGATACATCAAAACCGTGGTGTTAATATATTTAACTCGTTTTTCACTGTTGGTAAGTATTTTTGATTATATCTCTGATAAGGTGAGGTTGGTTGGTGTGGCAGTTTATAACTGCTATAGCAGCTATCTTCGCGTTTGGACTTTATCACCACTTAACATCAGGTGGTGGTTAGGGATATTTTACCGCAGTAAAACGTAGCCTATGTGTTAATCCAGGGTGACAGCTAATTCCATACCAAATTTTATTAAACTCGCTCCAGTCGTTTAGACGTGGAGAAGTAACAAACATACACACTAACAAACTTTCGCCTTTACGTATAATATTAGTGTGATAATGGTGTCGATTCTGGCATGACTCTCTAAACCTAAACTTAAATTTGACAACAGTGCATCCTTGTCATTCTCTATACAGAATGAAAAGGAGAGACTGATGTTAAATTTAGTTTTAAGTTTAGAGAATTATGCCAGAATCGACGCCATTATGTTACTATTCTTAATTTTACCTGAATTTTTGCTAGAGCTGCCGGTGCCCCCGTACGCGGCAGGCTCCACGCAAGACTTGGCGTTGCAGGAGTTCGAGCAGCACACCTTGCCGTGCGTGCACTCGTAGTCCTGAACGCACTTCGGACTACAGCCGTACACTTTGGACGCCAGCGGGCAGGAGCCAGCTGGAATTCAGGATTTGAACATCATCATTAGATAAAAAACCGACTTCAAGAAGGAGATTCGTCATTATAATATCTAAAGAAAATTTTACTAGAAAAATTCCACACGGACCAGGCAGCAGACGGGACTCGAACCAGCACCATTCGCAATCCGGGCGATTGCACTGACCAATTATGCTACCACGGCCCTGATGGCCACGTCGAAATTTTCCTTATTCTTTAATTCTTCGCATTGTAGGTAATCCTGGTAAGCTGCCTGGTCCGGCCTGGATTTATTTTTTCTAGTAAAACTTTTCTTTAGATTTTAGCTCCTGTAAAAATATATTTTATGTAATTTGTTTTTTGTTCGCCAGCTTCTCAAATATTAATTTGGCTTTAAAGTAAACAAAATGTATTATTTCTTAATTTTTAGTAGTTTGGTTTTTATTTTTTGTTAAACAGATTTTTTGATAGTAAGAACATTAAATCTCTAGACTTAGGGATAGGTATGAGCTAGAATCTACTATATGCCCTGCCAAGCATATAGCAGATTTTCGGCCCAAATTCGAGTCGTCTGGGGAAGCGTCACTTTACAGAAGACTATAGTAAAAGATCATTACCTTTTGGTGGTATTGTGTTTCTGTAGGTGAGTAGGGTTTCGGGGCTCCACGGGCTAGGGAATTGGGTCAGGTTAGGACTGAGGATTTAAATTTCATGGAAAAGGGAATCAATTATAATATAGAAGGGAATAATTCATTCCCTTTTCCATGGAAGGAGCCACTTTGTTCTTATGTTCTTTAAACTTTAACGATGCGATACGATTGATTACGGATCTGTCAAAGTTCGTGCTAAAGGTACGTACCCTTTGCAGGAACCAATATCGAGTTCGAATACTTAGATTGCGAGTACGAAATGTCATTGTCAAATTTTGAATGGAAACTTGAAGAGCAGCGCCACAAAGGACGTAACGAGACCCAAAAACCCTACACATTTGACAATGTCATTTCGAATTCGAATAAACTCTTTATTAGACGTACAATAAATAGAACAAAAACACATACCTGCTTCCGTATAAGATATAACCACGAATACGGTGATAACTGACAGGAGAATAGTTAGAGAACCTGTAAACAACATAAAAAAAAATATTATAGGTAACCATTTAACTTCTAGATGTTTCAATCTAAAGAATTTTTTTTTTAAAAGAAAAAAAGCCCATGTCAAACCTGGACCGTGTGGATTTATTTTATGGTAAAATTTTCTTTAGATTTACAGAAAAAAAATCAGTGGTAAGTCTGCACAAGTGAAATAGTAATGAAATTTTAATTAAGTATTTCTGTTATTTTACACGAGGTAGAATGATTTTATCTACATTAATTTAATTAAATAAGTTTTTATGGAAAAAACTACATTTACTATTGTATTTAAAAGTGTGACGACTTCGAAAGGGCAGTTGGACAATTCTTAAAATTAAATCGTACTTTTAAGAGTTCAACAGAACCATTTTTTTAATATTAGACTAGATAACCCGGTATAATTCGTATATTTAATATCGTTGTTCGTACCATTTAACCTAAATAAACACAAATAGACATTAATTAATCCCCCCCTTTCGCTAAAATGGCAGAAAAATTTGACAGGTAGGTAATGACAGAGTGTCAGGCATAGCTTTTTGCTATAGTTTTTTCATAGGATGACACGAATTAGGTAAATCAGTTTATGTAGAGAAATGAAATTGTTTTACTATCTTCCTCGCAATTTTTCTATATTTTCTCGTTAAGACCTTCCCTGGACTACGACATACATTTCAAAACAAAAATCAGCTAAATCGGCCCAGCCGTTCTCGAGTTTTAGCAAGGCAGACAAACGAACCACAATTTGATTTATATATATATATACATAGAAGACAGCTATTTATTTAACTTATTCATAATTCTGAATGTCGGCAGTTCACATTTAATAGTTAAATTGAACATTACTTAGTAGAAACTTTCGAGAACTTTAAAGCTTATGGTTAATTCAAAAATATTTGCATATTCTTTATTGAAAATACAAACAAGCTCACCATGACCTTTGTGAATCGCGATTCAGAGATTACCTACTTACGAAATAAATAATAATTATTGTTTATTGATATTATCAAGGCTGTCAAGCAACTTTGCAATAACAATGTTTATAAGGAAAAATGACAAGATTATGCAATTACTGCAGTTCACACCACAACAGATTGATAATATAATATTTACGTATGATTTTTAATGTATAAATATAATAATATCTTTATTTGCTCTCCACAATCTTATACATGCTTCATAGGTAACAGATTATACAACTTAGGACTAAGATTGTAAGAGCCTGAAACACAGGCGTCAGCTTATACTAAAGGACAACTTATGTGACTGAAAACATTCAATTTTTAGTATCCATTCTGTTTGCATTACAAAATAAAGCTTATTGGCCCAAAATGTCGGGCGTTAAATTCTTAATTAGCGAGAAATTGGCTAATCAGTAAAAAACATGAAAACTTATTTTTATAGCAAATTAAAATATTTTTAGCAGTTTAACTGCAATATTAAGTAACTAAACGAAGAATCACTCTACAGCAAATAAAATGTTGTAAAAATGAATATTAAGAAAAATTGAATTTTGACTAAAAATTCAAATAAGATTTGTTAGGGTTAGTGATGTTCGTGGGAAACGGTATGAATTTATTTTTAAATTGGCAACATTTTAATAAAAATATTAATTCAGAAAAAACAAACAATAAGTATAAAATACTTAGGAAAATTATGTAGATAAGTGTATAACAGTAGTAATCTGTTCAACTTTGTTTGTAGTATATTTCCATTTATAAATAAATCATTATTATGAGCACGTTGTAGAGGTACCTACCTAACCATTAAGAAAGGTTATCAAGTGAGAATACATGTAGTATGCGGTAAATTACCAGAATTGTTTCTCTTATTATCAATCTTACGTCGTTATACTTACAATACCTATTTTAAGTATATTTACCTATTGGAAATGTTTAACGACTTTGGTTGTTTAGATAAGAAAACAAACACTGGGTACATGTACCTAATCGAAAAATCTTGTTAGAAATCTTAGATTAGACAATTTGACATGGTCGATAGCTCTACAGCGGCGCGCAATCCGCATCATAGGCGATGAGGAGGTGACTAAACACCTAGAGCCTCTTCAATTGCGCCGTGACGTGGCGTCACTAAGCACGTTCTATCGTCGGTACCGCGGCGAATGTTCTGAGGAGTTATTCTCTCTTATACCACCTTCCCCTTTCCTTCAGGGGACCACGCGCGCTGACTTACGTTGTCACCGTCTAACTGTGGCTACAATACCAACGCGTACAAAGAAATTTGGTGACTCATTTCTTTGTGTACGAGACAGAAATGAGTCACCAAATTTCAAATTTTCAAAATCCGAAAATGGAATGCTCTGCCCACTCACGTGTTCCCTCCCTCTTCAGCTATCTTCACGTCTGGACTTCACCTTCACTTAACATCAGGTGGGGTGGAGTCATTTGTCAGACCTATCTATAAAAAAAACTTGGCTATCGGCTGTTTTGCTTGAAAGAAAGTAAAGGTTACTATGTGTCGAGTTAGTTCGTGATTTTGTTTAAAGTCAAGTAAGCCACAAGCAGGCAGCGGGAGTTTTTTTCCAAGAATAAAAAAAGTTTTATTTTTGATACGTGTTTTTTTCTGGATATTTTCTGGATATCCGAGTCTCAGAGACTCCCTCCAGTTAAGTAGACCCCTCAGGTTCGAGTGGTCTAGAGGCTCCAGACGGAGAGGAGACTCCCCCCGTGGGGAGATGCCATCGGCCTGGAATACCTCTAGAGGCAATCGCCAATTCTCGACTTGAAGTCCCCTAAGAATCTCGCGGTCCCCAAACCCGGTGTAGCTGTAAAGGTCATCTGCGACCAACAGCATACACACCCAAAAAAATCCTGTATTTCATTTTATTTACTAATTCTGGGATTCTTTGATCAACATTCCGAAGAGAAACTCCGAGACTGCAACGCAGCCAGTCAAGATTTTGTTGCGATTAAGGTTCCAAAATAATTGAAACTTGTACTTATTTAAAAGTACTGGCTGCCTGCGACTCCGTCCGCGTTTACTTAAATTTTTCGGGAGAAAAGGCAATCCTACCTGGATTGCCAACTACACGTGTGCCAAATTTCAGGAATGCATAAACGGCTGAACGGCTTTGTGTGAAATGCATGCATGCAAACTTTACAAAGACAAGTTTCGATCGCATCTGCCAGGTGTCCCGGACGTCTCAGTTTTGTTTTATAAGCAGACCCCTCTTTCCCAGTGGGCACTTTGGACAAGCGCCCAAGGCCCCGCGATCGAGAGGGATCCCCTTCAGATCAAATACAAAGTCCTTAATTCCTGTTAAATAACCAAACAGGGGTCATAGGGGCCCCATTATCCTAATATGCCCAGGGCCTCCAATAGGTCAAAGACGGCACTGTTTATAATTATTGACAAATAACTATTCTTCATATCCTGATGTGAAAAAAGTAGGCTTCTTCTTCTTTCTAACTTCGTAAGAAGAATAGTGGACAGACTGTAGGCTTCAAGAGGAGAAAAATTTAGTCATCATATACGACCGTTTTCGCTCTTTAGGCACGTATTTTGCCTAAAATGATACTTATATCACTTTCACAACTCAACTCCTCAGACTTGTGTCAGTACAGTTGTGACATTAATAGGCTGATGATGATGACACCACGAACCAAACGAGCAGTAATTTAAATTGGCCCATAAACTGTTCTAACCCTGCAGTGTTTGGAAGTTTCCATCAACGATGCCGCAGAGGTCTGTGTGAGCTAGGTAGATTAAAGTATACTCCCAGACACATCTATTGTTTGACGGTCCCTAGCTGAAATTTAAGTCACTTTGAGCAAAAAGTTTGACGCAGTTTTGAAGCTGACTTAATAACCGTCTTTTTCGTGTGTTTTAAATAAAAAAATTAATATTTCCAACACTCACACCAATTAGCCTAGCCCCAAAGTAAGCACTCTAAGGCTTGTGTTATAGAATACTAGGGTAACCGATAGAATATATATACTGTACGTATATGTATATTTATATAGAAATACATATTAAACATACATGACTGGAGTACAAATGCTCGTATTTATCACACAAACATCTGCCCCCACAGGGATTCGAACCCTTTTCGGGACCTCTCGAGTCAGCAACACCATGAAACCCGGCTTTTAACCAGACGGCCACGGAGGTCGTCAAACTAAAAAAATACTAATTGCTCAACGTAAAATAAAAATGACACCTCGATTTGGTCACGTCGTTATAATAATTGTTTTTTACTTATTTATTTTGTACACACACAATAAAATATTAGAAAAAAATAGAAACAAGAGACACAAGAGTACAAGGTTTTTTGTTTGGTTTCGTTACGTTACTGGCCAATTAATAGTGTTAAGTCAAAAGTATATATTTTTGCTACAGACCGTTGATACCTATAGCACTAAGTGGGCCGATAGATGTGACTGGAAGTATAGATGCCGCATGTACTTACTTCAAACAGTATGAAAACCGAAAGTGACAGATTTTGAGTACCTACTCACGAGAACAAATAAGTGGTGGAAAAGCATGGGCCCCGGTCACCTATTTCAATTATAGTATACGACATAGTTAGATAATTTTTTAACATTCCGATTGATATGCCCATCACGGTGACGCAAAAATACAAACTAGCGTAAAAACAAGACCATTGGTGTTCCTGTTGGACTTACGTTATACTTGAGTTATTTATTTCTTTCTTTGTCTGTGAACGATACCTAATATAATCAAGGATTATATTTCGGGCTTTCACGAGTAAATACACTCCTCTTCGGTACGGTCACGGTAATAATATATTATTACCGTGGTACGGTATTGTTAAGTGATTGCTTACAAGTAGAGTTTTTGACTGAAGTCCCAGGGAAACTCCGACTTTAAAAACATTTGATATGATATAATAAAGTTAAAACCTGTTGGTAAGGTTTACACCTTCTTTTACAACAAACAAGAAAATTTTGAAAAATGTAAAAAAAAATGTTTTCTTAGAACAGAGGCTATTATTTCGATGCCGTATTTTGACTGATGACTTTTCTATCCGATGGGGCGATTACATTTGGTCGATAGCCCGAATTCGAGTGCCAATGGTATCAGACCCTTCTTTCCCAGTGGGCACTAAGGCCAAGTGCCCAGGGCACCGCGACCGATAGGGGCCCCCCTCAGATCAAATTCAAAATCCCTAATTCCTGTCAGATCACCGAACGATAACCAATATTTATTACCAAAAAACTTATATAATTCAATGAAATCGAACCTAAATGACTGACTAAAATACCAACCTACTAGCTTTCACATAAGCGAAGCTATTCTACTCTCGCCCAAAAATTTGGCTTTCCGACTTCAGGCTGCTTAGATAAATTTAAATATACATATAATGATATACAATGCACATACACATTTTAAAGAAAAATCATCAGTATGACTCGCTCCATTTCAAGTCACTTAATACACATCAAAGTCATAGGGGCCCCATTATCCTAATATGCCCAGGGCCTCCAATAGGTTAAAGACGGCCCTGAAAGGAATTCAGCTAAAGAACTAGTGTAAATGAACAGAGTCGAGTACGCCCGTATTAAGGAAGTTTCCGTTATGGTTACCCGACACCGTCTTCCAGCCCGTATTCCGGTGTTAATATTCCTTCAGGTGCCCGAATTCGAGTACTTCGTCTCGTCTTTCGTGCCCGTATTCGGGCTAACGGGACCAAGTTTAATCGAACCATGAGGATTTCGCTAAATGGGCGTTAATTAATGTAAGCCAGTTTTCTATTCTATCTGTCTGTCTTGTTATAAAGTATCCAAAGTACTAGCGCCTGTATTTTTCAATATTTAATAAGAGTTATTTTATGTATCAGTTTTAATAATCCCCTCCGCTGTCGAGCCTCAGTCAGACGGTGAAAAAAAAATGTACAGATCTGTGTACTAACCGCCAGACGGCTAGTTGGCAGTTGGGAAGGTTGGGAACTTCACATAAGTGAATTATTAATAAATTGGACTTAAGCTTCTTGGGTTAGAGCTCAAAATAATATTGAAGAACCAACCTAACGGTTTGTTTAAAGATTGACGTAGCATTCCATAGCCAAAACCAAAAATATTTACATATGAAGTTAGTCGACGGTTCGTCGTCTACACTGCCGCGTCTTTTGCGTTTAATTGTGGAAGTTTAAGTTAAAATTGTGATAAATTTCCTAGGAAATTATTGAAGGGTGAGATAATTATTACCAGATATGTAGTCTGTGAAGTGTTAAACTTTTGATTTTGGGTGAAACTTTTGAGTTTGCACATGCTCGATTACGTTACAAAAAAACAAAGGTTATTTGTTGCGATGATTGGTTCAAAATATCAATAAATAGCAAGTAAATATCTTTAAGATTAAATAGTTAAACAAATTTTATATATGCTTCATACAATAATCTCGAGAAATATGATTTTAAAGACACCGAGTGCCGTCATGCTGCTCCCTCCCTGTCTTACGATAGGGGGCGCGACAGATAACGCATCATCGCGATTATTGCGTTCGACAGCTGAAGGGTAATAGTAGCTAACCGCAGTTTGTTGTGTTTGGGAGTACACTCTTCTGCCAAACATAACAAAAATATACCTAGAAAAGGATCTTGATTATTCAAAAGTATGATTTTCATAATATACTCATCATAACAGTCTGTACTTTCGGCCGATTGTTAATAATTTTAATATGTACTTATATTCTTTTGTTAATAATGACCACTTTGATTTATTAGTGACTAAAGCACGAAAACTTTTGAATGAATTAAACATTTGAACGAAATATTTCTCTTTATTTATTTTTAAAAAACGTTTGAATGAATTATATATTTCATAACTGTAATATCAACTGTTTTGTGTGTGTTTACTTTTATTTTCATATTCTTAATGAATGAATGAATGAAAATGAAACTTTTATTTTCATATTATTTGGATTAATTAGTAAGAGAGAGTAGAAATATTCATATATTAACATCAATAACAATATCGCTAACGCAACTTTAGATAATCCCGAATCAAGGTCAAAGCTTTTATCACTGACTGTCCGGATTGCTCAAAAATACAATCATGCAAAGTGATTTTTTTTATTTATGTTAATCTAAATCGAAAGAAAAGTAATTAAAACTGAGTAGTCACACTTTATTAACACAATAAAATATGATGCATTTCAAAACATTTCAATAAATAAATTACCAAGTAAATGAATCAATGTAAAGACTACTTATATACATAATAAAATAATGCGTTTTTATTATTAGTTTGCAATAGTCAATACAGCTTTCGCAATCATTTAAATAAACTTATTGGAAGACTTCCAACAGTCCAAATTAGTAAACATGATTGGGCTTACCCATTGTGTAAGTAAACACTGCACGTTTGCTCGTCGGATAAGAACCTCTCTCCTCAAAGGATCGACAAAGACTGCGCAGACAAGACTGACTGGTTCTCGATTCCTTCTGCTCAATCCAGTTACTATTGTACAAGCGGTGTGATCCAATAACGACTCATTATAGAACACAGAGAATTACAATACAATAGTTTTGTACCTACTCGATGCTGGTTTCTAAGAGAAACAATAACGTAGAAATGAATCCGCTGATGTAAATGCATGAAAAAATAGGGACGAAATTAGTACACGAATTGGGACAATCCGGGAATAAAGTAATCAGAATATTTTTGGGACAAACGAAGAATTAAATATGGGACACAGTAAGATTTTTTGTGGGACAAAGTTCAGTGGGATAAACTTACATTGAATCTAGTTTTAACGGGTTAATGCACGAAACTTTATTTATTTATTGACGTTTCGCAGCCTTTGCAGGTCTGCTTCGTCAAAATGCATTAACCCGTTAAAGCTAGTTTTATTTAATGAGTAATATGTCATTAAACCTAAGAAACAAATATTACAATGAATCGTTTAATGTATATATTTAGAGAAGTTAATACTTCTATTCTACGACTTCTGTGTCGTGGCCGAGTAGACGACTACTCAGAGGTACCGGGTTCGAATCTCGGTGGGGGAAAATATTAGTATGATGAATACGAGCATTTGATAGTACCTTAGTCATGGATGTTTAATATGTTTCTTGATAAAATATACTTAATAAATGGTCGCGTACATAGCTAAAACAGAAGAAAAGTAGCGTAGAGTCCTGCAACCTTATTGATCAACAGAGACACAACACAACCAAAAGGTTAACTAAATGACATCCACGATTTCGTTATTATTGAAGACCCTAAAACCGAGTTTTTTTTTAGCTTTTGCACCTAAAGTCTAGCCATCATATATGTCCATCTGGTGTAATACATAACACAGCATAAGCAAGCATACTTTTTCATTGTATAAATCTTACATCTCTTATCTAGAGCTATAATCTTATGAATTTGGGCACCCATAACAATATTTACACTAGAATATGGACTGGGAGACGGTTTCGGGTAACCAAAACAAAAACTACCCGTATACGGGCGTACTCAACTCCGTTTATTTACACATAGTCGAGTTAGTCGTTTACCCGAACTCCATTTGCACTATTGAATTTATTTGAATCTAGGCCCTTAAAATCTAAAGTTAATGTACCAGCTAGCTACAGATAGGTACTACTTTTTTCTAGATAATTTCCATGCTAAGAGGTTGAGGAAATCGAATACGCACCTTACATCCAGATAGCGGAAGGTCGAATTCCGTCTGCTGCCTGGACCGCGTGGAATTTTAAGTAAAATTTTCTTTAGATTAACTAAAGTAAACTCTACTTTCCAGTTTACAGTAAATAGCGGGCTCATTTTTTTTGATCTCTGATTCTTTCAAAGCTAAGGTCACTGCCTTTTGTTACCCACTGGTAACATAGGCCGATCTCTTTCCCATGATGTGAAGTGTAAAATCTTCACAATAGGGCGCCTGCCAGCAACGCGGATGTAACCAAACGTCTTCATTTATTAGGTACAAAACTCTAATGTATTTTGGACTCTCTGCTTAGACCATCTTTGGAACAGCATCTTTACTACATACCTACACATAAATTAAATAATGACCACATTATTTACCAGGTAAGTACTTACAAAGAGGGAGTTCCATATAATAAATTACGTAGGTTAAATCTATTAAAGTTTTATTGAATGTTTGTGAATACCAAAACGTCACTAAACATTTGGAGAGATAGCTGCTAACTTATTTAAATTCAAATCCACAGATCAAGGAAAGAGGTGTGTTCTGTGTACAAAACTATTAAGATACCCGAGACACATTTAAATTTTTAATTAAGAGAGGTAGCGGATAGTCCGCTCAAATTGGAGCGCCCTTCTGGGGTTACTTCCCCACTCCACGTAACAGTATATTACACTACCCTTTGGTGGTGTGTTTCTGGCGATGGTAAGGTCCCAGGAATCCACGCAGTACAGCATTGTGTCAAAGTAGATAACGGTGCGAGTGATAATTTTGTTTTTTTTTATAGTTAGGTCCGACAAATGACTCCACCCCAGCTGATGTTAAGTGATGGTAAAGTCCAGACGTGAAGATAGCTGGTATAGCAGTTTTACCTGCCACACCAGCCATCCTCACCTTGCCAGCCTGCATGTTGCTTCTTCACGCCTCTTTTAAAGGATCCTAGGTTTTAAGAAGGAGGGAACACGTGAGCAGGCCGAGCATTGCATTTACGGATAGTGCGACAAAGAAATGAGTCACCACCTAATTTCTTTGTACGCGTTGGAATTGTGGCCACAGTTAGATGGTGACACCGAAGGCCAGCGCGCGTGGTCCTCTGATAGAACACGCTTAGTGACGCAACGTCGCGGCGTAATTGAAGAGGCTAGAGGTGTTTAGTCACCTCTTCATCGCCTATGATGCGGATCGCACGCCGCTGTAACCTATCCAAAGCATCAAGCGAGTACTTGGCGGAGCCATCCCCGAGGTGCAAGCAATATTCCACGCAAGACCGCACCTGCGTCTTATACAACAAGCACAGTTGCTCATTTTTCCAATTTTTCAAATTTGCAGTTTTGGTATCGCAACTCAAGCGTCTACAGGCTTTGGTGGCCGCTTACTATCAGGCGGGCCAAACGCTTGTTTGCTACTAATTCAGTAATCGTAAATATTTTAACTTGGGGTAAAAGTTTGGAGTTTTAAATTTCGTGCTGGGCGCCAGAAGCCAGATGTTGGTTGACTTTATGGAAAGGTGAACCTCTTTTTTTACTGAAATGAAGCGGGATGAAGTCTTTTACTTAATCTATCTATACGAAATCGGGATAAAGCGGGCACCTCATAAAAAAAAGGTTCTTAACCTACCTCTGGGTTTTAATATAATAAGGATAAAAACATGTTATTACTTCACGATGAGGCAAATGAGAACAGTTAATTAATAACATTCTGACTGCATCATCAATGGATATCGTAGTTTCTTTATGTGTCATACATTGTGTAATACCTATGTTACTTATTTGCTGCAAAGCCACTTACACGAATAAAGGATAGATAAGTTATTTACAAAAGGTAAAAAGTGTAAAAATGAAACCCATTTCAAATGAAAGAGAACACATAAAAAAGAGGAAACATAATTTACCTAGGGGCAACAAGGCAAACATAATTTATCTGAGGTCAGAAAGGGCGTGACTTGTGTGACCTTTTAAGGGGGAAAATGATTTATTGCGATTTTCGGAAAACTACATCTCTATACAATTTAAGTATGTTTTATTACTATGTATATATTATTATTCAGTTGTCAAACAAGGGAATTATATCGACAACCCAAGCACAAAGTAATCAAATCAATATATTTATTAATTTTGTTATCTTACATTTCATAAACTTTTATTAAATACCTAAATAATAACATCGGTAAGAAAAGTGGATTCGATTAATCGGAAAAGGCCATTCGCTACTCAGATCGTTAGGTTTGGGCGTATACTGATATTTATTTTTGAATAATTCAAATTGCATTGTTACAGTAACATATTTGGTTGAAACAGCAGCTTTGAAAAAAAACATTATTTGGGTTCTAAATTATAGCTCGTAACTGTACACACATACAAATATAAATATTATTTAATATTAGGCCCTTACATATGGAAATGGCGTTTTGTACAGGAGGAATATAAAGTATTTTATTTTTGTAAAATATAGTTAATTAATCAATGTAAGCATCGTTGTTATCTATGCACTTTTGCCATCTCATAGGTAGTGCATTGATCCCTTTACTAAAAAAACTATGGGGGCAAGAATCAATAAACTCTTTGAAGGCGGTTTGGACTGCCGCATCGGAGTTGATTTTTTTTCTTTGTAAAAAGTTGTCCAAATTCCGGAAAAAGTGGTAATCTGTTGGGAGTAAGGTCCGGGGAGTACGGTGGATGTCGCAGACAATCCAATTTTAGCTTATCTAACTTAGTGGTTGTTTGTTGTGCAGTGTGTGGTCTTGCGTTATCGTGAAGCAGCAGTGACCTAGAGCGATTGACCAATATCGGTTGTTTAGCAGCTAGTTCTATCTTCATGGTTTGCAGTTGGTGACAATAGATATCTGCCGTAATCGTTTGCCCACATTTTAGAAAGCTGTAGTGCACGACACCCGCGCTAGTGCACCAAACACTCACAAGTAACCAGTGGCGGACTAACAGGGGGGCGGAAGGGGCGGCCCGGCCCGTGCCTGCAGTCTTGGGGGCCCCCCAAATACTACCGCGTTCCCCTGATCAAATTCTAAACAAGACTTCAAAAATGTGCGTAGTACCTAAATAATTTCATCAAGATCAAAACACTACAGCCATCTAGACTTATTACGCGCTACTAATATTCTTTTAACTTTGCTGAATGCGTCCAATATGCTGTGGGAATTCCCGTCTTTGTAGCGGGTACTTCCTCAGGAATCCCTGAATGAATGAAGTGCATATAATTCACTCTTGTACGACTACATTTATTAACATTCATTAAATTTAAGTCGAAAAATAAACATTGGCCTCATTTAAAATATAGGTATTAAATTTCATTACGTTAATATACATATAAAAAATATTATAAATAAAGAATAAGCCATTTTTCAAATTGTAAAGTAATAAACGCGATCTTATCCGTTCAAAGTAATTTCATTAAAAAATGTATTAGTGTTTTTCATTTTTGTTGTGGTATAAAAGTAATTGAGTGGTATAAGAGGAATTGAGTTAGTGCATTTTCGAGTGTTTGGAAAAAGTAAGTACCTATGTAGGTAATTCTTCGTATAATTTCGCCCAGAAATTATAATCCGTAGTTTCTAGTCAATATGCACCTACGTTTCTAGTCAATAAATTCAAATTCAAATTCTTTATTGCATAGTCACATGGTTAAAAGATGACAATTTAGTATATTTAATATATTATAATAGTACATGTGACACCCTGCAAGGGTGTTTTTTGCAATTTATTTATACATAAACATAATTAATAATAATATACCCTCTATTGCATACAAAGCCATTTTAGGCTGCTTAACTTTAATAATTTATTTCTACCCTAACTTTAAACAAAATTTATAAAATTT